ACGTCTTGTTCAGACGATGAGTTTGGCAACGACTCATGATACCCCTACACTATCAATGCTCACGTGACACAATGCGGATGTGAGAGCATATATATACGCTTTAATTAAGAAAGTAATCCGTCTGTTAGACTCTGGATGTGTCGAGCTGAAAGTGTTGGACTCTACTTTCTCGCACAGACGCACAGCTAAACGAGATATTCGCAGAGACACACAGCCCCTCTGTGTCACTCACTCAAACGCTTGAATGGCATTCAGGAGAACGCCAGTGACACACACACGAGCCATCACTCATTGCAAGTCACCGACCCTAACCGAGCCCAGCCTGCTCCTGCTCCTGCTCCATTGTCCTGATCAACCCACATTGCAACTCTTCCCGACTCGCAACATTCGAGAGATCGCCTGCGCCGCTTCTCGCCACGAGATAGCATACAGCGCACCCTGGAAAGCGCCGTGCGTGGAGGCTACAACCGCCGCAGCCACCACCGCCCACCATGTCGCAGTATGGTCAGGCTTTCCAGGCCCAGTCGTATCCGCATGCTGCTCAGCGCAACTCGACGCCTCAGTCTGGATACGCCCAGATGCAACAGCATCAGCAACAGCAACAACAGGCTATGCCACCCATGGCGGGTGCATATCAGCAGCCGTACAAGGGCACCCTCGCTCCCGGCACTCGAGTCAAGGTTGGCAACATCACCGTCACCGTCAAGCGATACCTCTCCGAAGGCGGCTTCGCACATGTCTACCTGGTCACCACCTCCCAGCCTATCCCCATGCCTTCCTCCGTGACCGGTGCCGTCAGCGCATCCATGGCGGGCAGCGCAACCGCTGAGCGAGGCGAAACGGTTCACGTGCTCAAGAGGATGGCGGTGCCGGACAAGGCTGCTCTCGCCGATGTGAGAAGGGAGGTAGAGGTACACAAGCTGCTTCGCAATCAGGCCAACATTGTCCACTTCATCGAGGCTTCTGCTACTTCCCTCCAAGGAGGCGGATACGAAATCTTCATCCTCATGGAATACTGCTCTGGCGGAGGCATCATCAGCCTCATGAATGCTCGCTTGCGCGATCGTCTACGAGAGGAAGAGGTGCTCAAGATCTTTGGCGACGTCTGCGCAGGTGTCGCTGTAATGCATCACCTCGATCCACCTCTCATGCATCGCGATCTCAAGGTCGAAAACATCCTCATGGCTCCCTCCACCGATCCAGGCACTATCCCAGGCTCGCGTTCCACCTCGTCCAATCTCAAAGCCACCTTCAAGCTCTGCGACTTTGGCTCGGCCGCCCCCGTACTTTCACGCAAACCAGCAAAGAGCATGGATGAGGTCAAGCGCGTCGAGGCCGACCTCAACAAGCACACCACGTTGCAGTATCGAGCTCCCGAAATGGTCGACGTCTACCAGCGCCGTGTCATCGACGAAAAGGCCGACATTTGGGCGCTCGGCGTGCTTCTCTACAAGCTTTGCTACTACACCACTCCCTTTGAGGAGAACGGTGGTGGTCCCTTGGCTATTCTCAATGTCCAGTATCGCATCCCACCTCAACCGGTATACTCTGACCGAATCAAGCAGCTCATCAACTCGATGCTCAAGGAGCAAAGTACCGATCGTCCGACTGTCGATCAGGTCATCATCAATGTTCATCAGATCCTCGGCACTCGACCCCCACAAACAGCCCTTCACTACGCTTCTGCCGCTGCTAGCGGTAAAATTGCGGCTCCCTTACCCACGCTCGTCAGTGGCGCGGCCAAGACTTCCAGTTCCGACGTCCCTTCTCTACCCAGCAGATCCAGACCGACCGGAGGCATCGATGCCAACCTCATCTCCATGGGTCCGACCAAGAAGGAGCTCGAACAGGCAGAGGCCAAGCAGCTCGAATTGCAGGCACAAAGCATCACACCCATGCGACGAGGCCGTCCGACAAAGGCACCTGCAGAGGGCAACGATCCTCCCGCCAAGAAGCTTGACGACGACTTGACTAAGAGCAGCTCCCCCGCGCCATCAACATCAGCAGCAACGGCCAAGAACGCGCCGTCATGGACTGTGCCAGAGTCGAAGCGGCCATCAGTCAAGACGGGTCCCCTGATCGAAGGCTTTGGAGATTCCTTTGCACCCGCAGCACCCGCAAGCGCGACTTCAGAAAGCTCACCAGCTCTGCCGAAACGGCCGAGTCCCTCTTTCGGGTCTCCCGAAGCAAGCGGCGACTCCGCCAGTACTTCGGATCGACCACTCGACAGAAATTTGCTTCGTGCTTCTTCCTCGAACGCACCTTCACCTGTATTGACACCGCTGAGACACAGCCCTGCACTGCCCGGATTCAGCGCGGTTCCCAGTCCGACTGCGTCTCCTCTCGCTCCATCTGCCAAGGACCAACCTCGTCCTCCATCGGCTCAGAAGAGCGGGACACCACGGGACGAGCTTGCCGACCGCTTTCCGAGCCTCGAAGACCTCGATGCGAAGTATGCCATTCCGGTTACAAGCACGCCACCCGCTCCCAGCCCACTAAGCTCGAATGCTACAGCGTCAGCATCCTCAAGCTTGCCATCAGGTGGACCGACAGCCGACAAGGGTCATGTGAACGTGCCCGGCCTTTCCAACCGCGCAAGCGTTGGTGCCATGGCTGGCAGATTCGAAAGACCCTTTGAGCCTCAAAAGCTTGGTTCGGGCAGGACACCACTCCACAAATCTGCCACTGTCTCTGGCTTTTCGACCAGCGACAACCGTCCCAGCGCTCGATCTGGCAGCGTTTCGAATCGCTGGCAGACTTCCGTCATCGCCCACGATCGCGCCGACAAGGGGCAGCAACAGCCATCTTTGGATACAGCATCGCTCAAAAAGGCAGCTCCATCCAAAGACTGGCTCACCGGTGATGCATCTGATCAGGAAGATGACAAGCCCGCCGAAGATGCTGCCAAAGAGAAAGAGGCAAAGATCTACGCTACTCAGCCACAGGCTCCGAGCAGCGATCCATCTGCTACCAGGTCTGATGCCGCAGGCCGGGAGATCGAAGCGGACGAAGAGTCCTCGGACGAAGACGAGCCCGCTCAGCCGGAAGAAGCGGTCGCCCAACGGCCGACGCTACCACCGCGCCTTTCCGCTGATCGAATGTCGACTTTCCTCTCTCGACCGGCTGCCTCGCAATCGCAGCCCGTGGAAGACGGCGTCAACGGGAAAGCGGCCAAACCAGAACGTCCACGTATCGTGCCAGGCCGAGTGAAAGCGCCTTCCTGGCTTGTCGACGCCGTCGATTCGCCCACTGCTGCCGAACAACTCATTTCGAGTTCATCCGCGTTGAGTCCGGGCGGGATGGGATCGGATCCATTGAAAGTGACGGCAGCAGACTCGCTAGTTTCGCCCGTCACGGACGCCACGGCAGCAGAACAGCTGGATGAAGCTGCAAGACAGGCTCAGGATCAGCTCGAGGCGCTGTTGCGCGGTCCCGAGGAGGATTCGATGTCCACGCAAAAGCACGAGGAGCAGGAGGAGGAGAGTCCGACCATGCCATCGACGGCGAAAGTTAAAGCGCCGGCGTGGGACGATGAAGATGAGGAGGGGGACAGGGAGATGAATGCTCTGCCCAAGCCGGAGTTGCAAGCCGGGGTGGTGAATGGCGGTGGGAAAGTCTCTCCGCCTTCCGTCGCGACGGCCGGGAAGCTGTCCGAGGAGCAGACTCTGCCCAAGCCCTCTTCCACATCTTCCAACATCGCCTCGAGGTGGAGCGCGGCGAGTCAAGCACAGTCGCAAGCATCGCAGCGAAAAGACGTGCAGCTCGTGGATGTGGCTAGCTCGCCGACTCCTGCATCCGTCAGCGTCGACTCTGTCAAAGATCGGTTCAATCATCTATCTCTCAATCGCAAACCTGACGATAGCTCATCCGACGCTACACCACCACCGCACATCGCTGTCAAAGCTTCTACCGTCTCGCAGCGATCCAACGCAGAACCGATGGTCATCCAACCCAAACGACCCACACCCATCCGACCGCAGAAGAAGGATCACCTGCGGTCCACCTCCATCTCCACCCTCAAGCCGTGGGAGCGGGAAGCCGCGCAGTCCGCCGACGCTGCTAGCGGTGGGATTGTCAAGAACTCCGCACTTCCCGCCGCGTCCACCGCGCGTCTTCAGTCCAACGATACGCCCGACGCCGAGGTCGACGCGGAGAGGTTCAAGGGCGTCTCGAGCTTGATCTCGAGATGGCAGGCTAGTGTCGAGAGTAATGCGCCCGGGTGGGGGAAGATCGGGAGTGAGGAGGATGATAGAGCCGGGTTGGGCAAGGGTTTGGGTCCTAAAGTCGCCAATCAGGCGGCTGGGTGGGTAAGAGATCGGTCAGAGGCGAATGGTCCTAAATAGATACTCGCTCGCACCTGCAAAAACAGCAGAGTTCATCTCACTCCCAACGCCAATCTCAAAAAACTCCATCCTCTCCACATGCGTCTGATTCCACGCAATCCACCTCCTCACCCACCCGCTTCATGAGTCACACGAGCCACATGCACCATCATTCACACGTGTTTCGCATCGAGAAAGGCAAGAATTGAACAAACCACAAGAAACAATAAAGGGGATGTGAGTTTGGGGGAAAGAGAAACACAGAAACAAAAGAACAAGAGCGATGACTGTGAAGTGAGAGCAGAGACACGTAGGGGGATTGGAGAGCGAGGGAAAAGGGGAGTTGTAGGAACAGTAGCAACGACGGCGCGGCGAGAGGGCGAGGAGACGGGATGGCAACGGCACGAGTCCATCTGCAGTTCATTCGTCCCAAACAGCATCGGACCAGGATGCAAATCTGCGCATCTGTGGACGTGGGCGGCATTCGTAGACCTGCGTGACCAGAGGCGCACCGTCAATGGCACATTGCCGTCGTCGAGAGCATTCGACAAGAATTGCTGAGCGAGACGTGGTGAAAGCTCGTCGTACCGCTTGATGCCCGCTGAGCATCTTAAACTCGCATGGCGCGGGATTCTGGTTATAGGTGCCATTTGTCTCGTTGCTGGCTCGCGTACCTGCCACGAGATCATACGCCATCGATTGTTGATTGGTGCGTCGCTGAAGTCCTAGCGCGCTGCTGGCAGTGCCTTTGCCTCTGATTCCCCCACCTCCCCAAGATGGACGGACCGCATCGAAGCCCGCGCCTTTCGCTCTCTCAAGGACCCCTGCACCTCCCACAACTCCAGCATCTACCATGCTCACTTGCCATCCGACTTTTTCTTTTGCTTCCTCGGTGGCGTCACGGGACGGCCCATGTTGATGCCACCATATGCGTACTTTTGCTTCTTCTCCGCCGGCTTGAGGATCTGGAAGGAACACAAGAGCGTCTCGTCGACGCTCATCATCGCACCTGCATTGTCAAACTCTCCACAGTAGTTGGGCGCTGAGAAGAGTGTGACCAACTGACGCTTTGCGAAAAACTCGTATCCATCCTCGACGACCTGATGCGCTCGGCAGATGAGATCCATGTCGTGTTTTTGGAGGAACCGCGATACGACGTCCGGGCCGAATGTGAAGGAAACACCGCGATCATTTTCGGACCATCCAGAGATGTCCTTGTCGGGATCGGACCAGAGCAAGTCGCAGAGCAGACCGGTGTCTGGTACGTCGGTCGGACGCATGACGCGGCGGATCTGCTCCATGCTCTGCAGGTCGGGCGAAAGGCCGCCGTGCATGGTGAAGATCTTCTCGTCGATGATGGCAGCGATGGGAAGGCAGTTGAAGCAGTCGGTGAAGGTCTTCCAAAGCTTGATGTTGAAGCGACGTTTGCACTCGTCGTAGAAGCCGTAGATTCGGTTGATGCTGGCGCACTCGTGGTTGCCGCGGAGGATGAAGAAGTTTTCGGGGTACTTGATCTTGTATGCGAGCAGCAGACAGATGGTCTCGAGCGATTGCTTGCCTCGGTCGACGTAGTCTCCAAGGAAGAGGTAATTCGCCTCGGGTGGGAAACCACCGTATTCAAACAAGCGTAGCAAGTCGTAGTACTGGCCGTGGATGTCACCGCAGATCTTGATGGGAGCCTCAAGCTCGAGAAGGATGGGTTGGTTGATGAAGATATCCCTCGCCTTCAAGCAGAGGTACTTGATCTCGTACTCTTCGAGGTGAACGGGCTTGCCTGGACGCGAGCCTCGAACCTCAAGGAGGCGGTCAATGACATTGTCGAGATCTACCTCGGGGGTAGAGTTGTCGGCCATCGTGCTGTGTGTATGTGGATGTGTTGGCGGCCTGGAGAGTGCAATGCGTTGCAAGCGGCGGGGGACAATGGTGAAGAAAATTGTGCGTCGAGTCGAGTGCGGGTGACGCGGATGCAGGGTGATGGAAATCAGGAGCGTTGATATGAAAGCGGCACGGGGGATCAGACGAAGGAAAGAGGTACGAAGTGAATGGCGATTGTCAGCAAGGCATGTCCGTGGTCGAAGAAGCGCATCCGCAACATCGGCATGGATTCGTGCAAACAGCGGGAACATAAAGAAGCTTTCCCGCTGCGGGGATCAGTGCGTGTCTGTTGTGCAAAAAATGCGTCTGCGCGGCTACACTATTGCAATGTCGTTTCGCAGCAACAGGATCCAAGTGTTTAGAAGCTCGGAAGCACGGCTCGAGACAAATGTGCCGAGGTCGTCCATTCCTCCTCTTGAGTCTGACGATGCTTGCCTGCCTGGGAAGCACGGAGCTGTTATGATGAATGCGCCAGCCGATCGACGTCGCTACAAGCGCTCTGCTGCTCTTCGTTGCCTGCAATCTGCGGCGTCAGGATGATGAAACTTACGAATAAGGAGAGATGCCGAGTGTTGAGAGTGCTCGCTGAAGCTACGCGAGCAGAAGATGCGAGGGCTACCTTCTCACAGAGGTGATGGAGGCGCTGCAGTGAAATCCGAGGATGATGCTGACAATGCTGCGCTAGTTTCGGCTGATAAGAGGTGAGCCGATGTGAGGGTCGCCGCCAAGAAGAGTTGCGACCACCAAGTGGAGAAAATGCGCGTGCGGTAAGCTTGGTCTCGAGTTGGCTGATCTGCAAAGATGACGTTGCAAGATCGTGCGTGCGAAGTGTCGATCGAGACTCGTTGGTTGGTGGTATGAAGAGAGAGATTGCTTCGAACCACGGCAAAGGATAGCGGAAGCGTGAGACCTAAACGTGACCGCGTGACTGAGCGAGAAGTGGATTCAAAAAAAAGAGGATCGAACGAGAACGAGGAGTCGTGAATCCCTGAGCCGTATCGGTGTGTTGTGAAAGAGAAGCAGTGGAAGAACAACAGACACCAGCTAGGTCAGAGAAGGGATTTGATGAAAGTGGTGATGAGAGAGAGGCGAATACGTTCGCAGCAGTGGAGCGACGATATCCTCGGATTGCCATGGCGAGCAAACCAGAAAATGGCTGAGCACGCTGGGCTCGAGCGAAGTGAGCGACAGCAGCGCCAGTCAGGCCAGCCAGCCAACCATGGAATTGTGAGTGCCGTCTGCTGTTGATCATTTCCCCTCTTTCTTTTTTTCTCTCTTTCGCAAACTGGCGGACGGGCGAATTTGGCCAACAACTCTGTGAACAAGACGCGCGGTCCAGCGCATCAGCTGCTCCGGCAGCAGAGGGGCAGGAATTCGTGGTTCAGCGTGTGTGTGTGTGTCTCGCGCCGGCTCGGGACAGAAGAAGCACACACCACCTTCACCCTGACCCAAAGCTCTGCAGGCAGTTGAGCCGAGGACGAAGAAATTCGCAAACAATAAAAAATGTCGCGATCCCAATCGCACTCAGCAACCGTGTACGTATTTTGTATTCATCAGTTGGGCTTGAAAGTCCCTGCTGAAAATCCGAAATGGATTTGGAACCTCGTTTCTTATCGTTGGTTTGTGATCAACCGCAACCTCGAATTCGAGCGTGTTGGTGTCGGAGGCACTCACCAAATCAAATCGCCCATTTCAACCCCCTTCCGAAACGCCTCTGGAGAATGCGGGCTTTGAGAGACTGAAGGTTCAATTATCATCGCGACAGGGATACAAAACACAAGACGCGTTGACCAACTCTCGAATCACAACAGGCAGAGAGACATAAAGGGCCACAGCACCTGTCGGCCAAGCACGTCTGCGTGTCGAGGAGGCCCGAGCTCCTCCAGATATGAAGAAGCTTCTGCCTCTCCCTCTAAGCAGAACAAAGAGAACCTCTCGCTTTGCTTTCGAGCACCGTGATGTAGTGTGCAAGCCATGGCTCCGGCGCAGACCATTGCGTGTCTATGATGTGCAGCCTTGAACAGTTGAAAGGCACGCAGCAGTCGCGGTGAAGCGGTCACATCCTTCGACGACAGTACTCATTAAAAGGCGCAAGGAATATGATGTTTTACTACCCATAGGACTTCATCACGTGGCACTGATAGTTCAGTGGTAGAATTCTTGCCTTCCATTTCACAAGGGGGCACACCTGCGTCGCAAGGCGCGTTAGCAAGAGGCAGGGGTTCGATTCCCCTTCAGTGCATTCTTTTTTTCCCTTTCTCAACAATTGGGTTCCCATTTTTGCTCTTGAGCCCTCATATCGAAATATTCTCCATCGACGGGGGGCGTCAGGGACAAGCTCATGCTGTCACGAATCTAGCACACCTTCAGTCGGAGACTTCAGACGACAGGTAGATGAAGATCCAGATAATGTTTCACAATGGTACGAACCTACAACTACTGCTGTACATCGAGTCCGCGTGCAACCTAGATCAATCCTCATAGACCCCTGCTACCAGGCACAGATTCCTCTGGGTGAAATGTACGTCCAACACGGGCGTCCTCTTCGTATGGAACGTAGCCACGCAATCTGCGCTGCTGTTGACTAGATCTGCACCTGTCTGGCCGGCTACGCTTGCACTTGCCAGTCCACCGTTGGTCATCTGCGAGACCGACTGTACCACCGCTGGGGCGCCAGCGGCTGCTGCTGCCTCGATCTGCTGTGCTTCCAACGAACCTTTCGCCGGCGACTTTCTCACTCCACCTACCGAACGCACATCCCAACATCGAACACTGCAATCCTCCGAGCCCGTTACCAACATCGACCCGTCCGCGGAGAAGTCCATCGAGTAGATCCTCTCCTCGTGCCCCCACATTTTCTTGATCCTCCTCCCGGACGCTAGGTCCCAGAGTGAGATCGAAACATCGTTGACACTCGACCCCTTGGAAGTCGGGTCCACCCCGTCAACGCCGGCGAATTGCGATGCCGTTCCATTCCCACTCGCAGCGGACGCAAGGTACCTCCCATCCGGACTGACCTTTAAACACGAAATCGCCGACTGATGTCCCACGAACAACCGCACGCACGCTCCACGTTGCACGTCCCACAACCTACAGCTTCGATCCGACGACCCCGTCGCCAGATAGAGACTGTTGGGATGGAAGGTGAGACAGTCGACATCAGAAAGATGGCCGGCGTACATTCGAAGTGGGTTGATGCGTTCGGTGCTCCACAGCCGCGCTGTTTTGTCGGCGCTCGCGGTGGCAAAGTACGTTCCGATGGGAGACCACTTGACGTCCCACACGGGATGCTGGTGACCACGGTACGCGACGAGTGCGCTGTACGTGTCCAAGCTCCAAAGACGAGCGGTGGAGTCGGCAGAACAGCTGAGCAGATGCCGCGGTGCACTGGCGGATCCTCCGACCGGGTCAAAGTCGACACCGTACACGGGACCAGAGTGTCCGATCAGCCTGCGCGTAGAGTATCCTTCCGCCTGACGTTGTTTCGCCAACGACCTGCTATCGCGAATCGACGACAGGTTCGGGTTGCCCCGAATGCCACGCAGCTTCTCCCCCTTGAGCGACCACACCTGAACAAAGGATTCCTCGAAACCCGCCGCCATGAGCGTAATGTCGTCGGAAAAGGTAGAGCACGTGATGCCGTCGTCTGCATCGTGGAAGGTGTAGGCGCACACCGAGGGCAGAGCGGCCACGCGTGCTGCGTTGGCGCCCTGCTCGCCCAAGCCGTTGATGGCGGGATCGCGAACGCCCGAGGTGAAGGCGGACGACGTGGAGGAGGTGGCGGATCCGTTGAGCAGCGATGGATCGAGACGGATGCGTTTGCGCGCGTCGCGGATGCGTTGCACCTCGCGTTTGACGTCGACGGTGCGGAAGGTGGGCGCTTGTGGCGGTAGGTCGGTGATGCTGGCTGCGAGGAGTCCGACGGAGAAGTCTACGCCCGAGGCGCCAGTGTTGCTAGCGTTGCCTGCCTCGGCTGCGCCTGTCGGAGGAGCGGTTCCTCGAGCCGAAGACGGCTGTTCAGATGGACGCACGGATGCCGTCCTCGCCCTCGACGCAGCATCTCCCCCGTCTTCTCCAGCCTCCGCAGCGGACGTGGCGTCCTGCATCGTCGTATCACCGTCTTGTTGTTGACCCGCTACATTGGACCCCTCCGCACCCTCCTGTTGCGTGTTTGCGCCGGCAGCATTCGTACCCGATGCTTCGGCATCCTTGCTCTTCGCCTCTTCCGCTTGCACCGCAGCCTCCGTCTCCTTCTCGCGACGCTCGACCTCCTGCAGCTCCTTTTGCACTTCGATCTCTAACCTCTCCGTCAACGGCACAGTAGGATGAAGCTTGAGCTGTGGTCCAGCCGCCTTTGCGTTGAACTCGGCCAGAGCGTCGCCCTCCGAGACGGCGTTCTTGGAAAGAGACGAGTGGATGCGGCTTCGTCCAGACGCACCCGACGTGACGCTCGAATAGGCTGGGCCAGCGCCAGTGAGACCGGTGCCTTCCTCCAGCACGGCAGCGTCGATCTGGTACGGCTGAGCAGCGAGCACCTGGATGCGACATCGTTCGTTGATGATCTTGAGCATGGCCTCCCTGCCGCGCCTTGCGGGACCTTCGGCCTCGTCGATGGCGTTCGCAGAGCCAGAGACAGGTCCGCCGCCGTCGGTCAACCAGCCGAGGAGCAGACTGAAGACGATGTTGGACATCTTGACCACGTATCGTTCGGTTCTGAAGCGCTGCGCCAGCGGGTCGGATTGGATGTGCGATGGAAGAGCCAGCGACCTGATCTGAGAGAGCAGCGCTGTATGAGTAGGCAGGAAGGATGCTGCATGAGCCGTGTACAGGGCCGAAGCAGCTGGGCCGTGGCCCATGAGTACGAGGTCGAGGAACGAATGGACGAATAGCGGAAGCAAGATGGGGAGCAACTCGGGCTGGTAGATGTCAAGACTTCCGTGGCACCAAGACTTGAGCATGGCGAATCCTCGTGCGCGATCTGTCGGGTCAAGAAGCAGGGCCTGTGTTGCAGCAGCCGAGACGTCGCCATCTTCAGCAAAGGTGAGATCAGCATCTGCGGCTGCTGGTTTGTCCTTGCTTGAGCTGCTGGCGGTATCCTTGTCCTTGTCGCCGTCCTTGTCAGCCTGCGTTCGTGGCGCATTCTTTGCAGCGAGGTCTTCGAGACCCACAGTAGGCGCACGGCCGAGCACATCTGCAGCAGCAGCGGCCTGTTCGGCGGTTGCACCGGAAGCGAGTGCGTCGAGTTCAGCCTTGAAAGCGGCCTCGACACGATCAAAGCCACGACGCTGGAGGTAGGCGAGAACGGCGGCCGTCATGTCTGGGCTGCTGAACACGCTTCCGGCGGAAGCTTCATTGGCGGTTGCAGCGAATCCTGGCGCACCAGATGTGGATGCTGATGGCGTGGCACCATCTTTGGGCGTCTGAGTCGTCGAATCCGAAGGCTTTTTGTCCTTGTCATTGGAAGCAGCCTTGTCATCCGCTGCCAGAGAGGCAGCAGCTGTCGGTGCGGGCATGCTTGCTTTTGTGTTGCGCGAGGCGTGATCCGAGCTAAAGGTGTTGAAGCAAAGGCTGGAGCGACCAAACGCGCTGTTCCGAGAAACGCAACGCCGATTCGGAACTCGGATTTGACCCGTGCATCTTCTCGAATGTGGTCTAACATTGCTGACCCGGAATTTCTCCACAAATTGCGCCAATTTTAGCGATGACGTTTTAGCGCTTTCATGCATCGCAAGCTTGTGCGATCCAAAAGTTTCCCCTTTGTCACTCACGCACGGTGGGGACTATCGGCGTAACTATCGTCCTCACCACCACCATCTCCAGCGATTGGACTTCTGTTGATGCTGTGACCTGCTTCAGACATTCGCATCCTTCCGTCTATGTAATTGTAGCAACCATGTCGACCACAGCAGCTGCCGACAACCACGTCACCGCGTCTCCCGCTGCTAAAGTCAAAGGCGCGGGAGAAGCCTCGTCCACCGCCGGCGCCGCCAATGCCAGATGGGTCAAATTCAGCAGCCCAAAGCCCAGCCCAAAGCTCCAGTCTTCTTCTCGCTTTGCACGCATCAACGGCATTTCCAACGGCAACGCCAACGGCCATGCGAACGGCGATGCTGATGGCACCGCCACGCCTCCCGCGGCCAGCAGAATCTTTTACCCCTTGTTCCCAGGCATCGTCTCCGCTCTTGACGAGAGTCCCTGGGCATCCGGTTACAACACCCCTATCATCGGTAGTGCCATCCACAACGTAGCAGAACGTACCGAGGAGGCGCTCCAAAAACTCGCCTCCAATCAACGGAAAGGAGGAATCCTCGAAAAGGTCGCCAACAAAACCATCGACTTTGCAGACTACATCGAGCGCGTGCTGCAGTGGCACCTCTTCAGCCGTTTCAACGCCATCGGCGGTATCGACAACATGTGGCTGCTCATCGACGGTATCAGCTCCTTCAACCCGGTATGCACCGCAACGTACACCTTCAAGCAACCGCCAAAGCTGGACGACCTCAAGGAGGCGGTAGTAAAGCAGACGGCCCATTTCCCCAAATACAAGCAGAGGTTGGCCGATGTCGGAAGGTTCTTCCACGGAACTGTGTTTATCGACGATGAAAACTTCGATGTCAACCACCACATCCAGTCGTACACCCTACCGGGGAAAGCGGGCAAGGAGGAGATGGAAGCTTTCGCCTCGGAATTCATCGCAAGAGACTGGGATTACTCCAGACCGCTATGGGAGACAGTCGTGCTGGAGAACTACGTCGACGAACAGAGCGGTGCCAAGGGCGCTCTCGTGATTCGTGGTCATCACACGCTGGCTGACGGTCAAGGGTTCATCATGAGCCAGCTTTTCATCACCTCGTTGGGACCCAAGCTGGAGAGCATGATGGACGAAGGCGCCAAGCTGTTGAGCGACGCCAAGCAGGGCAAGGCGTTGCCGAGCAGGATGAACAAGAAGCTGGCGGGGTTGGACCGGTTCCACGGGACGATCGCGTTGCAGTTGGTGATGATGGCGTTGTACTGGATCAGCTGGTTCGTCGGCTTCGTGACAGATCTGTTGGGATGCGTGACATTGGCGGTTTCGACGAGCTTCTTCTTTGTCACTACGAGCTGGCGTCAGAGGTACGTGACGGCGAGTTACGAGGGCGAGAGGAAGTCGGAGAAGGAGTTTAGCGTGTCGAGGTCGTTCACGCTGGCGGACGTCAAGCTGGTGTCGAAGGCGTTTTCGGGTGTCGCACCGGGGACGTTACTGGATAAGGTTCAGGGAGGCAAGCGATACTCTCGTCCTTTGTTCGGTACGCATCTGACAGTCAACGATATCATCTGTACCGTTATCGCCGACGTCATCAACGACGAGTTGGATCGTCAACCTCTGCAACCCGGTCTGCTCAACAAACTCCGACACTACTCGCACAAGATCTTACCCTCACCTATCGGAATCATGATCCCCATCTCGATCCGCGAACCCGGCGACTGGTCCCTCCGCAATCTTTCTACTGGAGGCATCGCCTACCTGCCCACCACCAAAGGTCTCTCCACCGAACCTGCGACGCTCCACCGTCGACTGCACACCACGCACTCGCGTCTCAACATTCTCAAAAACTCGCTCCTCCCCAAAATCTTCTTCCACGCCATCCAGCTCACAGGTCAGATCCCCGCCATCTTCCCCATCCCCTTTGGACTGCTACCCAAGCACCGCTGGAACGTGCTTCGATGGCCGACGGTGTGGGTCACCGAGCGCATCCTGACGTGCTTCACGGCGGTCGTGACCAACGTACCGTGTCCGTCGAAGCAGCGGATCGAGTTGGCGGGGCAGGAGGTGGTAAGGTGGACGGCTTTGCCACCGCAGGCGGGCAAGGGAACGTTGGGAATCGGCATCTGTTCGTATGGTGGGGATTTCAGTATCTCCATCTCGGCGGATAGGGTGGAGGGCAGCGAGGGGGTGGCGGCGAGGTTGACGGGGAGCTTCGAGAGGAGGTGGGAGGAGTACGTGGAGACGAGCAGGAAGTTGATTAAGGACACGGGGTCGGAGAGGAAGGAGAAGAGGGAGAAGAGGGCAGCGAGGGCGGAGGGAGACAAGGAGGGCAAGCCGAAGAGGAGGAGATCCAGCGCCAGTGCGAGTTCCGCCGAATCAGCAGAGACCGCTTCCAGCAAGGAGACGATCACGAATGCCAACGCGCAAGGGTAGAGAGGTTTTAGATGTTGTACATGATTCGAGAATGATTGTTCTATTGATCTGTTGTTCGTAGCCGTGACAGTGTATGAAAGTTGACCGCCGTGATCAATGCAACTGAGCAGCAGCCAGTATAAGCCGCGCCACGGTCTCCGTGATCGGCGTGTAGGCTGTCCACACTGTGGCGTCCGTCGTCACCTCGCCTCTGAGCGACGAAGCTGCCACGGCGCGATGCGTTTGGCTGAGGATGTCGGCGGACAGCGAACGGAAGATCGGATATGCGCTCGGTGTGGTCGATGTCTTACGTTTTCCGTCGGGATGAAACGTGAACAACGTATGTTAGTGAGGAAAGTTTTGCGTGTGAGGTGGGAGGGAAGGGGAGGGGTGCTTACAATGGACTCGTTGACAGCGCCGACGGTGAGGCTCGCGAGGGAGACGCTGTTCAGCGGCGGCTGTTGTGTGCGGCTCTCGCCCTTCGCATCGGATGCTTGCGTGGGAGCGTAGATGACGCTGGCTTCGATGCAGGCTTTCACCGCTCGGGCGATCTGCACTTCCAACGTGAACGATTCCGCCGAAAAAGCCGTGATGCGAGCCTTGACGTGTTTGAGCGGTATTGTCGGTGGAGCCAGGCCTTTTTCCACGGCGACGGAGAGATAGCTGTGCAAAGCTGCGAGGTAACTATGTAGTGCTTGGGGTGATGTTGGTGGTTCGAGGTTCTGTTGCTTTGTTGTGAGTCTTGTGTTGGTCGGATTTTGAGATGGAAGGAAGGCGGTCATCTCTACCGACTGCTGCCCAGCATCCTCTGCTACATTGCTCTCCACCGCCTCGTCCTTCTTTCCCACCACAGCAGCTCTGATCGGCACCGCTGGTCCCCAGCTTCCCACCTCCAACAGCTTCTCCTGCTCCACAAACAACCTCCTTTTCTTCCTCACCCTCAACAACCTCTTCTTCTCGTCCCCCTCGTGCATCAGCCGCTCCGACAGCTGCAACGCGTTCCCCACCGAACCACCGTCCTCCACCCTCCCCACCAGCTCGGCTGCAACGCGAAACGCATGATCGACGTTCGCACGGTAGCGTTGCATGCTTTCCGCCTGTGCGTCCGAAGAAGGTAGGAGTGGCGTCAGAAGGGTAGGTAGCAGGTGGGTGAGACCGCCCGGACGATAGTCGAGTAGCGGGATGAGCTGTTGTATTTGGGAGAGGGCGAGCATGAGTTGTGCGCTGTTGGGTGAGGATGAAGATGTGGCGTTGGCGGTGGCGGTGGTGGCGGAGCTGCTTGCGCCGGAAGCGGTGGATTCGTGGGTGAGCGAGTCCATGATTAGGGAGATGAAGTGTAAGGAAGTAGTCGAGGAAAAGGGGATTGGGCGGTGGTGGGGAGAGGCGAAACTACGAAAGAAGTGTGGAGTTGCAAGCGTTCCCATTTCCCGCGTCCCGAAAGCGCCGACTGCACCTGCAAAAAAGAGACCGAAAGAGGCCATACTGGACAGCTCAACAACGCAGTCAACAACCTTTTCTCAACATCACTTCGTCTCGAACTTCATGATACGATACAAACACTTTCCATTCACACAGTGACAGACTACATAGAGCACCATCATCCATAGCATTCCAGCACTTTACTTGTTACCGTGACACGAAGCACAGTTGAAGATTGTGAAAGCCTCCTTGCTGCTGCTGGTGTTGTTGGTTGCGTTGCCGGCCCACACCTGCTCTGCATACAGCGGGTAGATGTCCTGGATCGTGTACTGGTTGTAAGCGGCGACGTCGTCCAGCGTGTAGTTCTTCTCTGTCTGCAGACCGTTGAGGATCCTGACGACGTTTTTGGCGATAAAGTCGAGGAAGATGACGTCGATGGTGGTGTTGCCCGTGACATTCTGACCCGTGACGGGGCTCTGGACGTAGTCGGGGACAGAGGCGTAGGGGATGGCGGTGTGGACGGTGTCGTCTCCGTAACCGGGGCACGAGTCTTTGGTAACGTAGCCGAGCGTACGGTTGGCAGCAGCGGCTGCAGCTCGAGCGTCCAGCTTGGCCAAGTCTCGTGCAGCTTCTGTATGCGCAGTAGCGCGCACGTGCTGGTCCTGCATCCAACGGTTGTAGATGTGAGACACGTGTCCTTGGGCATAGAGCTCCTCTTCGCTCTGCTCGTCATCGACACCAAGGTCGCGTCGACGACTGGTGGCCTGCGCAGTCTTGTCGCCGTTGAGCTTGCTGATCACCTGGCTGGCGTACTTGTAGGGCACATTCTTGATGTACTGGAACGCATCCGTGAACGGAGAAACGATGTACTGGTCGTTCTTGGTAAAGTCGCCAGCGTACAGATCGAAACGCTGGGAACCCGTGTTGGCAATCACAATGTTGGGCGTACCGTTGCGGTTCGGGTTGGACGTCGAGATGACCGTCGGCAGCACCTTGTTGGTCATAAAGTTGATGAGCGACGAGCTGTCGTTGACGGGTACACGCTGGAGGTAGTAGTCCTGTGGCGCAGTTCCATAGCTCATCGAGAGGTTCCAGTTCTCAGCGACCTGGTTCATATCGCTGGTGATCTTCTTGCCAGCTTTCGTGTCGAACTTGTCCGGGTGGTGGGCGAGACCGGCGTGGAAGGCATAGTTGCGTCGGTTGGCGTCGATGTAGCTGCGGTTGAAGGTGGGAACGTCGTCGGTAAAGTTCATCGATAGCCAGCCGATGGTTTCAAGGTATCGACCCGATTCGATGCCCATCGAGTACTTGTCGTAGATGATGCAGTCGCGGATGTGGGAATGTCCGCCGAGGACCATGATGGGCGTGGTAGGGTGGACCTTGCGGATCGCGTTGACGACGGTGGGGAACTGGTCTTTGCGGACAGGCATGTGTCCTGTAAGCAAAAACACGTCAGACTCCTCCTGAATGGCGTCGATGAACCACGGCTCGAGGACCATCTTGGCAGGGTCCTGTACCGTGATACCGCTGTCGGCGCCGGTAAAGTTGAAAAGGACGCCGAGGCCAGTGACGTTTCGTCCCCCGTCGGTCTGGAACTTGACGAATCGCTCGCCAATCACGTAGCTGGTATTGCCCGCACCGCCGTTGAGGTCAGCATGGCTGATGTTGACATTGGAGCTGACGTAGCGACCCTTGGTCGTGGGCACAAACTCTTGGTAGGTGTTCCAACCGACCTCGTACTTGTAGAGCTCGTGGTTTCCTACAGTGAGCATGTCAAACTGGACCCTGGCGTGGAACTGGTTGGAGACCTGACCGTCGACTTGACCGGCAGGGTAGCCGTCGCTGAGGCCGGCTCCATCGTGAAGATCGCCCGTGTCGACAAGAAGCAGATCGACGCCCTTCTTCTTAGCGAGGTGGCGCATGTGCGTAACGAAGGAAGCGAAATCGCCCCAATCGCCAGAGTAGTTGGGCTCGGGATAGCTCTTCTTCATGTGACCTGTGTTTGCGCGGCATAGCAAACGATCAGCCTCATTGCAAGAAATACCGTTAACAAGTGGCAGGACAACATACCTTGATACCAGCCGTGTACATCGGTGAGATGCAGTACCTGGAGATCACCCCAAACGAGCTCGCGAAGCATGCTGTCGACAGCGCGGGGCTGAATCGAGTGATCAGCTTGACGAGGAGCGAGGCCTTGAGCATGGTCGATGCCAGGGCACGCCGAGACAGCACCGGCGAGGGCGATCGCAGCTGAAAGGAAACGACTGAACATCATCCTGGGCAAGATGCGTCGTTGGTAGGTGGAAGTTGGAGGGACGGCTTTGCGGTGATGTCGTGTGCGAGATGCGGAAGGTCTTATACTATTCGCTTACCCAAAGCTTTCGCCCCCCGCTTTTTGCCCAGAGTGGGCTGCCGGCGGGAATGTTCGAGGGTTGACTCTTCTGTCCTCTGTGTCGCCATTCTGATTGAGGGTGGTCCGAGTTGCATGGAAGATGATGTTCCGAAGTCTGCAAAGTTTGCATTCTGCGCTAAAAATGGATTAAGCGAGAAGCGGTTCGGATAGCAAAACGTGTGCGTTATCAAGCGCGGTAATGCAATCACAGAAGCCTATCGCCTCTCTTGTCTCAGAGAGGGCAGCGTCTTTGCTCTCAAGGCACGATATCGGATGCTCGGGAGCTGGCAAACCCCTCGCTTTAGCGTCGTGCCTGACACAGTTGCTTGACGAGCCTTCCGTTGTCAGCATAGCCTTTAGAGAGGAGGTGACTGAGATTGGATTCCAGTTTGCGTTGTTTGAAGTATCGCTTTTGGTGGCGAATACGCGGCTGGCCGGCGGCCAGAACGTGCCCTGAGGCAATTTTACTGGCCGCGGAATCGAAGAACGACCAAAAGAGCTGACGACTCACTTTGTACCAGCCAAAACGTGCCATCAAGACCGGCACAGCCTGACAACCCAATCAATCGATGCCGTCGTCCGGGGAAAAATCGAGGGCTTGTCAACGTATGGGACGCAAGCTCGGAGCTGGCCGTCTTTGAAGATGCTCCCCTGGTTCGGTCATTCGTCCTAGGTAGCTTCAGGAAGGCGAACACGTCGCACAAGCATCATGAATATGCGGGTGTCTTTCCGCTTGAGCTTCCGACAGCTCTTCAACAGAAGTAGGACTCTTCAGCGCCCAATCTAGTACAGTACATCAGCCGCTCTGAGCCCGATTCACGATTGAGGCCACTCGAACACCGGCTTCGGCGATCCTTCACTTCATGCCTCTATCTATCCATTCAACCGCAGGCTACATATACACATCTCAAACGAAACACAACATCTGCGGCCACAGGAAGTTGAAAACACCGCATCCCGTCCGATCTGCGAAGTTAAGCAACTTACCGCCTAGTCAGTACTGCGGTGGGGGACCACGCGGGAATCCTAGGTGCTGCGGTTCTTTTTTTCTGTTTCTCAAGTCAGATTCATGTGTTGGCACCCTCTTCCCCGCATCAGACGGCTTACACACATAATCGCATCTACGGATCAAACGACTCCAAACTCGAGACGTTCAGCGTGGCCGCGATGGCAATTCGATCGAGGATCACCAGAATATGGATTTGTTTTTCTGAGATTGCTGCCGAGGAATCTAAAAATGTGTGTGTCTGTGTGCATAGGATGTGCTTGTGCGTACACGATGATAGATGAACAGCTCCTTCACTTGCTGTCCTGCTCGAGCTTGGTCAGGAACTTTTCCAAGTCGAACGCTGGGTTTTCGGGATCCGTGACGACTGTCGTGAGAAGGAGAGAGGAGAAAAAGAGGTGTGTCAGTTGAAAGAGGTTCACATGGGATCATTTGAACGTCGACACTTCCAAGAATGTCAAAGCTGGGGCGATGGCAAGTGTCGTAAGACGTGGATTTTGTGGATGCAGCGGAGCAGGAAGCAATGGGTGTCAAGCCCCGCAAATCCCATCCGTTTCCGAGCGCGGTTGAACAAGGAGCTTCGAGTCGATGGCAAGCAAAGCCAGGCGAGGGACTCCTTGTCCGAGAGCCTTGCCACATGACATCGCCAGCTACAAGGCTGTCAACGTGCTGCTGCTGCTGCTGCTGCTGCTGCTTGGATTTCACCTGCACTGTCCGCGGGCGAGTCCGAGCTGGGAGATTGAAGCCCTCTCGACCGCGTGCTGGTATCCTAGTTGCACCGTGGCTAGCTTCCCAGAAAGAAATCATCTCGACAACGATTTCGACCGAGCCTTTTCTTCAAGCTCTGTGTTGCAGCTGCTTCCACCGAACTGCTCCGCACTCCCAGCACCTTGATCGACCGTTTGGAGCCTTTCCCATTTCAGCTTCATATCGTCGAGCCTTCCTGCACCACCTATACCACCCCCGCGGCCTCAATCGACCAATTTGCCTTCCACTTGCCAACCTGTTCTTGCCAGGCTTTTGCGCATGATACTCACTGCCAGAATCGCTCTGCTTGGCGACGAGCTTGTTCTTGTATGCCTCCTTTGCCTTTTGGATGAGCTGCTCCTTGTGCTTGTATTCGGCGTGAGCGGCCTTGGCGTCCGCCTTTGCTTGCAATGTTCTGCGGTGGAGAATGCCGTATCCGATACCTCCTACCAGGGCCGAGTAGCGGACCACCTGTTGATTCGAGGGGAGACAAGGACGATAAAATTTGGATGAAGAGAGTGTTGCGATAGGTGGATGTGGCGTGCGAGTCGTAGGGTGGGTTGAAGGCGAGAGCAGTTTGGGAGATCATGGCAGTGATTGCAACAGAAAAGACGCAGAGGGGTTCAAGGTCAGCTAGCTGCGATCAATCTACAAAGCAAGAGCGGCTGACCCGACAGATCGGAGGAGGCTCCGAATGCAATCCTCGACACTCGGCCCTGCGATCAGACGAGAGCAAGGGACACTGTCTGCGCTGCGTATCACAGTACTTACATTCAAGACTGGAGAGCCCGACATTGTGTGTGTGTGAGGATGTACGTGTGCAAAAGGTACGTTGCGAGACCGGACGGACCTAGAAGAAAGCGACCTCGAAGGAAATGCTTAGATGGTGCGCCGAACGAAGAGCGAGAGATCCGAGTATACGACGACGGCGAAGAAGGAGGAAGAAGTTGCAGATAGGTTGGTGATGATCAAAGATCGATGAACAGCCAACGATGAGCAGCAGTTGCTATCCTCGACGAAACTGCCAAACAGCCACGGCGACCACACAGACAGCCAAGATGCAGAATATCGGCACATGGAACTCTCTCTCTCTGTCTCTCTCTCTTTGCGGGAGCGAGCGATGTGGCTTCGTCTCCGGTTGAGAAAGGACGCTTTCTTCCAAAAGAGGGAGCGGACACCTTTTTGAGCCGCTGCTTGCCTATTCTTTCCGTTAATCCGCGTTCGAGCTTTTGAATACAAACTCGAATTCAAGTGTCGCGGAGCGTTCTCCCGGACTTGAATTTGGGGAAATTTCTTCTTGGAATTCCACATCCGCATCAGCTTTAAATGTGAGGTTTTTACGATCCAACAATTAAAGCAAACTCAATATTGTGGGAGTGTCAATGTTAGACCGATGTTAGGTCTATCTAAAAGCACCAGCAAAAAGAGGGGTGTGAGCGTCGTTAGCTGCGGCGTCCTCCAATCAGAACAGCGCCCGGGCTCTCTGGTGTCTGACTTGCTCTCCCTGGACAATTCTGTTCAGCAAGAATGCCTGACTTGACAAGATGCTACACCGTCTGTGGCAATGATCTCTCAAGCGGCTGTAGACACTTTTGAGAAGACGAGGCGGGAAGCTTCTCCTCCGCTGCTGATCACCGCCAGCCGTGAGCATGGGACTAGAAGAAAAGTGTGAGAGCGTGGTGCAGGGTAGGCCAGGTTTCCTCTCTCAAAATTGAAAAGAGAGGCAGCAAGAGGCTCGCTCAGGAAGAAATCAGCACACAGACGGCCGAAAGGCAGCTAGCTGGAAATAGAGCGAAATATGCAGGCGGACAAGAAGGAGGTGCAACGAGTGAACCCGGCGCAGAAGCACACGGACAGGCGCAGAAGAGCGCGAGCGAGCAAGCGAGCGACAGAGCAAGCAAGCAAGCAAAAGCCACGCCGCCGTCTTCCTGATTCTGATTGCGCATAGATCCTCGTCGTTTTTGCCGCTTGGTCGTGATCGTCTCTACACACCATCTCGATCATCTTCTCGACATCTCTTTCGTGTTCGGTTCCGACTCGACCTTCTTTCCCCCCCTTTTCTCCTGCATATACAATCATGGTTCTCAACCAGGAAAAGCTCGCCAAGCTCCAGGCTGCCAGCCGAACGGGTACGTTTCTACAGCACCAGCGACGATGCAATCGGTTGCCAAACGTCATACCCTCCGGAAGCAGCGGCATCGACTGCTACTTTGCTGGGCGCCAACGTCCTGACGGCAGTTGTCGTTCCAAGGGCAGGACACTCTCGCTACGTTTGCATCGATGTTCATGACTGACTCATTCCCTCTTCCTACTGTATCGCATCTCCTACTCTCACCTAACCCGAATTCGACGCCCCTCTTCCGACACTTCATTTTGCCATTCCGTCGATCGGCTTCGCACATTGCCGCTTGGACCGGATCAACCGACACACGCACGCACCCCATCGTCGATAACCTACCAACTGCCTCGACACTTGACTCGTTTCACGATACACTTGCAACAGGTGGTAAGGGTACCCCCCGTCGTAAGATGGCACCCAAGCCCAAGGGCCCCGGTGGTGAGGACCCCAAGCTCCAGGCTGCACTCAAGAAGCTCCAGGTGGAGCCCGTCTCTGGTATCGAGGAGGTCAACATGTTCAAGGAGGACGGCAACGTGCTCCACTTTGCTGCTCCCAAGGGTGAGTTTCACACTGGCATTTCGTAGCAAGAGGGCCGAAGTCGGGGCAAGGGAGGCGATCCGGGTCAAGTTTTTGGTGTGCGAAGGCGGCAACATGTGTGGAACTACGATGCCTAGACGATTGCGAGCGAGTCACTCAACGGGCTCGCTGCAGCCCGCGCAACAGCACCACGAGGAAGCTTGACAAGCAAGGCACTAGCTCGATACCGAGATTGTCATGCTGGGTTCAAGCATGCGATTCGTCGATCGCGCTCCTTCACTTTGCAGGTTGCCGCCGTCTCCAACCCAGCACGCTTGCTCAACGAACACCTTCCGACGAAAATTGCTTCTCAGGCATCGTCTCACTTCGGATTTCCCGACGCTCCGACCGAACTTCGCTCGCCATGATACGCTAGACTCTGATCCAAATACTGATTCGCCTCCATCTCATCCATTCTCCCCACTCACAGTCCACGGTCTCCAGTCGTCCAACACGTTCGCCGTGTACGGCAACGGAGTCGACAAGGAACTCACCGAGCTCGTGCCCGGCATCCTGAACCAGCTCGGACCGGACTCGCTCGCCTCGCTGCGCAAGCTCGCCGAATCGTACCAAGCCATGAACGCCCAACACGCCGCTTCGCAAGCCGCTGCCGGCGGTGCTGCTGCTGCTGGAAAGGACGACGACGACGTCCCCGATGTCGTGGAGAACTTTGACGAGGCCGATGCGAAGAACGAGACCGAGGTCGACAAGCTTGATTAAAGAGCGGAGGAAAGCAGGATGAACCCCAGTCAAGCTACTTCGATGAATAATGTAGCTTGGAAAGATGGCTTTTTGCACGGTACAGTGTTGAAGGGGGATAAGGAAAAGACGAGAGGATCAGGTTCTCGGTGCATCTTTTACTTTCCTCGTACACTCACACCAACCAACCCCAAAAAATTGAACAAATGACACATACGATGTCGTTGCACACCCAGACTTTCACACTTCCCCTTAACTTGCATTGGTTTCTATTCGGGTTCTCTTTCGAGAAGCAGCTAATCCACGCCGCTGCTGCTGCTGATCTCTTTTCATTCGCTGATGGTGAACTTGTGAACGACACCTTTCCCCAACACCTTTTGATAACTCTCCAACCTGCTCAAACCTTTCAACCATTCCACGGTTTTTGGCCAATCCTCCATTTTCTTCCCTTGGCTGGTGATACCCGTGTCCATGTGGAAGGTGTATTCTGCTGTGAAAGCACACATGATATCTGCTGCGGTCAACCTTCCTGCGACGAGAAAACCGTTAGCGTTGGGTCTGGAGAGAGACTGTTCAAGGAAATTGAGGTTATTGTGGATATTCGCAGAGAGACCTGCTTCGATCTCCTTTGCGATTTCAGGGGTTGAGAACCATCGAGGATAAATAGCGGAGAGAGTGTGGATCATCATTCCCTCGGAGAAGGAGATGAAGGATTCGATAGCGGTGAAATCGGACCAGTTGGAGGGGGATCCTAGAAGATCGTCTCGTTGACGTTGAGAAGCGTAGCGCGTGATGAGGTACTTCACGATGGCGGACGATTCACCAACCTGCACGTCCCCATCGATCAAGTAGGGCGATTTACCAAGCGGATTAGTGGATTCAGAGCGGAGCGTCGGTTCGGCTCGTTTGCCTTCGATTCGTCGAAACTGCTTGAGCGTGTAGGGGAGCGAGAGGTGTTCGAGCAGCCAGGCTACGCGGAACGCTCGTGAGTTTTCCAGGTAGAACAGCGTGAGGTCGGGTGAGGCAGACATGACGAGAAATGGGTTGGGAGACGATGGGTGTTGATGGTTCTTGGTCAAGTTGAGCGAGAGGATGGAAGCATTGTTGATTACCGAGGGTGAGTGGGGTATCGAGTCGCCGTCTGAGAATCAATCGACATGCGGGGAAGGAGCCGCGTCTTATTTACGAAGGTACGCGACTCCTACGCCGGATCTTCCTCCAGGTCGCTTTCAAAGACTTGTTTCTCGACGTTCTTCACCTCGGTGTATAATTCGCAAGAGACACTCAGCCTTACTCTATCCCACTCTGTACGGTTCTGTTCCGACTCCGTACCAGGGAAAGACTGATCGTCCCCGATTCAGCCCCGTCGATCGGGGATCGAAGCATCGCACACCGTTTCGAACGACAGGATGCTATGACCTCTCTTTCGGATTGGACGGTGCACACCAACGTCACACACACACGCAAACGCCAATGTCTGAGGAAGCCTTGAGCACGATAGTCGGGAATCGTTCTTTTTTTCGCCATGTCGGTATGTACAAGTGGTCGAATGTGCTTCTTGACGAACATCGCTTCTGAGCTTTTAAGCGAGCTTACCCTCGGCCCAGCGGTTGGTCTTGAGCGCCATCCTGTGACACAACAAAAGCGGAACGGTGAGAAGAAACCATAGTCAGTATAGCCGATCGTGACTCCAAAGGTCGACCTTTTGTCTTTATACTCACTCTACAGCAGCGGAGCCCCAATCCAAACCGTGATTGTGACCCTTGTCGCCCTTCCTCCCGACGCCGCTCCTCTCCAAGGCCTGATCCTCGGTCAGCGCGGTCAACACACCCAGGATGACCGGTACACCCGTATCCAACCCGATCCTCATCAACCCGGAACAGCACGACTCGGAAATATACTCGAAGTGCATCGTCGATCCCTTGATCAGCACGCCGATTCCAATGACCGCATCGAGGGCTGCTTTGCTCGCCTTTGCACCCGTAGTCGTCGGTGTAGCGGGTTTCGAGTCGTCCAACAGAGACGTAGCGCCCATGAGATCGGACACGTTGGAAGAGGCCTGAACCTGAGACGCCGAGATCAGTCGCGATACGCCAAAGGGAAGCTCCCACGAGCCGGGCACGGATTCGACGACGATGTTCTCGGGTTTCACGCCGGCGGCAGTGATGTTCTTGATGCAACCGTTGACCAAGGGTGTGATGCATTCTTCGTTCCAGCGGGCGTGAACGATTCCGATGCGCAGCTTTTCGGCACCAGGAAAGGAGGTGGGTGCCGGAGCGGGACCTTTGATGCTAGCCATGTTGAGTTGAGTTGCGGTGAGCTGGGTGAGATGGAGTCGGGAGAAAGAAGGAGGGAAGGGAAGGAAGTGACAAGGTCGTACTGCACGGTGCAAGCAACGCAGCGCTGTCTGTGCGTTGAATGCGCCGAGTCTAAATTCCGTCCGCGGGCACAAAGCGACACAGCCTGCACGAGTCGAGGCTGCTGTGATCGGTTCGTGGCCCGATGGGAAAACAGATTGTCACAGAAACACACTTAGTGAATCGGCTGCTTACACTTTGTTTTGAACAGAATATTCGAGCCTTGGTTTCCACCTGCTTTTTCGGTCCTGACGGCGTTTCTTCGCACAGGAAATTCATCATTCACTCGGCACCGGAAGTGAAGAAAGCGATCTTTACCGGCTTCTCCTTTTTGTGGCACGGCGGAACAGCACAACGCATTGATCATCGTTCTCTCGCTTTACCCTCTGTGTCTCTCCTCTTTCACTCTAGCCGGTGCCGTTACCCGTCGTATCACCTTTGCCCTCCTCCCCACCAACAACAGCGAGAACCGCTTCGACATGAGGACGTCTGCCCTCCTTCGCACATCCTCCTTCCTCATCTCTCGATCTACACCCACCGCATCCCTTACCATCCCTCTCCTCCTCTCCTCGTCCACCCGCACCCTCGCCCTCTCCAGCAACATGTCCGCCAAACGCAATTCTGCCAACGCGCGTCTCAACCAGCTCACCCGTCAAATCTCTTCCACCGCTTCCCACACCATGACTGCTTCTCCTCCCAACCGAGCCTCTAGCGCGGGTGCTGGTAGTATGGACGACGCCAAACTCGTCAAGCTTCTGTCCGAAGGTGGACTTCGCACCATCCTCCTGAACCGCGAAAAGGCGCTCAACGCCTTGAACCAAGAGATGGTCGACCTCATCAACGCCGCTCTCGACGAGTGCATCCGTTCCACCAACTGCAACGTCATCCTTCTCCGCGGTGTCGGTCGAGCCTTGTGTTCGGGAGGCGACGTTTTGGCAGTCGTAAAAGCAGCCGATTCGTCTGATCCCAAGACTCGCAACACGGCATTGGATTTCTTCCAATCCGAGTTCCAGCTGGACTACAAGATCGCGAGGTTGGGCGAAGCGGCTAATGCACACTCGGCAGGCGCCGGGGCTGAGGATGCTAGGACGTTGGCCGAGTCGAAAGCCGGAGCCAAGAAGCCGAAGACGTTCGTCAGTGTCATGGATGGCATCACAATGGGCGGTGGTGTAGGGTTGAGTGTTCACGCTCCCTTCAGGTTGGCTACCGAAAGAACGCTTTTCGCCATGCCGGAGACGGGTATCGGTTACTTCCCGGATGTGGGTGTTACAAGGGTGCTGGCCAGGCTGGATGGAAAGATCGGTCAGTACCTCGGCATGACCGGTGCCAGGATCTCCGGTGAAGAGGCATACCTCATCGGGCTGGCAACGCACTACGTCAGCTCGAGCAGCATCGATGCCGTCGCCCACAGGTTGAGCACCCTTCCCAGCGAATCGGCACTCAACCCGAGCCTGGTTTCTTCCGCACTGCACGAATTCGACGCCGACCCACTGACCGCAAAGGACACGCTCGCCAAGTCTGCCTTCTTCGGCGACCGTCGCATCGCCCTCGACTACGTGTTCGGTCAGCTCTCCTGCGAATCCATCGTCAGCTGTCTCGAAGAAATCTCTGCCGCAAAGTCCGACTCGCAAGCCGCAGCTGAACTATCCCAACTCGGTTTCGCATCCATCACTCCCGAAGTGCAGCAGTGGGCGACGTCTACACTCAAGGATCTCAAGACAAAGTCTCCGCGATCGCTCAAGATCACCCACCAGGCGATCCTCGAGGCGAGGCGATTCGATGTGGAGGAAGCATTCCGATTCGACATGCGTCTCGCCACCGCCTTCTGCGATCTATCCGTCGGCAGGGATTTCCACACCGGCGTAACCCACGTCCTCGAACGCGACCCCGCCACCGGCAAGCGTAGAACAGGAATCGCCGATTGGCAACCTTCGTCTCTGGACAAGGTGTCGGATACCCAGATCCGTGCGTTGTTCTTCGCCGATCTGGAAACCGCTAAGAAGGCAGGCTTGAAGCTGCAGTTGCCCGAGTTGAAGGATATTCCGGATCCACCCAGCAGCAAGGAGGCTAGGCAGGCGAGGGACAGTCTGTTGAGGGGAAAGGGTCCACTCAAATGGGAGCAGAGTCACAATGTGTTTGCGCTGCCGAGCGAGGCTGAGTGTGCGGCATTGTTGGAGGGAAACCACCCGGCCGCGGCGGCGGTCAAGCCGGACAGTGGCGAGTTGGTCGATTGTCTCAAGAGACACAAGGGTAGTCTGCCTGGGTTGGAGTATAAGGTCAAGGACTGGGTCGAGAGGATGGACCGAAGAAGGGTTTAGAGCTCTTCAGGTTGAACACAAATCGATTTGCTTGCAAACAAACTCTTCCATTTCCTGGTCTTGCTCTTCCGATCGTGTGCCCCAGGAGGTCCAGAGAAGAGGTCTTGCCGTCTTGCAGCCCAAGTCGAGAGCCGCACATCTGCTTTTCTTCCTGAGCCGAGCCAGCGACAGAGACCGGGACCGCGAAGAAGACAATGCCTCGGTCCAGCCGAGCGGGTGTCGGCTTGTCCGCGTCCGGCGCTTGCGCTGCGCTAGTAAGGTTCCGAACCCGAAGGTGTGCTCAGATTTGTCATTCTACTGATGGCTCGTGCACACATCTCGGAATAGATTCGAGGCTCCACCAGGAGGCAGATCCGAAAGCAAAGACAATACAGTTCGGCCAACAACGAGACGGAGAACTATATGAAACAAAAGTTAAAAAAACGGCGAAAAAAGAATGCACTGAAGGGGAATCGAACCCCTGCCTCTTGCTAACGCGCCTTGCGGCGCAGGTGTGCCCCCTTGTGAAATGGAAGGCAAGAATTCTACCACTGAACTATCAGTGCCAGTTCATACCTGCCAAGGGTAGCTGCCATATATAAACTACACAGTTTGTGTCTGCAGTCAGTTGCGCTGTCGGTGGGTCGAATTGCCTGGAGGTCTCAAACTCTCACTAACGATCGAACTTTGTACCAGCGAGAGGGTCGTGGCGCTGGAACGCACTGCAGCTTGACATTCAGAAATGGCATTGTAAAGCACACATGAACGCAATGGCATTGCAGTACAAGAAGGCCATCTACACGTCTTGCCAATCGAGCGACCCGATGATGGCCGTCTTACTCGGCAACCTGCCGGCACTCGGTGACAGCACCGTGATCTTTTTCCTCACCGTATCGATGTCCGCCACATGCACAAAACCCAAGATCGGAGCGCCGATGATCTCGTCGTCCGTCGGATTGGTGCTGGAGTCCGGCTGACCTGCGCCGCCTCCACCTCGCGGAGGTTGGATGAGAGCCAGCACGCTGTGCAAGAGGCTGGTCTGATCGGCTGCGGAGTTGGTGGGATCGAGTTTGACCAGTTGCGTCTCGGTGATGGTGCGGGAAGCGCCGATAGGAAGGGCGGAGGATGGCGCCAGAGATTCCTGTCCGATCTTGTAGATCTCGAGTAGGTCGAATGGGATGGTGGTGCTGTAAGGGCTGAGGGAGGGAACGCCGCCGAGCGGATCAGAGTGGCCGGGAAGCACGGCTTTCGGGACACCGCTTTCCGTATTGCCACCGGCAGAAGAAATGCCGCCGTAAAAGTACGTTTTGACCTGCAACGCTTTCAGCCGCGAACGGTAGGTGTCGTCCAGCTCGACCACACCTCCGGACTTGGGCAGCTTGATCACGTTCACCCTAGGCAAGCGTTGCCCTTGTGATCCAGGGATCTCTGCTGTCTGAGCAGTGGCGGCGGGAGAGGCGAACAGCTTGGTCATCTCCAAATTGAGCTTTTCGTGGCCGAGCACCACGATGGTGTCCACCTTGAAAGCTTTGACGCAGTGCTGGATGAAGGCGTACTTGCTGCGTGCGTCCGCAGTGATGACTCCGGGCGTGTCGATGACGAGACCCGACATGCGCGATCGGAAGTCCCGCGCTAACCTTCGTTCCACACCCTCCGCTAGCCAATCTACCACGCGGCGGAAATGGCGTTCGTTGTCGCGTACGTTCTCTTTGCCCAGCCAAAGCGAGAGGGGAGCCACGCCATGCGCGGTCGATGTACCTGGAGGGATGGCACCCGTCGTGCTTGTGTTGGTACCGAGGGGAAATGCAGGGGAAGCCGAAGGCAGCGAAGCGAGTGGCAGTGGAGAAAGCGGCAAAGCCGACAGGCAGCACGGCAGCGGAGGTGCACCATCGCTCGGATCAAGATTGACCACGACGGGCCACCATCCGGTGATGTCGCTTCTCTTCTCCTCCTCGCGCTTCTCCTTCTTGGCTTCTTCGGATAGGTTGGCCTCCATGTTCGGGTAGATGATGCCGTCTCCTCCCGTTCGCAGGCTCTCGGCGACTTTGCCAGCCTCGCCTTTGCCCAAGCTGGCGACGGCGGGAGATCGAAGCGCATAGTTGGCGAGAAACTTGACTAAGCTCGTCTTGCCTGCCGACTCTGGACCGAGGACCATGACTCGTGGACCCTGCCCTTCCGGTCGATACACGGTCGACGCCGCGGTGCCGCTTGGATCGGATTCGGTTTCGGTGCCTTGATCGGTGGTGCGGGGCGCGATGTAGCTCGGATCCAGTACGGAGCCTGCCAAGGTCGATAGTAGTTTCGCATCGGCTCTCAGTGCTTGACGTGCCTGTATTCGTTGACGTTCGAGGTAAAGATGCAGATTCGAGTAGGCTGTATAGACGGGAGAAGGCTCGTCGGCGAGGTACTCTGTGGACGCGGACCCAGCCACTTCGATCTCGGCACCTCTCCACGAGGACACCGCAGCTTTCGCCTCATCTCCAAACGGGTACCATCTCTCCTGCGTACCACCGACCAGTTCAGCACCAAAGATCTCAGCATCAGGCTCTTCGCCGCTCTGCGTACGCCCCTGCACGAGTCGAATCGAAAGCTTCTCGTGCGGCTCGAGCTCAAAACGGTACTCGGAGCGTGGCGGCAGATGCACTCGCCGATATTGAGACGAGCTCTCTGCCTGTGACTCCATCTGCGGCCGCCTTTGGATGCTGTGTGCGATGGGTGTCGGTGTCGATGTGGGTGCGAGCGGGATGATAGTGTTGCGGATCGGATGCGAAGCTGGACCCTGCTCAGACGCGGTCGTTGCCTACCGTGGAGCAAAATTTCTATCCGATTTCCGCACTTTGGCCGGCGTGTCGAAAATCGGGGGCGATCTCACCGATGATCATGCCACAGCTCGTCCATCGCCTCACAGTCGGCAGCTGCCGCCATCCAACGATTTGCACATGGCAAATGGCGTCAAGGATGCAGCTACGATGGAGGGACAGTTCCGACGTGCATCAGTATGATCCCGACACCTTCCGATAGTAGTCGACAGTGGAATCAGACGCGGCACGGCAGGTGTGTCTTCATCTTGCGGTACATTACAGAGCAGCCCCAACGGTGCGGCGAGTCTGCTCCAGCTTTGATCCGACTTGGCGGCACAGGTCTTGTATGGGACCGGAAGTCAAGGCTCGCCACAGGACCTGCCCTCTTGTTTGCGACGTTCTGGATGAGCAATAGAGTAACGTGAGTGACAACACGCGCATCTTTCGTTTGCAGCACGGAGGTGCTCAGGCGACACTGCACCTCAGACACGCACACACTGTATAAACGGTGCTCAGCGAGCGCAATGGCATTCGGAACAGCCGACATGTCAACATTTGAAGCTACCGTGACGGCAACGACGCAGGCTGTCCATCTGCCATCAAATCTCGAGACCAGCGTCGTGCAAAGTCGATCTCCTTTTGTCCGGCGTGGTCGAAGCCGCGAAATAGCAGAAAGAGAGATCTTGCGGATCCCGCGTAAATGCGAGCGGCCTGTGCGTCACTCCACATTTAGAGGATTTTCGTGCGTTTGCCGAGGAGGACGGGAAGAGCAGCATCATGCCCACTTGAATCTCGACACAAGCATGATGGAGTCACGAGCCAGCGCCACTCATTCCCACTCATGGACTTCAGAGAATAACCAAAAGAGAGGAGCTGATTGGGAGCCTTTTGCCAACACAGGTGGATACGTGTGACGTGTGCCGAGCCTTTTCCACTGTTGCATCAAGTCGACAGCCGAGAAGAGATCCAAAGACAGTTCCGTCCGGTCAAGAGGGTATCTGGGCAGCCAATGGACGGCACGCCATTGTCCTGCCTTGGGCTGTTGGGACACAGCATCGGGTTGAGGCGGACCAGACTCCTGTTGCATGACATGCAGAGGACTGCAATTGGATCTCATGCAACAAACTTGGGATTGCCGCTTTGAGCCGAAGGAGTCCGAACCACGACACAAGGGGCATTGCCGCTGTCAACAATTCCGGCATGAGGAAGTCTGGAAGCTGCTCTGTCCAGCGCCTCCGATCACGCCTTAGAAGCAATGGCGGAGCTTCAGGATCTAAGAAGCAAGACAAACCTTCTGTGTGGGGAAGAGTCCTTCAGAGACTGGCAGAGGACAGGAAAGCGAAGGGTTCGCTGCTAGGCGCATCTCGGCACCGTTGGGGAGGCCACTATACAGAACACCTGGCTTTCGCACCGGGGAATCAATCTCGAATTTTCAGTCTCAGTTGCAGGACGACCAGGAAGCATGCAAGGTGCTGGGCAGCCGTGGAGAGGTCTCCTGTCGAGACAAATGGCTAGGTCGCCGATTTCGGCACTGCATACAATATCTCACCGCTGACAGCGTCACAACGCGAGCGAGAGCAAGAGTGAGACCTCGCGAGAAGAGGAGAGAGAGACAGAGAGATGTTGGAGGCGAAGTACAGACCGACTCTCGATGAGAATAATAAGATTCGGCTTTTCCCCGCTAAGGCCAACGCCGTCCAAAGCCATTCACCGCACAAGATGCCCCATCTTCCCCAGCGAATACAGTGTGTCTGACAAAATAAATAATCATAAATAAAATAAAATACTATTAAGAGGAAATACGACGGAGTCTAGTCCATCGTGATTCGGAGTAAAGGACCCTCAATGCCTAGCAGCCTTGTTATTGTACTCGGGTGGCACGGTTTGATGATCGACGTCTACGCCAATCAGAGCATGCACGAAGAGAAAGAGGTGTGCAAGCAGCGAGAGCTCGCAGACGCACTCTGAGAGGGAGAAGGAAGGAACGAAGAAGGAGAGAAGAAGGAATGTGAGCCAGATCGGAGCGCTTGGCCGATGGACCGAGACAGCCATTTCAAACAGACAAAGGCCGTAACTCCATTTCCACTCAGCGCCGACGGCGTCGGTGACGGTGACGGTGACTGAGGCTGGTTGGATGTCTTTCTGGCTGCTGGCGTCCTGCTTGGCATCTCGCTTCTGGACCGCCCCGCCTCGCTGCTCTCTCTTCCCTACTGGCACTTTCCGAGACTGCCGTGCATATGTGCGTGACACGCTTGGTCCATGCCCTCCTGCCGTTGTGCTTTTTCCCGATGTGGAGCGAGGTGCGTGGCCAAGACAGCATTGAGTTCGCTTCAACTGCCGCTCTTCCCCACTCGTGACCAACGTTGGCTCTTTCGCCTCCAGGCGAGATCCACTCAGCGCCAGACGTATATAGACCCGTTCTATTCGTAGGTGCTGCCGCATCATCCTTTCTCGCCTCTTTTCTCCCATCGCCTTGTTACACCTTGCCTCCGGTTTCCACCACTACGGTCCAAGCGTGTCGACTCATCTCTTGTCCCACCGTCTGATTGACAGCAGAGACACAGAAAAGTCAAATCTACATCTTCCACCTTCTTCTCGTCCTCCTCCACCACTTTTCATTTCTACGCAAACATGGCTGAAGCCGAGGTCCCCGAGGTTCCGACTTACGACGTCCCTTCCCGTCTTTTGGGAAAGGACGGTCGTCCCGCTCCTCACATCTCAGCTGACAAGTACAAGACCGACTATCCCGAGTCGATCAATAACACTGACGACTTCTTCGGCAAGGTAAGTTTCGATTCGACACATCTTACTCTCTTTCTGCGCTCACCGGATAGCCCGACTTGTCCGGTCGGGAGATCCGCTGGTACTTGACAGCATTGGCTCGTGAGCGGCAGCTGCCGCAGAGGAGCTTCGACGAAGAAGCCCGAACCGCTCAACTGACGGCCTGCTTTGCATTGACTCTTCTTGTACTTGCCTCGCCTGCACAGGCCGCCAAAGAGATGATCGACTGGGACGTTCCCTTCAAGACGGTGCGCTCCGGTGGCTTTGAGAACGGCGATGTCGCTTGGTTCAACGAGGGTCGTCTCAACGCCGCCTACAACTGTGTCGACCGATGGGCTCACAAGTACCCCGACCGTGTCGCCATCATCTACGAGGCCGACGAGCCCGGTCAGCACCAGGAGATCACCTACTCGCAACTCCTCGTCCAGGTCTCGCAGGCCGCCAACATGCTCAAGACGCTCGGAGTCAAGAAGGGCGACACCGTCATCGTCTACCTTCCCATGATTCCCGAAGCCGCCGTCGCGCTCCTCGCCTGTGCGCGTATCGGTGCTATCCACTCGGTCGTGTTTGCCGGTTTCTCTGCCGACTCGCTCCGCGACCGTACCAACGACTGCGGTGCTCGCGTCGTCATCACCACCGACGAGGGCAAGCGTGGTGGCCGCAACATTGCCACCAAGAGCATCGTCGATGCGGCGCTCAAGGAGTGCGCCGGTGTCGAGCACGTCGTCGTTGTCAAGCGCACCGGCGGCCAGATCAGCATGGACGAGAAGCGCGACATTTGGTGGCACGAGGCCTGCTCGCGCGAGCGCGCCTACTGCGCTCCCGAGCCGGTGAGCTCCGAGGACCCGCTGTTCATCCTCTACACTTCGGGTTCCACGGGCAAGCCCAAGGGTGTCGTGCACGCCACGGCAGGCTACCTGCTCGGAACCGCGCTGACACTCCGATACGTGTTCGACGTGCACCCGGACAAGGGCGATCGATTTGCGTGCATGGCCGACGTCGGTTGGATCACGGGTCACTCGTACATTGTCTACGGTCCCTTGATGAACGGTGTCACGACGCTGATTTTCGAGTCGACGCCCGTGTACCCTTCGCCTTCGCGCTACTGGGAGATTGTCGACCAGCACAAGCTCACGCAGTTCTACACGGCACCCACCTCGATCCGACTGCTGCGACGATTGGGCGACGAGCACGTCAAGAAGCACGACCTCTCTTCGCTGCGTGTCATTGGTTCGGTGGGTGAGCCCATCAACCCCGAGGCGTGGCACTGGTACAACGACAATGTGGGCCGACAGCAGTGCGCCATTGTCGACACGTACTGGATGACCGAGTCAGGTTCGATCATGATCACTCCTCTGCCCGGTGCCACCAAGACCAAGCCCGGTTCGGCGACGTTCCCCTTCTTTGGTATCAAGCCCGTTCTGCTCGACCCCACTTCGGGTGAGGTTCTGGAGGGCAACAATGTCGAGGGTGTGCTTGCCATTGCTCAACCGTGGCCATCGGTGGCTCGTACGGTGTACAACGACCACCAGCGATTCCTGGACACGTACATGCGCGCCTACAAAGGCTACTTCTTCACCGGTGACGGTGCTGCTCGTGACAAGGACGGCTACATCTGGATCAAGGGTCGTGTCGACGATGTGATCAACGTCTCTGGTCACCGTCTCTCGACCGCCGAGATCGAGTCGGCGCTCATCCAGCATCCCGGTGTCGCCGAGACCGCCGTCGTCGGTATCCCCGACGAGGTGACCGGCCAGACGATCGCCGCATACGTGACGCTCAAGCCCGAATTCTCCTACGACTCAGAGGAGGCTCTCACCAAGGAGCTCGTCATCCAGGTGCGAAGAAACATTGGCCCCTTCGCAGCACCCAAGAAGATCATCATCGTCTCGGACCTGCCCAAGACGCGATCTGGAAAGATCATGCGTCGTCTGCTGCGCAAGTGCGCTTCGCACGAGACCGACAGCCTGGGCGACTTGAGCAGTTTGGCTGATCCTTCGATCATCGACCACATCAAGGAGAAGACCAACGCTTTTGACAAGAAGTGAAAAAGTAACAGGCTAAGGTGTCGAAAGAATCGCTTGTCATTTCTCGTATGGAGTTCCGCCCACGTCGTAATATATCGTTTGCTGCTATGAATGCGTACAAGCCTGTGTCGTAGGATGTGCGTTGCAGAATGCGTCTGGATGGGTTGATTGAGCTCGTGCGGGGGATCGACAGCTGGCGGACAAGGTGGTGGTGGAAGAAAGCGCTTAACCCCGCAATGGGTGAGCTGTGCACGGGGCAAGTGGAAGCACTCAAAAACGTCGTGTGCTTCGCGTGCTCGGATTCGGAAATAACATGCTTGGAGAATGCATTGCTATGCTTTTCCACGGTGAAGCTCACAGCTGCCAATCTGTTGCATGGACGAGGAGGATTCGAGGCTCGGTGCATCTGATCGATTTCGATATGAGCGTTGATCGGTGGACGAGAGATATTGTTGCAATGTGAGCGAGCATGAGGGGAAAAAGATCCGCGGAGGTGAGCCTTGACAGGCGTGAGAGGTTTCGAGCGGGACAAATTAAGGCTCGCGCTTGCAAGGCCGGTTAAAAGATACACACTCTGCTGTCACACTCCGGCGGCTACTTTGGTGCAACAATGAGTGAGTGCTCGGGTATATATATTCACCGAGCATCTGCTCCCACCTCTTCCATTCGCCATCATCCACTCTTCCTCGCGAGTGCTGACATGTCATCTCGACTGGCACGTATCACACGACACATCTCGCTCTCACCGCCATCGTCCACCATCTCCAACGTACGAACAATGTCGACCATCCGCGCACTCCAAATTCAATCGCAGGGCGGACCCGAAGTGGTCTCTGTCCACCCCATCCCGGCCCCCACGCTCTCCGGGTCCGGCAAGGTGATCGTGCGCAACGAGTACGCTGGGGTCAACATGATCGACACCTACCACTTTGGCGGCCTCTATCCGCTCCAGTGTCCCATCATCATCGGTCAGGAGTCGGCCGGTGTTGTGGAAGCTGTCGATCCGGACGTCACGAGCGTATCTGTGGGCGACAAAGTAGTCCAATACGGTGGAGGTTCGTACACCGAGAAGCAGCTGCTGGACGCTGAACGCGTGATCAAGCTTCCCTCCAGCATCTCCACAAAGACGGCGGCAGCGGCGTATCTGCAAGGACTCACTGCGCTGACGATCCTACGAGAAGCTCATCCTGTCAAGAAGGGTGATTGGTTGCTCGTCACCGCTGCAGCAGGAGGTGTCGGTCTCCTGCTCTGTCAGATGGGCAAAGCGTTTGGAGCCAACGTCATCGCCGTCACCTCCACGCCCGAAAAGTGCGAGCTGGCAAAACAACACGGCGCCACCCACGCCCTCACGTACAACAAAGAAAACCCTTCCGAATATATCGACTCCATCCTCAAACTGACCTCCAACCACGGTATCGACGGAATCCTCGACGGAGTAGGCGCCGACACCTGGGAATCCAACTTCTCCATCGCCGCCAGAAAGGGCACCATCGTAACCTTCGGCAACGCCTCCGGTCCCGTCCCCGCCTTCGCTCCCCTCAAACTCGCCCCCAAAAACCTCAAGGTCGTCAGACCCACCCTCTTCAACTACGTCACCACCCGAGAGGAAAGAGAACACTACTCCAAGGAGCTCTTCGATCTCATCGAGCAGGGCAAGGTCAAGATCAACGTGCACGACGAATACCCCTTCACAACCGAGGATATGAGAAGAGCGTTCGCCGATATCAAGAGTAGGAAAACTACTGGAAAGTTGGTTGTCAAGATCTGATTCCACGACCTTTGCACACACACTCACAACTACACACATGTGTCGGAGGGACAGGCGACGTCCACTCCGACTACCCGTCAATGCGAAAGTGTTCTAATTGCAATGCTGGAAAACGACGTAAACCAAGAAACAACGAAACCTTATGAGAATCTGTGCAGTGCTATATGATCGATAGGTGTAACGAAGCAGCGCAAAAAGCAACGTCGATCTACGACTTACGCTTTGAAAGGCGAAGTGCTCCTCGACCTCGCACCGTCCCTTGCATGCGTACGTTGAGGGCTGCTGTTCCTGCTCGCTGTCGAGTTTCTCCAGCTGAAAGCGCCTTCGCCGCCTTGCTGAGAGAACGAGGACCTGCCCGCTTTTCCCTCTTTGAAGCTTCGAGGTGACGTGTTTCCCAGACCTAGGCCGAGTGACTGACCGAGTGTACCGCCGGCAACAGACGTTGGTGGGGCCATGGTCGAAGGAGAGGGAGGTGCAGGGGAGCGACTACTGAACATGCCGCCACAGCTCGAACTCTGCTGTTGACCGTTGAGTCTGGCAAAGGGTTCTGCCGCAGAGCTTGGATTAGGGCTGATCGATTGGCGGCCGAATGTTCTGGTCTGAGGAGAAGTGGGACTGGTTCCGGACCTCGTTCCTACGCCGGGGCTGAGCATCGGCTTGTCACCAACGGACCCCATCGTCGGAGTCCTCACCATCTGCGTGGGGTTCTGCAAGCTGTACAAACCCTCCAGCTTCTGCTCGGATCGATCCGAATGAGCGCTGAACTCCAACGTCACTCCCGGCTCATTCTCCACCTCCAATAGCGAAGCCAACTTCTTGCCGATGCGGTTGACTTTGTCCACATCACTACGGTCTCTCACCCAGAGCGAAATTCTATCGCCTCTCGGCTTGACACTGCAAACGGCTCCGCACACCTCGTCACCCTCATCCATCTCCTCTCCGATCAGCCCCAACACCAACCACAACCAGCTTCGATCCACCAGAGCTGGATGTCGCTGCCGGAACGTCAACGTCCACTTGCCGCCATTTGCGTTGCGAGCGTCTTCCCACATGGGCTTGATGCCGTCCTTGAAGCAGTGGTAGGACGAGTGACGCTCCAGTTGCGATGGTCGGCGTAGCTTGGCGAAGCAAGAGAGGAACGCCTCGACGGTTGTATACGCGCCGATGCAGCGCAGATTGGCCTCCCACGACGAGGCACTTTGCGTCGGAGTGGAGGGCTGCACAAGTGGGCTCGCTGGCGGTGCAAGGGTGGGCGTAGAGGGAGCGGCTGCTGAACGTGTGTCGAAGAAGAGCGTCCATTCGTGCTGCAGCGGATGAGTGGCGGGTCTTGCGGCTGGAGAAGGAGGAAGAGGGTGATTGAGCTTGACAGTAGCGCCGCTACTCGGGCTCTTTGTCGAGATAGTCAGCGCAGGCTTTGCTGCTTGCATCACTGGTGTCTCTTGCTCAACGCTCGACGGCTGAGGTGCCAGGGTCGGAGTGGAGGGCTTCACGCCTTCTGTTGACTTGACCTGATCCTCGAAACTAAGCGGCTTGGTTGGCGAAGAAGGTCTGGATCCGGAAGTCAAGCCCTTTCTAGACATCCGATCTTGAATCTCTTCCAGGCTCGGTAGACCCTTTGCGAGCATGCGCTTTATAGGCGAGCTTGCGCCAGAGGACGGCACCCTCGACGGGGACGTATGCGACAACATCCGTCTCTCATCATCTGCTACATTTGTCTTGGACGGAGATTCGAAGTTGATAGCGTTGCTACGTTCACCTAGCTGAGCTGGCTTGGGCGAGCTCGTGATCCGCCCCGTCAGCTCCAGTCTCGGCTGCTTCATGGGCGAGCTGCCGTTCAACGTCGACGATTCTCTATCGCGGTTAAGCCGAGCTGCAATGTCGCTGAGGGTAGGCATCTTGGAAGGGGAACGAACTCTGCCGATTGAGCCACAAGTGGTAGCGGGGCTACCGAAGCTGCCGGCAGAGGACGATGAGGGCATCATGTTTTCGTTCGCCTGCAATGGTAGGTGTTGAGGCTGCGTCATCCGCGTGGATGCTCTACGTACGCTGGTGGAAGTCATGTCGTGTGCTCTCTCTTTGAACGAAAGATCAGAAGAGGTGATGGAAGGCGGAGAGAAAGGTGTAGATGAGTTGATCAAGAGAAGGGTGGAAGTGCGATCTGTGCTAAGTTAGATGCAGTTGTTGATTTGCGTTTCAGCATGGCGTTTCAAGCCAAAGTCACAAAGCGTGCATGGCGGGATGGCCAGGAAGGGCAAGACACGGACCCTTTCCACTTCTAGCCACAACACCACTGCAAGTCTCGGCGATCTGCCCTGCATGGACATGCAAAAAAGGGGGAGGAACGCTCCCACACAACGCACCGCAGTATCACCCAATGTTGGGCAATCATCACAACTGATCACAGACAATCGAAAATTCGCCCGCTGGTGCGATTCATGAGGGAGCCTTGCCACTCTCAAGGTGTCAACACGACACGGCAGACGGCATTGCGCGGCATGCATACAGGCGTATCTTGGCCGACTTGGCAAGCTCGAAAATGGGACGCTTGATGGAGATAGAGAGAGACCAAGGTGGAAACAAGCTGCAAGGCACGCGTTTTGACAGCGTGTCCACACACGCCTGACGTCAAGGCTTGACACTTTTTCCATCATAAACGGACAATCTGATTTCCACGCTCATCAACGTTGGTTCTCAAGCGCGCTTCGACGTGATGGCTATGATCGTGTCCCAAGCATGGCTCGATTCGACTGACATCGAGCTTCAGTGTTACTTTGCTTGCAAGGTCGAGGTTGAGGGATGGGATGAGTGAGTGCTCGAGGGGCACCATGCAGCTCGAATTCCTTGGACCCTGACACGGCCAAAAGTGACATGTCGAAAAACTCAAAATTCAAACACAGCCTGTCCAGTTCGAGGATTCAACACTGCAAAAGCATCAAAGCATCGGCAACCAAGATCTCCCTTCTCTGATCGGGAGGATCGCATCCATGACCATGGCGTGTCCTGTCCATGTTGAACAACAATCCACCACCACCTTTGATGGGGCGTCCGATGGCGTAAGATCCTAGACCGCTGGGCGCTCTCCAAGATTGAAGCCCAGCCTGTCAACCGCCTGCTTCGCGATCGTACCATTGTACCACCATTTCAGTTCTTGCTCCGTGCAGTGCTTCCTCCCTCCATACTTTCATTCACTCTTCATCCCATTCTCAACTCATGCAGCTCCGACATCTTGTCAACGATTGCTCAGGAACGAGCGACGTCTGTCCTTCTCTCCCTCTGGGTCGACGTCAGCAAGTGGGATGATACAAGGTGTTGTCAGTGAAGGGAGCGTATCGTCCCCTTCGGCGGCGTTGTCCGCCGCAAATCTCCGATGGTCCAAAGTGAGACATGGAAGACGTCTATTTGTGCAAATGAATGAATGCAGTTCGAGTCCTCCTCTGAGATTCGCACCAGTTCTGGCACATGTCATCGTCGCAAACGCCCTTTCGACGGGAAGGGAAGAGCTAGATGTTGATGCTCTTCCTGCTTCTGCTGCTGCTGCTCATCGAAATCTGTCGAAGCGGCTAAGCAGAGCGGTCTGATACGGGTGCAAGCTCTATCGACGCATTGAGCGATGGATCGCCAAATAACCATGCATATGCAATCGTTAAGCGAGGCACACAGATGCACAAACAAATTGTCGGCAACCTCGTCGGCTCACAGGCGCTTGCATGCGACCTTCCAAATCTGCCCGTTCTTTTCTTTCATCGAATGCAAGAATGGCAAGCTCGACCCTATTCTGCATGCTCGGCATGACAAAGTCCGTATAACGACAACAACAAGCCACACCTCTTCCAGCATTGCGAGAGAGTTGATCTGGTTCCAGATGCCTTCTAGACTCGGATTCTCGCATCGCCCTCGCTTGCTCACAATGAGACAAAGCCAAGGCACCAGATCATGTGGATAAAATGCGCGAGCATGCATCGTGATAGTGTCCGTCCCTCCCAGAGCTGCACGATCGGCATTCGGTTCTCTCACTGCCCTGAAGCGCGGCTTCTCTCTGCCACCGCCGCTAATGAAACTTCAGGTTCTGGTTGATTAGATCCTCGAGACCTGCAGGTTCAAGTCGCATCCGAGTCGTGTCGGCCCACAAGGCTTCCCTCGCCTTCTCCTTCTATGAGCGTAGTCCATCTGTTGACCTCTTTGCGACTGGCTTGATCGGGCTTGCTTCTTCTTCTCTTGTTCCTTTACTCTCATCGTACCACGACACATCGCAACCTCCTCATACGCAGACTTCGGCCCCGACGCCCGACTCTTTCCTCCCGAAGCAATCCCTTGATTTACTTGATTCTATTCGGCTGGACCACACCTTTTGGAAGCCGTCACACGGCGGTCCTCAACGATGCGAGATTGAACCTCTTGACTTTCAGCAGTCACAGTTTGTGACAGCTGTGCACCCCTTCGAGCACAATGGGGCAGCATCCTTCCAAGCCGCCTTCTCATGAGCCTACGCCCGACTCAACACAGCCCTATCCGGTCGCAGCATCAGGTTGGCTCAAATCAACTCGCCGTCGCAAGACTGGCACCAGGAATGACACGGTTGCATCCCCAAATCATCGTTTCATCCCTCAAGGGGAACGCCAAAGGTCCGCCGGTCCCATCCGCAGTCGACCACAGCCTTCCGAGTACGGCGTCGGGAGACCCACGGGTTCGTCTGTGTTGTCTTCTGAAGAAGAACCGTGCTACCGACCCACGCTAGAGACAGCCCCAGCTGCGCTATCTTCAGCAGCACAGACACAGCCATCGGTACTTGTAAGAAGCACCAACAATTCTGACGTCCAATCACACAGACGCTGGTCAGGCCAACATTTGACTCCTTCACTTCGTGAATTACCTCTTCAGAGACATGCCATTCTGCACGAGGATCGGACCGATCCTAGGAGTGCGACTTCCGCTGCTTACAAAAATAAATCCACGAGTCAGCACCGTGTCATGCATCCCACCGCCACAGGACCTGCATCAAATGTGCGAAGATCGTGGCCGTACCATAGCGATATGCCTTCATTCGTCGGAGAGGCCCTTACCGATAACGACGACAAGGTGAAACACGAGCCTTCGAGAGGGCGGACAAACGTAAAATCTCTCCCGGTTTCTTCTTTTGGGGATCCTATCATGCAATCGACCGCCACCACATCTTTAGGCACCGACTCCAACCTATCGTATGCTCATCGCATCGGTCTCATCGAGCTGACGAACATCGAGCGAAGGAAGGTGGCCCCGAGCGATCACTCGATCTCGGGCTTGCCAGCACGAGTAGCCCATGATGATCGCGAAGACACGTTGGCGCCCAGGCTATCTTCTCAGGATCGGTTTCAAATGCTGCGTTCCAGCCATTCTGGCTACGCACCTTCGTCCAACTCATCCCTTGGCACCACTGAGGTCGAACGGCTTCGGCAAGGTCCTGAACTCAAGTTGCACCGCGACAGCATACACGTTGTATTCAGCTCCCAGACACCCTCCTCTCCCAGTCGATCTCGAGCCCTGATCGCCAAGCTGCGCGGCATCAAGAACAGCGGCGCCGAAGATCCAGCAGCCGAACTCAAAGATGCAGCAACCGGGACGTCGCCTCGGGCACCGACATTAAACATTTCAGGCGGTCAAAGTTGCTCTCAAAGTGTCCCTCAGCTACAATTTCCTACCAAGTCGGTCATTTGGGAACGCCTTCCCTCGACAGCTCTGCAACAATCACATCCACATGTTCCACCAGAACGACGAACATCGCAGCCGCCACTGCAGGAACCGTGCACGCCGCTACCGCCTCGACTCGATGAAAGACAGGAAGGGTTGTCGTCACCCATGAGCTCCAATTCTTCCCTCTTACTCATGGGTGAGACGCGCTCGTCACCTCCCAGAGGCGTCGTGCGTGGACTTGCGCCGCGAGAGGCTGGAGTACATGCTTCGAACAGAGATGTTCCTGACACTGATCGCCACCCGCAGGCTCGTGTCAAGCCGCCTACGCTCGAGACTGGGCAGCCTGCCCTTGTCAAAGACAGCGCTGCAAAAACTTCGACATCTGTCAAGGCGGCCGAGGTCAAGCAAGGCGGCTTCTGGAACTGGCCTAGAAGACCTTCGGCTTCTCGCCTCTTGAACTTCGGACAAACCCGCTCTCGTTCAGGTCGCCAGCTGCGTATTGAGATCGAGGATGCACCTCCAAGCCGCTTTGAATCGCATCCATCACCCGTGTCGCCTCGCTCGAAGGTTGACGTGGTAGGAATGGCCGTCAATACTCCCTTGGCCGCTTCGAGACCGGACGTGACCGGCCCCAGCATGGGCAGCTCGACGCGGTCTTCTTACTCGTCGCTAGCACCGCCCGTGCCACCATCACCTCTTCCGCCCCTCCGCCGATCTCGCAAGGGCTCCCAACAGGCACAAACCACGTTCAGGCAGGACAGAATCGATTCGGTAGACTCTAGCGTAGCTTCCGGCTCGACTGAAACGAGGCACGGGCGCAGCACTTACAATCTGCATCATTCAATACCCGAGGATAGTATTCGTCCACCACCAAGTGCAGCTGCTGTCTCGGCTGTCTCGGCTGCTTCTGAAACGGGGGCGAGCACATCGGCAGTGGCATCGGTGGTCGGAAAACCTTCAACAGTCGCGACGAGTCTCAGTGCAGCGCTCGAATCACAAGATCCAAGTAGCCCCATCGGGCCCCTCAAGGGTACATTTGGCGGCCAGAAAGGATATCTATCGCCTGGGCCGACCGTTTCACGACCTTTATCAGAGACTTCGGACGCTGGCACAAAAGAGATCCTGCTTTCGGACCGGGAATCGCTGGCTGGCCCCAAGATGAGCTCAGATACCTTTGCACGAGGCTCATTCGAGGAACGACATCCGGATTTGAAGAGCTACTACCCTGCCAGTGCTTTTCTTTCTAGCTCAGCCAGACCTCGATACTCGGGAACATCACCATCACCCCTTTCTCGCATGCTCGAGCTGGACGGCGGAACGTCTCAGATGCGACATGTTGGAGCCGTTCCAGACGTCTCGGCATCTACTGCTCCTTCACGTGTCGATGTCAATCTCGGCAATGATAAGAGCGTCGACTCACAGCGCGAGCAGCTCCCACGCTCTAGCCGGTCTTTCCATTCTGCTCGCTCATTCAGATCGACGAGTGATGCGAGCGTCCAGCCTTACCGCCCCCTGCCTGCAGTGCCGGTTCGGAATCGTGGTAATTCGCTAGATCCTGCGTCCATTCAACGCTTTTCAGGTCAAGGGCCTGGAACTTCGTTCTCTCCGGCTGAACACGTTCAGGCCAAGAGACTGGGATATTCCTCAGGTCAAGAGATAGACGGCTTGCCTTCTCGCCACACGCAACCTACTTTCATGCTGATGGGCATGGTGGCTGCAGCCACTTCGCCGACGGAAGCGACGCACAGTAGTCACGATCGAAATTCGATCGGCGGTGAAAATTACGCACGGCGAACTTCGAGGTCCAGCATCGGCTCTCCCACGTCTCCTACAGCAGAGTCGCATAAGCCAACGACGCAGACCGGAAACGCGGACGTACCTGTCAAAGTTGTTGAAGCGCAGTCGAAGCGCGCATTTCGGCGCCCGACTTCTCTTATCGTCCCGAGAGGTGCTCATACAGGCCCACCTCTTTCCCCGTCCGCTTTCTACGAGAGCAGCTCTCAGAGGTTCGTAAGGCCGGCGGCATCGCCAATGGGTCCCAGACAGAGTTGGAGTTCTGCGGAAGATCAGTCTTCGGCAACGGTCGTGACGCCAACATCGACGCAAGGTCTTGTACGAGGCATGACTTCGCCGGGGAAGGCCCAAAGCGAAGAATCTGTGTTCGCAAAGACTCTCGTCGAGACACAAGCGCCCTCGACCAGAGTTGGGTTTGGTTACCCCTCGACTCTCACTAGGACTCCTGACGATGTTCAAGAGGACGGGCTCTTGCAATTGGAGAGCTCACGATCCGGAAGAGGTATTCTGCTGCCTTCTACGCCCTCATCTAAAGACATTGACCTCCCGGACAGCGTCGAGAGAGCCCCGTACGCCGATACCGGAGTTCAGGCAAGCCTTGCTGCTCTTCGCGCTCGCGAATCTCCTGGCGAGAGTCTAAGGACCATTCTAGCTCGTCAACGTATACTCGGCGAGCCGGATGAATCTATGACCGAATTCTTGCGGGAATCCCGCGTTCTCGATACCGAGTCCCATTTGGAGGAAGAGGCGATGCGGGCGGTGAGCGGACCTCGCAGGAGGAGACGGTCCGCTCCATACCCACAATTGAGCGGTTCGCGCTACTCATCAGATGAGCTTTCGTCGAGCGGCAGAAGCCTGTCAGGTTTCCGAGCCGAAGCGGCTCGAAGAAGACGTCAAAGGAACAACACGGGAATGGCTGATGCTTCCGGCTCTTGGGTATCTGGGATAGGCGGACGCGAGTCTGATTCCGAGAGCACCATGCTCACTGCCATACGGCTTAGTCGTTCACGGATCAAGGATGCTTCTGTCCACACAGACGCTGCGGAAGATGTAAGCGATCGGAACGTGCACGATACTCGACGCAAAGCGTCCGTCGCATCTGAGACGACCGAGTTGCAGCCAGCTCGCCAGGTTGTCTCTGCTTCGTCCGTTGCTTTGCGACGAGAGAATGTACCGCCGTTTCAGGACGCATACCTGTACGCCGACCAGCATGGGGATTCTGAGCGACCCAAGCGCCCTCGCCACCAGAGGTACGTGACGGCACTTTCACAGTCCGATCAGACGACCCCCTCAGCGCAGCAAGATGCTCAGCTTCCCGACACAGTCGCGCCGTCGGACGCACTGCAGTCTTCGCAAGCGAACGAAGATGGACGCGCTTATTCGAACCCTCGTTCTGTCTCAATGCCGCACGCGCAGACAAAGTTTATTTCGCACGGTCCTAAGCACGGTCTCGAAGCGTCTGATGCTCGCACGACCAAGTTTCCGGCGGAAGCACCAGACGATCGAATGACGCAACGCATGCTCGCACAACGGCAGCGACAGAGATCGCACAGCGACGCGCACACATCCGCTTCGCGCAGCAGCAAGTTCACGTCTCGCAGATCTGGCCGTCTAGACGATGAAAGAAGTCGCTACGACGCCCAGATTGAGGACCTGCTACTGCTTCGAGAAAAGGTGCTTCAGTTGGAGGCTTCGATCAGCCGTGTACGCCAGACTGACTTGCAAGCCAGCTTCGACGACGACCAGCACGGGTCGGTGAGCTTAGAGGATCCGGCCAGACGCTCCAGGAAAAGCTCAATCTCCTCAAAGCGCAAGTCGAGACCGCCCAAGGTCGGATACACCATGCCAGACATTGTGGCATGGCAGGCTGGTCTAGGTGACAGCATCGGTAGCAACCAGGCTAGCGCGATGCCGACTTCGTCCACGGTTGCGTGACCGCAAGGTAAAAGATTCAGTGGTCGTACAATGTGGCTGCAGAAACAGGCTGAGTGCTGCCTACATTCATGCGGTCCTCATCCGACTACGCTCTTTCGCATTCACCTCTACCAGCTTCGTCGTACATTCACCTTCTTTGGGAATGTCACGCACGCAGCTACCACTGCACCCGAGGAAAATCAGAGACGGTCGATGGCTCGCCAGCTCACAGGCTCGGCGAGCGCTCCCGTCTTCCCAACTTCCCTCAATCCTTTGTAATGCTATCGCGCTATGCACGCTCATCTAATCATACTAATCAATCCACCCATCATTCGGATTCCGTACCCTACGATTCTTGCTTCTGAAAACTATCGCGAATTCGATGGCGCTCAGACTACTGCAAAAGATCGGTTCGGTGAGCCCGTGAGCAGTCGGCTAGTCCCGTCGGTTGAAGATACTAGTTGAACCTAGCTTGAGACGTTGTCATGCAGCTTTGAACTTCTAGGCTCTGAGCTCGACATAGGCATGAATGTGCTGTCGGTTTGAGCTGTGGACAGTGGGATAGAGGCAACGTAGCTGCAGTAGGGGTCCGAGTGGGGGTCCATTGTTCTTTGAGCGTCGGAAGGTCAAAGCGGTTCGGATACGTCAGCCGAAGTGACGAATTGGCGTAACCCTTTTTTCTCGGTTGCGCAGTGCGAGGCGAGCACACTCTCGTGACGAAGGACAGCTCATGGCACCTTTGGTGCTCAGCGCTACCTGAGAGCATCGGTGAATAAGCAATGTGGACGAGGAAACAGTAAATGCTGGTCATACCGCACTTCATCGTGTGTCAACTTGCGCGCAAGCCTTTGTGGTGTAAAAGCCGTCGATAGCCGCATCTTCATGGTGTTTGAAGGAATGCGTGTCATCTCAGCGGAACTTCACAAGAATCGACAGCACGTCATGCATGATCAGCCGGGACCTCCTCGGTGGACTCCTCTTCTCGCGTTCTGGAACATAGTTGCCGAATTCTGGCCCACACTAACTTTGCTTGTGTCACAAGTGCCACTGCTGCGCTTAATGGGCGAATTGCCCTTTGTGCTGCACGGTTCGCACTGTTGTAGTGAATTCTCTTTCATCTCACTTGACCTCGGGCCTTCATGCATTCTACGCTAGAACGATCTCTTTCCGTCCGGGTATTTGGAAGCGTATGCGAAGGAAAGCACATGACTCTGGAAGGAGGGTAGCGAACGGGAAGCTGGAATACCGAACATTTACCGTCGTCACGCATTGCACGCTCAGCCCGCGTTGACTAGGATGATGATGATGGAAGCGAGATGGTTGCAGATATTCCCACGCTTGTATAAATGACAGTCGAAGGCCGTGCAGATCGATGTAGCTTTGGCCTCTCTTCTAGAACGAGAACGAGGTGGGAAAATATGGCTCCTGGCTCGAAACAAGTTGGACCATGTCACAGCGTGATGAGTGGACTCGAGCGAGTTCGGTTGGTCAGTTCGACTGCAAATGGCTTGCAGTAGCCGGCTTTGCATGCAAGGTGTGCAACAACAGAGCCGCTAGAAATGCTCGGACTTCGATCTGCGTCCTATCTTGACAGGAGTCTTCGGCTCCCCTCCTATCACGGTCTTTGCTGCGACTGACTGAAGGACACTAGCTCCGGAAAGCTTGGACGACGAGCTGAGTGGCGTAGGCACAGCTGTCTTCGATGTTTCGAGCTCAGCGTGAAGAAATGAAGATGGTGCCAAGCCTCTATCGTCTGTCAAGGCGCTGGAGGACCGCATTGCAGAACGCACTTATAATGCCGTCAGCTCAATCATTTCCCCTTCGGTCTTACCTCCATCTGCTCCACTCTACTCCACTCCACTCTGTCCCCCTGCCCCTTCCCTTGAGACGAACCCCTCCCCTTCTCCAACTACAATTGCGAGTTTTTGCTGTCTATCTTGCGATTCTTCTCCGGCATTCTCAACTTCACTTTTCCCTCACCACCAACTCTTCTGCAACGTAACGATGCGGATCTCTTCGTCTCTCCTTCTGGTTTTGGCGGCGATCACCGCAGCCAACGCTGCCAACGTCGCCTCCGTTGCTCCCCGATCTGAGCCGAGCTCGCCTCCTTTCAATCGTCGCCAAGAGGTCGACGAAAAATGGGCCATCATCAAAACTCGTCGCGCTGAGCCCTCCCCTCACATCTCCATTCCAAAGCACCTCGCTGATGCCCAAGTCGACGCGCTCGACGCAGCCTCGGTCAACGCTGCTCCCGAGGAGCTCGGCCACCTGGACCGTCTGGCTTCGGCCTCAACTCGTCGTCGCCACCTCGCACACGCCAGCGCACTCAACGCCGTCCACGTCAACGTCGGACAGGTCGACATCAAGCACCTCGCTTCTGTTGTCCACACCCTCTCCGCCTCTCTCGAGAGCGACACCAAGACAGCCGATCACATCTTGCAAGAAAAGGATCACAAGAAGGCCCGCAGCCACGCCGAAAAGCTGCTCAGCAAGATCAAAGTCGATCTGCAGCACGCAAACACGGACATCGGCAAGCTCAGCAAGGAGGCTGGTCAGAAGCGCGCACTGCTTTCGGGTCTCGGTGTGGATCTTGCTCAGTTGACACAGATCGTCGACAGCAAGAACATCGTTGGTACTCAGAGCCTCGTCACGAGGCTTAGCAGTCTCAAAGTCGACTCTGTGCTTCAAGGCGATGTTTTCTCGGTTTTGACCGATCTTGACGTTCTGAAGACGGTTCAGTCAGTCACTGGAATCGACACGGTGCTGACGAGCTTGCTTTCGGTGCCAGACTCGGTGGCGTTGCTCGACAACCTCAAGCAGCTCGATGATCCCGAGTGCTTCGTCTCGTCCCTCGTCGACATTCCTGACCTCGAAGCTCTGGTGGGCGCCGCTCCTAACGGACTCACCTCGATCGCTAGTCTTAGCGGTACCAACAAGCTCATGTCTTACGTCAACAAGTACGGCTACACAACCGTCGGTCGAGTTCTCAACACCGCTGGCGTCCCCTGCGTTCTCGAATCGCTCGTCAAGGTTCCCGGATCCGTCAAGCTTCTTCGATCGATCAAGTCCGTCGCGGACGTCAACTCCCTCGTCAGCGGTATCAACGTCATTGGTGTCATGGACTTTGTCAAATCCATCCAGGCTGTCGACAACGTCGATGCGCTTGTCAGCACCGTCAAATCCGTCGCCGGTGGTGAGCTGAAAAAGCGCGCCGAGCTGCTCGACGGTGTCGAGAGTACACTTTCCGGCGTCACTTCTGGTCTTCCCCTCGGTGAGATCCTCAAGATCAAACGCGCAATCGCTCACATCGACGCTCTTCCAGCCTCCGTCGATGTCGACGTCAAGCACCGCCGCGATTTGATCCAGGATCTCGGCGTCGATCAGGCTCTCAACAATTTGGACGTTGCCAAGATCGCCTCGCTCAAGAGGAGCATTGCAGATCTGTCGGCTGTCAGCACCGAGGAGGTTACGAACATCATTGGCTCTGTGGTGAAGAGGGACGGTATCGTCGGCGGAGTGGTCGGTGGTCTCGAAGGTGGCGTTGGTGACGTAGTCGCCTTTGTCGACGGATCCGTCGTCGGTGGTGTCGAGCACATCTCTAAGCGCGATCTCCCCGTCGACCAGGTCCTCGACGCCGTCGACCTCAACCGAATCCTCGCCCTCCGCCGCTCCGCTGTCCTCGACACCCTCCCCTCTATCTCATCCCTCGACCTCAACCACATCCTCCCCGCCGTCCAGCGCGCCATCTCGAACGCCGACTCCATCACCAAATCCGTTTCCCGTCGCGACGCCACCTCGCTCACCCTCCTCAGCGACTCGCTCGACACCTTGACCTCGAGCGTCTCGATCCTCCTCCCCAAACTCGTCAAGGTGTCCGACGCGGTCCACGACGAGGCTGTGACCAAAGAGATCAAGACCGAGGTGATTCCGATGGTCGCCAAGGTCGGCGGTTCGCTGGACAAGGTCGTCAAGGTTCAGGCTCCTCAGCTGGAGAAGCAGACGGGGAAGGTGGTGGCGACCGCTGACAAGGCTTCCAAGTCGATCCCTTGATCGGACATTGGCGTCGAAGACGATTCTTGCCAGAGTTTGTTGTTTTCGATGGTGGGTCGTGGTCAGACCCCTCTTAGTTTGCATGTTTCTTGTTCGTCTTCGTCTTAATCTAGCTTTCGTCCTCTCCAATTCGCATACGGATCGCAATTCACAGTCTCTTCTTTCTCACTTCTCGCTCTCACGTCTGTGCCGACTGTGTTTTCATCAAGAGATGGATCGAAGATAGTTCGATTCAACGATACAGTATCTGGTGCAGCTACACCTGATCAAAACTCCTCGTCTTGAAGCCGCCCGATCTCGACCCAAACGTCGCCTCGTTCGAAAGCCTTCCACCCTCACCTCGATTCCCGAACGATCGTCTCTCACTCCCACCGCTGAACCTTCCCATCCCACCCGTGCCTCTATCGTTCCTCCCTTGCTCCTCGTGCTCCTCGTCCCTCTCGAATCTACCCCTGTGCTTGTACATGGTCCTGAACGGCTGTCCTGCCAAATTCGTCGCCTCCTCCGCATTCTCCAGCAGCCACTTTTGACTCCAGTCCCTCATCCTCTGCGCACCTGACAGCACATCCTCCCGTGCCAACGACAGCTGTTGATCCAGCACGTACTTCCTGACGTCATTCGCGATCCGATCCACCGTTTCTCGAATCGTCTCATCCTCGCTCGTCGCATATCCAACCTTCACCCCAGCTTGCTCTGTCCGCGGCACCGCCGCGGAGGTTTTCACCGGAGCAGATAGAATCCCAGTCTCTCGCGCCTGCCTCAATGTAGATACGACACCGGGTAGATCGCCCAGCCAGTCCCACTGGGTTTTGAGCACTTCGTTGTACAGCGAACCGGTCATTCCGAGGACGTAGCTTTCGATGCCGAGCGAGCGGGTGGTGCGCGTGATCGAAAGGGCGACGCGTGGTGAACGGTAGCGATCTCGGATGGCGAGGAAGACGAGGTGCAGAGCGGAGGCGTAGAACGCCGTGTCCTTGCCGTACTTTGGCGAAGGCTGGGGTTGCGAGTCGAGCTCTGAGTTTTGGGTGGTGATGAGGGGAGGGATTCCCCACACCTCGCGCTTCGTCCACTCCAACACCGCGGCTAGGTTCTCACACGTTCCCAAGGCTTCTCGTGCCTCGTCGATCCCTGCTTCCAGCTGCAGAGGGTCGATCTGGGCAGCGAGTCCCTCGCGAACGAATCGCTTCGCTCGCTGGGCACGGGCATCCTCGAAGCGCTTCAGTCGGTTCCGTTTGGCGAAGGCTTGCAGTAGGGCTCGACTTCCGGATTGCGTCTTGGGATTCGAGATGAGCGAGGTGTAGCTTCCGAACGGTGTATGGTCATTGCTCGTGCTGGACGAGCCTAGCGGAGAAGTGGAGGAAGAGGTTGCAGCGGAGGAAGAGGAGGTGCCGGCGAGTGCTTGGTTGAGAAGAGACATGAAGGCATTCGCTTCCTGCTGGGTCAAGGGGGTTCGATCGAAACGTTTGCGTGTGGCAGAGGGGGAGGTCTTGCGCGGCTTGAAGTCGTCGGATTGGCGGGTGCTTTCCGAGTCCGCGAATAGGACGGACCGCGGGATGAGGTGTTTCTTGCGTTCGTCGGGAGAGGATGGTGTGGGGCGATTGGTGGAGCGTGGCGTTCTGGGTGATGTGGTGAGCGAGTCGAGCTGGTCAGAGAGCCAGGAGGCTTTGTCTGATGATGATGAGGGATCAAACGAAGATGTATTGGTGCCGAGCTTCGGAGGTGAGACTGTGGGGAACGGATCGCTTCCGTCAAACAGACCTTTGTACGGATTGTGATCAGAGCTGCTTGAGGAAGAAGAGGATGGATTGCTTGAGGTCGAGGGTGCTGATCCATCAGTTCCGGACGAAGCGGCAGAGTCGAAGGGCCAACCTTGAGTAGCCGAAGCCGGCGGCTTGTAGGCTGCATCCTGATTCACATCGTTTGCTGGGGTCGATGATCCGCCTGAAGAGGTAGAACTGGAAGCTTCGTCCGACGATGACGGGGGTCCTGGCTTCTGGTCATCGAGTCGTCGCGTGCTGGCCGAGAGGCTTCGACTAGTCGCATACGATGTGCTGACTCGGGAAGGACCAACAGCTGCAGAAGCGACGTATCTGAGCCGCCTTACGGATTGACTCAGAGCGGACGCCATTGTCGAAGTGAAGGAGAATGATGATGGTGTTGGGACCAAAGGAAGTCGTACAGATCCAACAACTTTTTTGGTGTTTCGCCTGTCTTCTGCCCGAAATTTTCGGCTTTCACTCCACACAAAAATCACTTCCGAGTTCCGATGCTGCTCGTGCAATTGGAAACATAGATGGTGAGGAGCACCAGCTCTCACATAGACATTGACACGGTCCCACACTAACACACAAGCAGGAAGATAGAGAAGGCATCATACATTGCCTGAAGTCTACACAAAAGGCAGGCTCGTTCACGCCTCTTGGCGCTCGAGAACAGCCACGCCTTCGACATGATGCGTCTGAGGGAACAGATCAGCCCCACGGATGCTCTTGATCTTGTACCTCGCGTCCCTGTCAATCAGCTGCCCGACATCTCTCGCCTGGGTGTGCACATTGCACGACACATAAACGATGTGCTTAGGACCCAAGTTGACAAGCTGTCGAATGAACTCCTCGTCGCATCCTCTCCTAGGGGGGTCGATGATGACGGTGGTCTTGTCCGCAGGGTACTCGATCTTGGCGAAGATGTCCTCTGCGTTGCCAGCGAGGAACTTGGCATTGGTGATGCCGTTGAGCTCTGCATTCTTGGTGGCGTACTTGATGGATTCAGATGAGATCTCGACTCCGGACACTTCGCGGAAGAGAGTGGCGAGGCAGAGACTGAACAGACCAGAGCCGCAGTAGGCATCGACCAGGTATTGGTCTTGAGCCGCGTCGTCGCTGGTAGCGGTGGAAGACGTGGTGATTGCGTCACGTACGTAGTCGAGCAAGCTCGGGAGGATGCTGCGGTTGTTCTGAAAGAAGGTGCCTGCTGGCGACTCGAACTTGGTGGTAAGCACTCGCTCCTTGACGGTAGCTTTGTGATCGGTGACGACCTCGGTGTCGAGATCCTTTTCCACTTGACCGTTGGCGGAGGGAGCTTGAGTGACGAGAAGATCCTCAGCAAAGCTGTCGTATGTGCGCAAAGAGTCGCGAAGCAAGATGGTGGCTCCGTTTTTGAACGACTCGATCGTGTCAACCACTTTCTGCTTGGCGCTGGGTAGCCCTTTATTGATCGTCCTTGTAGCGATGGGGCACTCTTCAATGTCCATGACTCTCTTTGTTCCGATGCAGTCGAAGCCGATAGGTACCGAGTACTGTGGCTTGTCATCGCCTGGTGCGCCGTTGCCATTAGCATCGTTGCGAATGCCAGACCTCCTGCCTCGTCGCAGCTCGTAGGGGAGCTCAAAGTGGGGTGTGAGCTTGGTTCGATAGTTGTACTGGCTTGGAGATGCAATTGTCGGCAGCACTTTGGGTAACAGGGCCGAGTCGAGCCCAGAGAAGCGTGCAAAGGCCCTTTCAACGACACCGCGCTTGATTTCGAGCTGCTGCGCATAGTCGATCATCTGATACTGACAACCGCCGCAGTCACCAAAGTACTTGCAGCGCACCAGCTCATTGTTCCTCGTGGCGCTGTCTTCGAGCACTTCCACCACCTTTGCTTTCGAGTAAAGTCTTTCGTTGGCTGTGATCTCGGCGGTGACTTTCTCTCCAGGCAGAGTATGCGGTACAGCGATGACCCAGTCGCGTTCCGGAGCGACAGCGAGACCATCACCGTGTGCATCGAGACGCTCGATGTGCAAGGTGAGGCGGGTGCCACGTTCGAACTTGTGCTGATACTCGATACCTTCCGAGAGGATGTCGGTGACCTTGCGGACGCCGAGCAGATCTTCGATATCGAATTCGATGGGCTCGCGACCTGTCTTTGTGAGCTGTTTCGCATAGTCCTTGCGCTTTTGACGCAATCGACGGGCTTCAGCTTTGCGAGCCTGCTTGTCTTGAGCGGAGAGTGGGGCGGAGGCAGCAGCAACAGAGGTCGATGATGTTGAGGCAGCACCGTTGATTCCGGACTCCGACCTCTGCTCTGGAGAGCGTGAGCGAGCGCGCTTGGCCGGTGGTAGCTCAGGCGAGGACGGGACGGCGGTCGACATTATGGCTAGTGGTATCCTTGGTTGTGGTAAGATCGAGCTGAGAGCAAATAGCTGGATAAAGTTTGGGGGTGAAAGATGACGGGCTCTAGTGATTACGGATGTGACTTGTCGATATATCGGTAGAGGTCGAATCGGCATCTAGCGTGCACTCGATGCGCTACAGCCTGAGCAGTGGTGGGTATGATGGTGTTGGTGGTGTTTGATGTTGGACAACCAGCCAACCGAAAGTTCGCCATTTTCAACCATCTTAACTCGATTTACGCTCCACTTTTTCTTCTTTTCTTCTCAACTTTTTGGAGAAAGAGTTCAATTTCAACGCGGATTTCGGGTTGGAAATAGATCGTTCTCATTCAAAGATGTGATGTAACATCAAGCAGAAAATGCTGATCTGTGCATGCGTATTCTTGTCGAGACTGAGCTTCGATCGCGATCAAGCAAGACCCTGAACATCATCCACCTCTCCCTTCTTCTTCTCTTCGATTCTTCCAGCGTGTGAACGAGTCTGACTCTACTCGGCACATCCCGATCATCATGTCCGACGTAGCCAGTGCATCGGCATCCGCTGCTCCTCCCACTCGCAAATCGCGCGGTGCCAACCCGTCCACCGACTACAAGTCGCTCTTTCTCAAATCCAAGGACAAGTACGACCGCGTCTCCACCGACCACACCGATCTCAAGGCCAACGTCACCAAAGCAACAGCCAAGCAACAGAAGCTCCGCGAAGAGCTCGACTACCTCCTGGATGCTGTCGCCTCCAAACGCGTGCAGCGTGCACAGATCGAACAATCGCATCGCGACCATGCGCTCGAACTCGAACGCGAAGCTGCAGCGGCTGTAGCTGCGGCCGAAGCGGCGAGACGTCGTGCAAGCTCGTTGGCTAGGAGGGACAGGGACCATGGTGTATATGAGGCAAGAGCATCGCGGGGAGGCTACGAGGGAGCGGAAGAGTACGTGCCGTATTCGGCTAGGTATGCAGAGCCGAGCTATCGTTCGTTTGGTAGCGGTATGAACAGGAGTTATGCTTCACCTCCGCCGCCGCCGGCTGTTGGAACGAGAAGGATCAGCGTGGACCTGCATAGGGGTGAAGACCAGTATGCTGCTTCGGACGGATCCCGACGAGGTTCCGTTCACAGAGACACTCACGCATCGGCATCGTATCGTCCAGCTGGCTCTCAATCACCACCACCATATCCACGGACCTCCATGTCGACATCGCATGCATCGCACCCGCACGAACCTCATTCCTCGCCTTCCAGGTCGGACGCACATCCAAGATATCCTCAATCAACTCCACCTCTGCCTTCTTCGTCTACTTCGTCAGCTGTGAAGCGGCCTAGACCCTCGAGTGTCGAGCGCGAGCTGCTCGACGCTGATGATGCATACCACACCAAGCGAGCGAGAAACGATTAGCTTTCGTCTTCTTCCGAACATTGTGTATTTGTACTGTCACTCATCTAATAAAATCACGCATCTCGACTTCAGGGCACTCTTGAGAGTCAGCCGAATTGCCATCGTGTGTGCGTTTCTCGCAGTTGCGCTCAGATCTTCCCCAGTACAGTAGTGAGCTGCAAATCTATCGCGCTCGGGCTCGACAGCATCTCATGATTGCGTGGGCAGTTCGTACATCCTTGGAAGTCTCACTGTGCAGATGTTTGAGCCTCGCAAGCGTCCCGAACCCATCACGGCAGGTATGAAGAGTCAGGGGTCCTACACTTCACTTCGTGGGGTGCTTTGACCTCCTCTGCCTCGATACCCAGTGCACTACGTTGGCTCCGCTGGGGTTCCACGAATCTCGTTTGGTGTGGGTGCAGATTACTCGACCCACATCACTTTGGTTGGACGGTCACGGCAAACAATATGTAATGTGGTTCCCGCCCATCGTTCACTTGGGCAATGGTGGCAAGTGGGTACGTGGCGTCGACCGTCGCTCCCCGCAAGGATCGAGAGGATGGCATCGTTCTTTGTAAAGACGTCGTATGCTACATTGTCATTCGCCACCTACTTGTAGTGTTGCTCTCCCCAAGTGTTTCCGACCGTCGTCTTGTGCTCGATCAGCGCGACTGCTGGTGACGTAGAAAGGCATCAATTTACCATGACCTCAGAAACCACCTTGACGTCTCCAGTAGACCGATCCCGCAACAACCGTCTGCCGCGTCTCTTGACCGATCCAACTGCACTCTCCCGTCGTCCTCCTATTACCACGGACTACTCCTCCGAATCGGCCGGCAGCATCAACACAAGCTCGTCATCTCTTCTCAAACACTTGTACCACAAAACGTCACCATCGCGTTCTAGATCCGCAACACAGCTTCGTCCGGAAGCCCAATCCTCGGTCGCCGATAACCTCTCCAAGCAAGGGGATACTAGAACTTGGTTGTACGAATGCGGACCGGACGACGACGACTGGCTGCACGTTCCCGGAGTCGAGCGTCGTCGAAAGTATAGCTCTTACTTCAAGATCAGTCTTCGCGGTGTCTTCAACCTAGGATCCCTTGTCATCCTCGTCTCATCCCTCTTGATGCTTTTTGCAGGGTATCCCATCCTGTACCACTTTCTAGCACCGAACAGCGATCACAAGTCTTCTTCCTTCTTCGGACTCGGTGGAACCAACGGTAGCGGTCAGGTTCCCGTTTTACCGCTCTTCTCGCTCATCGACGCAGATACCCCCGCCCCGTCGCGTCGCTGGACCAACCCGTTGGACAATTCCTCCTACCACCTCGTCTTCAGCGACGAGTTCGAAGTCCCCGGAAGAACTTTCTGGCCAGGGGACGATCCATTCTGGCAAGCCGTAGATCTGAACTACTGGGTCACCGGCGACTTCGAGTGGTACTCGCCCGAAGCAGTCAACACCTCGCACGGCTTCCTCAACATCTGGCTCACCGAGCATCCCACTCACAATCTGAACTTCCAAAGTGGAATGCTGCTGCAAAGCTGGAACAAGTTCTGTTTTCAAGGTGGATACATCGAGACATCCGTCATCCTACCCGGGAGTCACACGATGCAAGGGTTCTGGCCGGCAATCTGGCTCCTCGGAAACCTAGGTAGAGCAGGTTACGCCGGGACCACTCAAGGGATGTGGCCGTACAGCTATTCCAGCTGCGACGTGGGCACCATGCCCAACCAGACGTATGCCAACAAGACGGCACCGGAAGCAGCGGTGAACGCTCATGGGCTGTACAGCAAAAATTACGATCACAAGATCAGTTTTTTGGAAGGTCAAAGGTGTTCTGCCTGCACATGCGCAAATGAAGATCACCCCGGTCCGAACGTTGGAGTCGGAAGGAGCAGTCCGGAGATCGATGTGTTTGAGACTCAGGTCAATGCCGGTCACGGTGGAGCAAGTCAATCGTTCCAAATCGCTCCGTTCGATGCCAACTACACTTGGGATCAATCTCCCTCATCAGCCACGCTGTGGAGCACAGATACGCAGTTCAACTCGTACACCGGCGGGGTGTACCAGGAACCTGTCTCTGGAGTGCACCCCATCCCAGATACAGCGTACGCGCTGTCAGGAGGTACACCGGTCAAGATGGGCGTACAGTACGATCCGGACTGGAACGGCGACGGTGGTGGATCGATCACTTGGTTCGTCGACGGCCAGGCTACGTGGACGTTGCAAGGTGCGAGTCTGAGGCCGAATCCAGCGACAGAGATCGGTCAGAGGATCATCCCGACAGAACCCATGGCGTTGGTCATCAACCTTGCGCTTTCGGACGGATTTCAGAAGATCCAGTGGGCGGACATCGAGTTCCCAGCGGCGATGAAGGTCGACTACATTCGCGTTTATCAACGAGACGGACAGGAGGACAGGATCAGCTGTGATCCGGCGGACCATCCAACAGCAAAATACATACAGGACCACATGGATGTGTATGGAAATCAGAACCTGACCAAATGGCCGCAGGAAAAGTACCCCTGGCCGAAAAGCAGCTTTCTCGGACAGTGCTAGCGCGCAGTCTGCGTGCCAACCCCGGTCAGAGCGGTCGAGAAAGCGACACATATCGACAGCCTCCCATCCAGACATCTAGCTCAGCGTCATCACTGCAAACGCAGGCGCACAATGGCCACTGATTTTCCAAATCGAGCATTTGGCATTCTCCTGGTATAAAGCGTCGACGAGTATTCGAGAGCCGACAGAAAAGCATATTACATGTACAAGAAAGAGTCCCATAGACAACGATAAACAAATACAACCGGTAAAGGCAAGGACCAAAAGAGGGACATCCATTACGGACGAATTAAACGAGAGCAAAGGGGGAAAGGGATACCGTTAAAAAGAAAGAGCAAACTGCAGCTGCTGGTGCTGCTGGTTCACGTTTTGTGGGTGGTGATCACCCATCGAGATGAACTGGTCCAACTCGGAAGGTGTGCTCACTTCAGCGGTGGCAGATGACGACGACGACATGTTGGAGAGCGACGCGGACGATGAGAGCTGCTTAGGGAAAAAGTGACCCATGGCGTTCTGGAAGACGACGGTCTCAGCGGCAATGCTGGTGGGCGAGCTGACGAAAGATTGCAGTGCATGTGCGTGTTGCATCGACGGCGGCTGCAGGTGCAAGTGCAGGTTGTGAGGATGGGACGAGGGCACCATCATTTGCGGGTCGACATGAGCCATCGCCATGTCAACATCATGCTGATGCTGCTGCTGCTGCTGCTGCTGCTGCTCGGGCATAGGCGCGCCGCCGGCAGAAGGGCCTTGCGAATACATGACTTGGTACAGCGAAGGCGACATGTTGGAGCCCAACCAGTCAAGCGCCCCTGCGTCGAACGACGAGAGCGGTGATCTGAACAGGCCATCCTTGGTGTCGACATTGGCGTTGCAAGCGAAAGCCGACAGGTTGGGCAGCTCGGTCGCACCCGTCGATGCTCCTCCAGCGTACTTGTTGCGAAGGTCGGCGCCGAACGTCGCCCACGTATTGTCCCACGGTGCGTTGTTGTGCGAAGGCATGGGTAGTAGCGCGTCGACCTGGACGGGCAGGATGTAGTCGCAAGCACCGGCGTCGACGTGGAAGGCATCCTGAGCCGAAATGTCAGAAGGCGAAGAGCCCGGCGAATCGGCGAAAGGGTTAGCGGACTGGGTGGCGATGCTCAACATCTCCATCCAGGAGCTCTGTGTGGCGGTTTCCAGACCGTCGGCCAGGCTGGTGACAGCTGCGTTCTCGCCAGAGTTGGTCGAGTTGGCGCGAGTCCTTGTGCCCGCGACTTCCTTGACCTTTCGGAGGAGCTGCTCCTGCTGCTTGCTGGCGGCGCCGGACCCAAGCGATGTAGTTGCTGTCCTGCGTCTGCGGTGTGGCCTGGTCCCACGGAAGATAATGCCGGCAGCTTCGAGGATGGCGCGCTCCTTCTTGGAGGGCGGGCCACGTTTGCGGAGCATGTCTTCGGTGGTGCACTTTCGGCCTGATGCAACGCAGCTACCGCAAGTGGGCTTGATGCGATCACAGCGGATCTTGCGGCGTCTGCAATAGTCGCAGGCGGCTACTTGCCCATCTGAGCCGTCGGGCATGCGGCCGCGGAGAGATTGGAGCACTTCGGCAGCCTTCTGGATGTTCTCTTCCGAGGGATACTCGGTGCCGACATCGTCGAGGTTCTTGGCAATCTCGAAGCCGGCAGGGATATGAATGTCTTGGAGCGTGAGCCGGCGTTGCCTTTTGTTGGAAGAGGTGGAGAAGGGAGGTTCGGCAGAAGGGCTGCGAGAGGTAGAGCTTGAGGGACCCAGAGAGAAGGGCGTGGCACCTGAGGTGCTGCTGCTGCCGCTGCTGATGGAGCTCATGTTGGTGATGGGAATGTTTGAAAAGATGAGACGCAATACAATGCACCGGAGAAGGTCGAGAGCTACGGAGCTGAGAGTTCTCGCTGGGGATCGAGATGATCGCGGAGTAGCGGCAACGCGTTAGATGGCGACTAAGAAAGAGACAAAGCAGGCCGTGGGTGGAGGATTACAGGGCTTGGCGGGTCTGATCGATTTCGATAGGTCCGAGAAGGGTTGGCGAAACGATGCTAGCAGTCCATGGAAGAGAATGAAGAGTACGACTGTGTAGAGGCGAGAGGCGGAGAAGGCGTCAACGTCTTGTTCGTGGCGTAGCTCTGGCCTGGGTTGAGAGAAAGATGTGATGTACGCGCCGGGTTGAAGATCGCAGTGGTTGGACGATAGACGTGAGAGCCAGGAGGACGATGGAGGAGAAGAAAAGGTGGCGAATCAGGAGATGGACCAAGAAGGTTGCAGCAAAGCCAGAAGGCTTATAAGAAAAAAGCAGCAGGAATCTGGGGAGCAGCGATGGATGGTGGGCTTGGTGCCTCGAAACACCGGAGAAAGGCGAGACCTCGACCTCGAATCCACAGTAAGACAGGAAGGTCGATCAGAGGACAAGGAAGACGAGGCACAATACCAGAGAGGCGGAGGGAATTGGCGCACCAGAAGTTCGGCAGCCAAAAGCCGGGTTGGAAGCACAAAACACTTGGGTTCAGCTTTGGAGCCGGAAGAGTCGGCTTCGGGGGCTACGGCAAGACTCTGAGTGACCACGCAGACTAGAAGAGGAAAAGCAGTCTCTGCAGGCCAATGTAGGGTGCAAATGCGAAACAAAGAGCCTGTCTGCCAGGGTGCGGTTTCAGATAGGCAGGCGATGAGTGGCTTCGCCCACGTCAAGGCAGCATAGGAGGAACGAGGCTGATGGCAGGGTCAAGGACGAGGCCAAGGGCAAGAGATGGGCGCAAGAGAGTGACACAGCGTCTGTGGGGGAGATACGCAAGGCGAAAAAGGGCGGTGACTGAGTCGAGGGTCTGGGTCTCGCCAACGTCAGGTGCAGAGCAGGAGAGGTCTATACGGCACGATGGTGATTGACGACAATGACGACGAAAAGCTTCTCGACCAGCCAGCGGCAAACAGGGCACTTACGGACGGCTCTTGGGAGGGAGACAGGGCAAAAAACGGTCTCAGTGACACCCAACCAAGGCAGAAGCACATTATCCGTACCTGCTCTAGGCCACTTCTGTCACGGACGGCACCGCCCTAAGCAAGTACGGTGCAGCGAAAGTCATGTGGCGCAAATGGAGAGATTTGAGCGAGTTCGGAGAAAGGAGCACTAGGCGAGGGCGAAGCAGAGGTGAAACGCGGACGGATGGGTGACGCAGAGCATGCAAGAGGCAGGCTCGCTCGATGCACTTGAGCTTGCACAGCTTACCGCCAGACTTGGAGAGTCTGCTTTTTATGAATAGAATAAAAAAGGCGGGGTCAAAAGCAGACTAAAGAGCGGGGTCGTGACTCGAGACGACCGCTCCAGTCTCTGCGCGCCCTCATGCGAGAAGGCTAGCCGAGATTAGCTGGGCAACGGAAAGATTATTTATGCGAATCACTGGCAGCTCGAATACAGAGGGAGCGCAAGCTAAGACCATTTGCTCAGAAACTCGATCTCATCAGATGGGCAAAAGCGCCCTGTTGTTTGTGCAAGCCTCGTACAAATAAAATCTGTTATAGCCACATTTTATTGCAAAAGCCTTCACAGCTGCCCTGCTCCTAGAGGCAAGAAATTGCAAGCCTCCCATTTCACGCTACTCTGTGTACTAGCTTCGGCATCGTCCAGCGCACTACACGACACAACATTGGATTGACATGAGGCCAAATGAGCTACCTTCTCGTTCGCGCTATTTTAGAGGCAACTGTAGCCCAATGCCGCAAGGTCGATCAGCCGGCACCGAATAATCGAGCAACCTCTGTCGTTCCGCCTGCTTCGTGCATGTGCGCAGGCTTGACCATCCCATAACGCTTGTGAGCCGCACACACACGTAGGACAACAGCAACATTGCAGATCGACGATGAAGAGAGGCGTGCACTTCCAGGCTGGTTCAGTCAAGGTGTCCATGTTGTTCCTCGATTAATTGAATCTATTTTTTTTTGCAAAATGTCGACCGCGTTGCACAGGAACGCGAATTCGAACTTGACGTCTAGATTTCAAACTCTGATTTGTAATTTCTCCAGAGAGCGAGCAGGAATGGCTGGCACCGGCACAAGCGAGCCTCGTGCGATTCACTCTGACCCTTCTCTGTCCATCGCTTCTCCTCTTGCTGCTTAGCCCACTCATGATCGCATGAACTCAAGGGAGTCCACTACTTGCTATGCGGTGGCAACCTTTGCACCTGTGACCTGTCAGTGGCCCATCACCAGACCAACAACGGAGCGACTGCGTTTTCTTCTTTTCCGTGCGTCGCTCAAGACACGGCAAACCACATCCGAACCACCCCGCAAAAAGAGACGCAAGGCACGGCAAATAGCGAGGAGAATTTGCAATTGTGCAGTCGTTCGAATTTAGAGTCGTTCGGAGGCTGAATTCGCATCTTTTCCCATTGTTGAACGAAATGCAATACTTCTTGCAGCATGCATGCATGCATGGGAAAGTGTCCTAGTGGTCAAGGGCAACGCTAGCCGTTGATGCCTGCTTGCAACTGTACGTAACGTCGACAGAAGATGCTCGTCGAAACTCGACCCCAGTTTCAGGTCCCTGTTTGGGCCGCAACTCCTGTCCAAAATTTGGCTCTCCGCTTTGAACAAGTGCGTGCATCCGCGCCGTTTTGGCTTGCGGTTTTCCATCCAGTCCTCCGCCTCGTCGGGTCCGCTGTTCTTGCCTAGACCTTTGCGAGCCAATCAGAATCGCCATTTTCACATCAAGGTCTGAGACATCTTGTCCGAGTCTGCTGCAACCTCCCCTTCCGAACGGCATGCCTGTGCCCAGAGTCGCCACCTCGCTTAGATCAGATGATGTCCTTGCATGGCCTTCTCCGAAGCTCAAGGATTACAGTAAACTCCTGTTCCTCCGAGGTCCTCGTTCCTACGTTTGCCGGACCCCATTTGCAGGCGGGCGTAGGTCATAAATCATTCGATTCGGATCATGGCTGTACAGTGCAGGAGCCGACACGTCTCCCAGCAACCTGGCTCGCCGGCACGGAGGTTTGCGCTGGGGACGAAGACCATTTGTGGACACCGATCAGATGGCCAGCAGCCATCTACTAGCTCACCTCTCTTACGGTAACTGATGAGCCTACCGAGCACGTCCGGATGTGGGGTCGCTGCACATTCCTCTAGTGTCGATGCACGCTCGAGCACAGAGGGGTTGCGAGCGTGTCACCCTGGATCAAATGCGCGCCAGTCTCTGCGTTGCGGCGCTGCACAGACAACCAGGCAAGGAGAAACGAGGAGGATCAAACAAGGTCACGGTTTAACCGGAACTAAGCTGCATCTGGAAAGGCTAAGCTAGCCTAGTGTGCTTGGCTTGAACATCTTTGGCATGGCTGCTGCATCCCTGCAGTCAGTCTGCAGAGCCGATCCGATCCTCCCCGCATTTTGCTTTGCTTCTTCTGTTGCAGCTGGCGTTGAAAAATATTTGTAGCCACGCGTCTTTGTCGACTCCGACAACCAGGTCGATGCAAAGCAAACGAACACAATCACATGCAAGTCGCCAGCCATGATCTTGTATGGCTGACAACGCCATTGCTCAAGACAGGCTACCCGAGTCCTAATATCACAGGGTGGCTTGCTTGTTTTGGTGATGGCTGAGGGACGTTCTCAGCCCTGCGTGTCTTGACGGTGGATGGCGTCCAGCGAAAAGCGACAATTTGAAATTGCTGCAAAACCGCGGCTGCCAAATTCGACTCTCGATGCAGGGCCATTATTTGCGGCCTGCTTGGAAATTCGACTCTGCTGTCTTGGCCGTCTCATGGGCGAGAGGCACGACTCGCTTAATTACGAATCTTGCGTCGCTCGCTCGTCTCGTATGCCGCCTGCCGCGCCGCGCAGTGAACGTTATCCGAGGTCCGTCGGCGCCAGGTAAAGTCGCCACCTCGGACGCTTTCTGTAGACAGCTCGCTTTCGCTCGTGTGGCCTTATGCCGGGCTTGCTCGCTTGGAGAGCGTGCCAACTTCGCCGATCGAGTGCAACCAAAAGCACATCGTTCTCCATCTACAGAGCCTCTCTAACCAAAATTCGAACTTCGTCATACGCCTCCCGACGCCATCATCGTTGCCGTGCAAATGGTGTGAGCATGGCAGCTATTATACTTTACGTCCCTTTCGCTTGCTATACGCGAGGCGCATCGACATATTGCGACCATGATTTGCAGTGAATGCCAAAGAAGAGTTGTGTTCCAGGCACAGCGTTCTCAACGTTCAACAACGGGCACTGCTAACGGACGTGTAGCTCGTTGCTGCACCTCCGGACTTTTGATACGTTCACCACCCTCGAAGGTGTTCATTCCCTCGTCGTTCTCACTCTCACGCATGAGCCCCCTACCCCCGCGTCAAGATGTAATCCGCTACGCGAGACACCGACGAGTGCCTGGTTGCCATACAATCACTCGCCTCACTTGCAGCCTTGCCCAACCCACTTTTAGCAAATTCACAGAAGTACAGTCACGACCCGCTCCGAGAAACTGTCCGCGCATTCGCCGAGCTTCTTCCGGCCTTCAACAGGGAAGCCGTCGAGCGACATCTTTGCAGCAGGCGTATTCGCAGTGACGGTTCACACCATTCCACAAGCTCGACAACGGTCATCAGTCCGCTCTGAGCAACGTGAACCTCTGCATGATCCGGACACGTTGTACATTTCCGAAGCGTGAGATCAGTCTTGAGAAAATTTGTGCCTAGGTGGCATGGAGGTGAAAAAGTGTATAGCCGACCAATTCTTTCCCATCGGCCAACCTTGATGTGTCCCTGCGCCCGCCGAGGGCCTGATCTGCTCAGGCAGATGCCGAAAGAGCCAAATTTTTGCTTTGAGAAGCGTTCTTGCCGATAGATGGTTTGGTCGTGAGTCGCCGTGATCTGCGTGTCTAGCCCTTCCTCAACGCCGGCCATTGCTGCTATTTTTGGCTTTGATCTTGACGGGGCAGTCCGGTTTGCAACCCCATTGCGAAATGCTCCCACTCCGTCGGGCGTGCTCTTGGCATGTCAATCCTGGCTGATGAATCAAGCAACGAGATGATGGGACTTATTCCTGCTTGTTGCTATTCCGATCCAAGTCGAAGGCTACTGCCGACGGAGTGAGGCGAAGATGTCTTTGTCCCAATCGCCGGGGCGTGTCTCGTTCGGCAGGGAGATTTGTGTTTCAGTTGCTTGTCGTCATGGGAACCAACAAATGGGATCAGACGCAATACCCTCGAGCTCCCCATATACTGATAGCATTTCTCAAAGTCCTGTCCTTGGCTGTACTATCGAAACAGATCCCGACTCACGAGCAATGAAGGTCCCATGACGGCAGTCAGCTTTCCTTTCGATCTCAGTCAAAATTAATCCGAGTGCGCCATACGGTGGAGGAAATCGACCTCGTTTGATTGATAGGTTTCCAAGTCCGACACAAGCCACAAGGTCATTGATCTTCTCGAGGATCAAAGAGCATGGTACCTTAACGTCAGAGGGATCAATGGCGAGCAAGAAAGGTGTCAGTGGCATGTGACAATGTCTCAGCAGCCGTCTCGATGCAAGACCAAACGGCCGGTACCATCTCGATTCTCGCCGATAACTTAGCTGTCATGGCATCATCATCGAACGATCTTCACCGCAAATGCTGCTGGTCAGCCCATGAATTCGGTGTTTTTGCCGATCCCGAGAATGGCTTTCGCAACGTTCTCCAGCTCACGATTTGTTATCGAGCTAGCGGGCGACCAAGCGATGAAGCGACGAAGCGACGAAGCGACCTCGCCAAGAGCTAGGTGGGACCGAGGCGAACAGGATCGCGCTTGCCGTGTTCGGCAACGCTCGACGCGCTAGTTGCGTCGACGTCATGTGGCCTTCTCTTTTCCTTCGATCTGCCTTTCTGCTCTTCAGAACTGGACCAGCCAAGGATGTTCGTCGCACACCGATGATGCACAGAACAGTAGTTGGTCTGACTTGGACAGGCTGAGATTCCTCAGCCGAATTGCTCACGCATCGTCAAAGCGTTCTGAGATGGCTGGTCCAGAAGAAACCGCAGCATCATGGATGTCATGGCCATTTCAAAAAGCTTCGATGTTAAGCCTATCGCTCGATGTGTGTTAATGATTTGTCAGCCGGATGTCGATTTTGTGCGAGGTTGGAAGGTTTTGAATTTGGACCCTGACTTGTCCTCATCATCCTAACCACCTTCACACAAACACTACCACATCCCAGCCCTGCACGACGGCACCGCATCCAGGCATGCAGAGCAACGCGGAGAATCCACGCAAGAGATTCACAGCTGCTGCTGCTGCTCCAGCCAACAGTGGGGATAGTAACGGTAGCGGCAGCAACGACGCCGGTCCGTCTCGACCTCGAATCGCCAATGCCGTACCGTCAGAGATCCTCGACGACCCCGAGTTAAACCAGGCTATTGCATCTATCCTGCCTTCCAACTACAACTTTGAGATTCACAAGACTATCCACCACATTCGCAAAGCCTCGGCGACATGTGTCGCGCTTCAAATGCCCGAAGGTCTCACACTCTGGGCGACGGGCATCGCCGACATCGTGGAGCGTTTCACCGATGCCACGACGGTCATCATGGGTGACGTGACGTACGGTGCGTGCTGTGTGGACGACTATACGGCGATGGCACTCGGATGCGATATGCTGGTTCACTACGGACACAGCTGCTTGGTTCCCGTGGACCAAACGGCGATCAAGACTCTGTACGTGTTTGTCGAGATCTCGATCGATCCTGCCCACTTGGCAGCTACGATCAGGGCCAACTTCCCGAGCGAAAGGCAAGACTTCCGGGACAAAATCCTGGGAGGAAGTCAGAACGCAGCCGGCAAAAGGAACGAGGTGGATGAAAGTGCGGGCCGTGCTAGAATTCAGGTCGGCGAACAAGAGGCTGCGTTCAGCGAGGCGATGCCTGCGGTCGCCAAACAGCCGCCGACTCACCTGGCCCTTGTGGGAACAGTGCAGTTCATCAACGCAATTCACGGACTACGCGAAGCGCTAGAAGAGCAGCAGCATCGACTCGCCGATGGGCAGATTGTGTCAGGCGAGCCCCCTGCGGATCGTCTGTTGCTCACCGCAGGCACAGCAACGAACGGCACCGTCGAGCACATCTCTCAAGCGGCAAAGTGGAAGTCGTGGAGCTCAGGAGAGTACAAGGTGACGGTACCTCAGGTCAAACCCCTCAGTCCTGGCGAGGTGCTGGGATGTACATCTCCCAAGCTCGACAAGGACGGCATCGATGCGATCGTCTACATTGGCGATGGCCGCTTCCACCTCGAGTCGATCATGATCGCCAACCCACGCATTCCTGCATTCCGATACGATCCGTACACCAAACGCTTCGTGCGCGAATTGTACGACCACGCGGAGATGCGGAAGATGCGTGGCGAGGCGGTGAGGCTAGCGCAAGACAGCGTGGGCGGTATGGACCTCGATCCCGAGTCTTCCATTGTGAAGCAGCAGAACGAGGCCGAAGAGCAGAGCAGGGTGACGCCTTCAGGTTGGGGAGTGGTGTTGGGCACTCTGGGACGGCAGGGAAGCCTGCGGGTGCTCGAGTCGCTCAGCGCCTCGCTTGCCGAGCATTCGCCGCCCATCCCTCATGTACCGATCCTGCTCTCCGAGCTCTCCCCGCAAAAGCTGGCGCTGTTCGGCGAGCACCTTTCGGCCTTTATCCAATCCAGCTGCCCACGCCTTTCGATCGATTGGGGTTCGGCGTTCGCCAAACCGCTATTGAGTCCCTACGAGGCAGCTGTCAGCGTCAAAAAGGTGAAAGGATGGCAGGAAGACGTACAAGGGCTGGGAATGAGCAGGAACCCCGCGCAAAAAAATCAGGGTGGAGACGGTGGCGATGCTGTGCCTGCGGAAGACAAGCATCTGCCTCTCGACGGAGACTATCCGATGGACTTTTACAGCGATACCTCGTTGGGACCTTGGACACCACGACACGGAATGGCACCAGCAAAGAAGCCGAGCGGTGCCAAGTCGAACCTGGCTCTGTTGAGGAGTCTACGGAACAATCGTGCCAAGGCAGCTGCACCTCCTGCGAGTGCTGCCACCGCTTGATGTGCGCACCGTACTTCTACGCACTGGCGATGCTCAGATGTCACCAATGAAAATCGCTGCCTCCTCTGTTCTACGACAAGTGTGATCTTTGCTGCAATTGCGAGCCTCTTCAAGAACGAAGATTCGTAGCAAGCATGTGTAATGTGGGCAAGCGATCTGCCGCCTGCCTGATTTGAACGCCGTCGATGCATATTTGCGGATGGCGGTTGTGAGATTTGAGCGTCCGCCGGGTTGGGTTGAGATTCTAAGTTAGTCGGGCTCGTGACGTTTGGCACCCAACACCGGTGAAGTTGGGAATTGCAGAAGAAAAAGACTGCGTTGACCGTGCGCGTACTTTGGCACGGCATTTGGCATGCGTGTGTGTATGAGGCGGCAAAGTGCGTCTTCCCGTCTCCCAACGGGACGGCAACGTAGCGCGGTCTGAGCAGAATCAGTTTTGGCTGAGCGAGACTGGTTTAGTGCCACGGGATTCCCGAAGTTCCGATTCCATCAGTTTCAATTGTCGTCGCTGCATCCGTCTACGCCATCACTCTCTTTCCGCCATCACATCTTTATCGCTGCTGCCGTTGCTCTGAGCCATTCAGCGACACAAGCAACACATACGCGGACACAATCTTTTCCATTTTGTCGGCGATTCCATAGCTGCGATCCACGATAAGCTCGAGCACGAGCCGCCCAGGCGTGCCTTATTCGACTTCGATACCGCCGCGCACGCTTTCCGACCTGCTGCTTGGTCTCATCCCCCCGTCGCCATCCGGACTGCGCTCGACAACCTTCTCTATCGAGGCAACAGCGTCAGTCCCACGCTGCAACGGAACGACTCCTCCCTCACTTGGTTCGGGCCTATACTGACAAGCCAGGCCACTCCTCAAACCCGTCGCTGGTTAGCGTCGACATTCCAAACGCTCTCGACGCTTAGCAAACATGGCCTCTGCAGCCTCGGTCGACCGTGTTTGGGCGCTTCACGACTTTGAAGCAGAGAATCCGGACGAAGTCTCATTCAAGGCTGGCGAGAGCATCCTCGTCGTAGAAAAGGATGACGAGTACGGCGACGGATGGTGGCAAGGCACCAACGAAAAGGGTCATACCGGTCTCTTCCCCTTCACTTACACCACCCTCGATCGCAAACTCGCTCTCAGTGCGAAATCGGGCAATGCAACTCCAGACGCACTCGGCACACCTCTCCCATCCGGCAACAAGCCTGGCGTGATGCATTCCACCATGGCCGACATTGACAATGCCCTCACCGAGTTCCAAAGCGAGCGCAAGCCACCTAGCGTCAACGGCAGCACAGCGGGCGCTGCTGCTATTCTCGGTGTCAACTCGGCCGCCGATACATCTCGTGCATCTTTCAACAGCGAGCGAACCGACGCAGACGACCAATCCGACCATGTCGGCGAATCCGACGATTTTGCCACCAGGTCCATCGCCACTCGGGCCGCTCTCGCCGCCAATGCCCAGAAAAACCTCGCCAGCGATGCAGAACGCCAAAAGCAGGAGGAGCAACGCATGCGTGCACAGGCTCAACGCGAGTTTGAGGAAGAGGAGGCACGTCAACGCGAGTTGCTTCTGGAAAAAGAGAAGGAACGCCAGGCAAAGTTGGCCGCAGGTGAGCTCGATCCTGCCGAGGAAAAGTCCAAGTCTGCACCCATCGCCGGCGTGGATATGAGCGACGAGAGCGACAGCGAGGGATCCGTCGGCCCGCTCGACGACTTCCAGGACAAAACCCACAGCCCCCTCTTTGGCAATCTCGCTTCAACGCCCACTGAAGGTGTCACGGCGCGTGAAATCAAGCCGCCCACTTCCAACCTGCAAGAGATCGTCGAGAATCAGGCTCTCCCACCGCAACCCCTAACACAGTCCACCGAAACACCAGCAGCGGTCTCGGCGCCAGCATCCGCACCGCTCGTGTCGAATGATTTCACACCTTCCGTCGCCCCAGATACAAACGCTGCACCCGTCGCGGCTACCCAGGCCAATTCGTCCTCCGTTCCAGCGCCAGCTCTTGCTGCTGGTGTCGGAGCTGTCGCGCTCGGCGGCGTCGCCGCTTCCTTTGCTGGCGTGGCATCTCATGACCGATCCGCCAACGCCTCTTCTGTCATCGACCATGGCCCGCCGGCCGCCGATGAAAGCGTTCGTTCCATCGCTGGTGACAGCATCCAGACCGGGACGGGCACCGGTGCCGCTACCGGCACTGCCACCGCTGCCACTTCGATAGCCGCTCCGACGAGCGAAGACGTGAACCAAGGCTCTACCGCGAATGGCTCTGCCGCTGCTGCTGCTGCTTCCAAGCCTCTCGCCGCTGCATCCGGCAATTTGCCAAGTGACCCGACCGAGTGGAACGTCGATCATGTCGTCGAGTGGGCGCGCTCCAAGGGTTGGGATGAAGCTGCGGTCGTCAGCAAATTCCGCGAGCACGAGATCTCCGGTGACGTGCTTCTCGAGATGGACATCAACATTCTCAAGGAGATCGACATCCTCGCGTTCGGCAAGCGCTTCCAGGTCGCCAACGGCATCAAGGAGCTTCGCGCGCAGATGCCTGGCACGGCGACCACTCCAGGCGTGTCGCAACCCAATCAGGATGGTCTCGGCAGTCCGGCCATGATCGCGCCTGGAACGCCTACCTATTCGCCATACAATGCTGCCTCGCATAACAGCAGCAATGCGGATGGACGCAGCCTCAGTGCACGCATGGCCGAGACCAGCCTGGACCAGAGTGTCGCACCCAGCTCGAACCGACCCGACAGCTACCGCGACGACCCTCGCGATTCGTTTGGCGGGCCTGCGCAGGGTTTCGGCGGACAAGGCTTCGGGGGCGCAGCCGGCGTTGCGGCTTGGCAGGCACAGCAGGCGGCTGGACAAGGATACGGCTCTCGTCAACCCAGCGAAGGTTTCGGGCGAGGCACAGGCGATGCCCCTCTCTCGACTCCACCCATCAACCATTCGCAGTTCGGCATGCAAAGCCCGCGTTACGTGCCCACCAATGGCGCCGCCAACGAAGACAGGCTTGGAGCGCTGCCGACTTCGCCACGCAAGCGCGAGTCCACCGGATCAGCGGGCGCTTCGGAAAAGAATAATCGATCGAGCTTCTTTGGTCTGGGCCAACGCAACCGCAAGCCGCCTCCCAGGCAAGCTGGACCGGGAAGCAGCGGTCACGACGATGACAGGGGCAGCAGTAAAGGTACTCTGTCGCGACTTGGTTTCGCGCGCAGCTCGAGGAACATCAGCTCGCAGTCGTCGCAGTCCAACATCAAAGAGCAGATCTCGCTGCCTACTTCGAGCCCGCACTTTGATTCGAACGGCGACACGGCTCGACGACAGAGGCAGTCGACGGGTGGCGCGACCATCATGGGCACCCCGGGTACGCCGGGCACTCCTGGGATGGGCATGGCGGCCAACGCGCGTCCTACGAGCATCGGATCTGCCGGAGCTGATGCGCAAGCCGCACCCCCCTCTGCTGCTGCCGGTGGCGTTGCTGGTGCCGGAGCTGCGGGAGATGCCGCTGCCAATGGACCCGTCATGTCTCGCATCCAACCTGTCGACCTGGAAGGCTGGATCAAGAAGAAGGGCGAGCGGTACAACTCATGGAAACCGCGCTACCTCGCGCTCAAAGGACCGGATCTGGTCATCTTGCGCGACCCACGTGCCGAAAAGATCAAAGGCTACGTCAACATGAAAGGCTACAAAGTGATTGCCGACGAAAACACCAACCCGGGCAAGTACGGCTTCAAGATCCTGCACGAGACCGAGAAGCCGCACTACTTTAGCAGCGAAGATCCGATCCTGGTGAGGGAGTGGATGAAGGCGCTGATGAAGAGCACGATCGGCAGGGATCACAGTTTCCCGGTGATCTCGAGTTACAACAATGCGACGATCAGTTTGAAGGAGGCGCAGAAGATGAACCCGCCGCCGAGACCGCCCAGCCCGACGAGCAGGGCAAGGACGCAGAGGGCAAAGGCGAGGCCGAATCCGGAACAGTTGACCGCCAGGGATGCGGCAATTCTGATGAACTTGACCAGTGGACAGCCGACGAAGGCGGATGATTTGTAGCAGGAGGAGATGGTGCAATGCAGAGAGTCAATGTAATTGCGTTGGATCGTGATGGTACAATGTGTGAGGGGTGTGCGATGTGTGAGGGATAGAGACTGTGCAATTTTGTCGGGAAGGATGTCAGAGATCGGAGAAAAATCCTCCCTTTGCAGCCTTCTTTTTAGACGGAGCGACGTCCTCAGAATCGCTATCTTGGTCCCCTTCCTCAACGTCATCATCATCATCATCGTCGTCTTGATCGTCCTGATCAAGTCCAACCACAACGTCATCCTGCTCGTCTCCGTCTTGCTCCTCTTCCTCGTCGTCCTCCTCATCATCACTATCCTGATCATCGCTTGCCAAACCGACAATGCCCAACGCACTCCCCTCTCCCTCGCTATCTCCATCCTCCTCATCCTCCAGCAAGGGCGTCAGATCGGTCAATTTGACCGAATTGCTATGCCCAATACTCGCCAACACGCTCTCCTTCCTCTTCATCCTCTCCACGGGCAAGCCATCGTGACTTGCGATCACACCCAACAATTTGGACGGAAGGATCTGGACGACTCGGACGAGACCGTCGGAACTGCCTGTGAGGACGGTTTCGCTGTCGAGGGTGACGAGGGTGTCGACGCTAGCGGGGTGACCGGGAACACGATCGACGTGGTCGAGCAGACCTCGGGAGGGGGTCCACAGCGAGAGGATGCCGAGTTGGGTGCCGACGACGAGCTTGGTGGAGGAGCGGATGGAGGTGATGGACAGCAGCTCGTCCTCCTGGTCTTCGGATTGTTCGAACGAGGTTGGACCGGAGGTGAGCAGGTCGATGCTGCTGAGCGATCCGTCGCCGGAGGTGACGATGAGTCTGGATCTACTTTCAACTTTGTCCGGCTCATCCGAATCGTCGTCCGAATCGTCATCGTCGTCGTCGTCGTTTTTGGCGGATTGTTCTTTAAGTAGCGCAGCTTGTCTCTCTCTCCTCCTCTGCTTTTTGAGTTGGAGTTTCGACTTTTTCACTTCGTTCTTCCTCTCCCGCTTGGGCACGGGCAGTTCCGGAAGGTAGACCATATCCGTAATCCAGTCGAAATGATGTTCCCACTGCCTAACCGGTTTCACCCCCCTCCCACTCTCCTTCCTGACATCCCAAAGCCGCACCACCCCTTCATCATCACCCGTGACAACCAGATTCTCATCCACCGGCAAAACCCGACTCGGAGCCGCCTCGTGCACCTCGTCCCAGCTCTGCACCACTTTGCCCGTCTCGGTATCGGTCGAGTAGAGGGACTTGTCCTTGGAGACAGAGAAGATGCTGGTGCCGGTGGTGGAGAAGTGCAAGCCTCGACATGATTTCTTGCTGGGACGTGAGGTGTATACTTTTCGATAGAGTTTCGGCGTCGGCGAGGTTTCCGAAGTGAGAGGGGAAGAGGTGGTCTTGAATCTTTTGAGTGGTGGTTGTGCGGGTGTGCGTGAGGAGGAAGGGGAGGAGAGGTAGTCGGAGTAGTCGATGAGTTGGATCTTGCCAGAGATGAGGCCGACGGCGAGCAGGTTGGTGGAGGAGGAGGGGTGGAACGTGAGATCGAGCGCGTCGCTCGAGAGTGGGATGTCCATGGCGAAGGCTTGACGATGGGAGCGCAGATACTTCAGCGGTCAGTGATGAGAGTATGCCTCCGATGCTGTAGAAAGGTGCGTGTGTTCGATGGTCGAGATGACAGTGATGAGGAGGACGATGAACAACGAAGTCAGGGTCCGATGACATTTATCTCTGAACAAACATCCGAAAGGATTAAAAAAAGGGAATTCAGAAAAGCGGCACAAATTCCTCCAACAGTGGTCGGTGCACGGACTTGGCAGATAGCGCAAAATGTTGAATCGAAGTTCGACACATGCTGGAAGAAAAGCAAAATTGATCGGAACCGAAAGGCAGCAGCGCTTGACAATGTCGCCGATCTAGAATCCTCCATATTCCTTAACACCAACCACCACCAACCACCATCCTCAACGGTCCCCTCACGCTCGCATTCTCCGTTCCTCGAACGCCTTTAGCCTCGAAGGAAGCAGCAGACTGGACTCGACACTTCACCACCCACCTCTCGACAACACCGCACACACCCTCTCGGCGACAACGCACATCATGCCAGTTCCATTCGAAGCAGTCCTTCACATGTCCATGGTGGTCGTCATGTTTGGCGTCGCCGGTACCGGCTACAACGTCGTCCGACGTCTTGCTGAGGATGGCAAGGTTCGTTTCGCTCACCGTTCTTGTCCTGTCTTGAATCCATAGAACCAACACTGATTTCGAGATCTGCTTTCCTTTTCCAAACAGCCAATTCGACACTCGCTCGACGACTGGGAGCGAATGATGATGAAGAGAGATGAACGGTTGACTGGCAGTTTGAGAGGTCAAAGTGTAAGTTTTGGGAAAAAGCAAACCGATGCGCGCAAAGTGCAGAGATCGAGAGCAGATACTGATGTCGAGGAAACAATCTTTTGATCGTGCACAGACAAACCCTATAGCACCGAAAGAGTTTGCGACCAACTCGGCCTGGAGCACCGAGAAGCTATCTTGATCTGCAAGTAGCTACATCATGCTGGCCTTCCCGTCGTCGCGATGCAATTCCAAGAATCTTATTTAGATCTAGATATAGGCTGGTGATGGTGCACGCCGCGAGTCGTCAAGCACCCGCGTCCGGCACGGGTTTTTGAAGGACTTCTTGCAAGACTGCTGTTGCACAGAATGTTTGCGAGCAACGACCAACGACCTGGCAATGTGAGAGTATCGTTGATTCAAAGTGAGATGATAGTACAGCAGCCGCATCCGCGTCTCCCCTACTTCCACACCTCGACCCTCCTCCTCAGCACCTCCCTCACATTGATCTTCGTATCATCCACGTTGCCCAACCTCTCCAACAACACCTTGTACTCCTCACCCTTGACACCACCTTCGTCCGTAGCGTCGAACACGATCTGCACCGCCTTAGCCAACGTCACTCCGTCCGCACCCTTTCCTGCTCCACTTGTAGAACTCGGCAGCCTCAGCAGTGTCGCTGCGTCCAACACCGGCTTCCAAGGCGCCTCGGGTCTCCTACCCAAAGCTCCGTCTCGCTTGCCGGCATTCGCCTCCACCAATTCCCGCACCACTCCTAGCCAACCTTCCTTGAGATCGCGTTCGAACCGTACGCCTCCAGCGAAGGTGAAGCGCTTGGAACCACCGGCCATGACGATCCGTTCGACGAGCGCGTTGGCGACCGAAGAAGAGACGTGTCGGTAGATCGGCAGAAGCGTTTCCTTGGGTAAGATCGACGCGAGGTGTCCCAGGTGAGAGGAGAACATGGACAAACTTGGGATGAGCGTTGGCGTCGGAATTGTCTCTTCTTCCGCGTCCTCCTCCTGCTCTTGTTGGTCCCATCTTCGCAGCACGTACGGTCGGAGCAGTTCCAGCACTTCGCTCGTGATCAACCTCTCCACCGCCATCACCGCCCTCGCCGCGATATCCCCGAACTTCATCCTCGGCTCCTCCCACACTCCGAACCTTCCCCATTCGTTCAACACCTGTCTGCTCCCCACATCGCCCAGCTTGGGCGTACCCACGCCAGCCTCGCCACTCCCCACCGCACTTCCACTCGAACCCGCCGCCAAAGGTCGGGCTACGGCAGCACCTCTCTTCAACCCTCTTCTCAACAGCATACCCAAACTCGCCGCGTCCAACTCTCTATCCTCCTCCACACCCTGATCTTTGCGCAGCCCCAAGGCGAGCTGCCTGCCTTCCTGGGTTGAGTCGAGCGCAGAGGACAGTTCGACGAATGCGGAGGTTTCGCTCCACCGTTCCAGCTCCTCGCACACGTACTGCGCCGACAGCAGAGCCTTCACCAGTCGACCCAATCCACGCAATCCCTTCACCATGTCTGAATCGGAAGTGCCCGAGCCCGAAGTTGCGCTGGTGATCTCTCCCGGCATAGCGCGCGCAAAGGCGGACGAGAGCGACTCGAACGCGTCCAGACTTCGTGTCAACCGCTGCGCGTACGATCGGAGGATGGGAAGCTGTACGATGGCGAGGAAGGAAAGTCGTTGCGAGAGCGAGGGAAGTGGTCGGTATCTCTCGGAAACAGATTCGAGGATCTCCATGGTCGATCGAGCCGATTTCGTGGTCCTCTGCCCCTCCACCTCATCCTCTGTGTTGGTAGAACCGGCGGAGTAGAACACCTGCTCGTCATCGTCAGCCACGCTATCCGAACTTCCTATCGCCCATGCATCCGCAGCATTCACAATCTCTTCAAACCTCCGCAAAGCGAATTCCTTTTCGCCATCCAACCACCGATTGAACCACTCTGTGTTGTCCAGGATGTCGTCCGAGATCTTTCTCGTACCAGCACCACCGAGCACGGTGAGCGATGGTGGAAAGGATTCGGCGAGGTCGGCGTCGAACGTCAGGGCTTGGAACACGGTGTGTGCGAGCAGAGAAGGGTGATCCAGGAGCGCAGGCATGGTGGAGGCGAGTTTGCGACGCAGAGGGGTGAGCAAGCCGTGGATGAGCTCGGCGTAGGTGTCGATGTGACGGTACGGTTTGCGTGAGGAGGAAGCGTTCGCGTAGGCCCGATTTAGTCGGACGACGACACCGCCCGAGCCGGGAACGCCGTGCGTCGGTGGGTGGAAGAGTGGAGCTTGCGCGCGGATGAGCGAAGCGATGTGCGAGAGGAACCATTCGGGTTTGTCGAGACGGTTAGTCGAGCGGTCGCCGTCGAAGTGGTAGCGGAAGCGGAGGAGCATAGGCTCGACGAGACATTGAGTGGTGAGCAGCGGTTGATACTTGTCACTGCCAGCGGTGATCGCCTCGTGCTGTGTTGGCTGCGAATGTGATTTGGAGGACGGCTTTGCGGTGGCGCGGCTGAGCAAGCCGAGTTGCTCGGCAGCATCCTGAAGCTCGCAGACGTCTAACCAGGCTAGCTTTACTCGTTCGCTCCCGAGAAGCTTGGCCGCCGAAAGGCCGTTGGGATCGCCAGCTTCGTCTTTGGTGGTGGAGAGATCGGCATTAGCCTGCGACCAACCCGTCTGCTGAATCGCTTCTGAGAGTCTGGCGCACCTGGCTTTTCGCAGCGTCTTGAAAGCGACAGATCGCTGTGAACGCAAGAAGGAGACGAGCTTGGGCTCATCTCCTCCGACTTCAGGCTGTTCGGAGCCTGCGGCAGAGAGCTTCTCGACTTTTCGAACGAGGGCATCGAGCTCCGAGAGGTGGTGGAGCGCCTGTTCCCTCTGCGCCTGGTCCTGGTCGCATCGTGCGACGGCAAGACGAAGATCCTCTGCCTGTGCCAGGATGGAAAAGTATGCTTTCGCTTTGTGAAGCTGGTCGATGGCAGTATGCAGTTGGTCGAGCCTGTTCATCAAGGTAGCTGCGCCGTCCCTGCTGGACTCGGGAACAGCAGACGTGCTCGAACTAGCTATGACAAGATCCTCACAGAGGTCGAGCAGCTTGTCTTCGGTCGTGGCGATGTCATCTGGAAGGGATGAAAGCTTCTGCTTGAGAAGCTTGACACCAGACAAGCTGGATAGGAGCTGGTTTCGCAGCTGCGATTCGAGGTGGGCGGTGCGGGCGTCGGCTTGTTTCTGAGCCGAAGTGAGCTGATCGAGGTAGGCTTCCAGCGAGGACGAAGATGGTAGGGTGGTGAAGACGGGAGCGTGCTGTGAGTCTGCAGAATGCGAGACGAGCGATGGCGAGAGAGAGTCTGAAGCGAGCTGGGTGAGTATGTAGTTGCAGTGCTCGACGACGTAGCTGATCTGTTGATCGTGGGTGGGAGGAGCGAGAGAGGCGGCGAGCTGATGCGGCTCGAGCATTGCAGGAGCAGATCCGCCTGTGTCTGTCGTCGCCATCTTGTCTCCAGCAGCCGAGACGAGACGAGAGAGCAGGACTAACTTAGATGATGGAGAAGGAGCGGAAGTGTTGGCTCGAGTAACGGTTCGCACAGACTTTGCCATTCCTTCTCGACACGGTGGAGGCCAATTCACGAAACATGTGAGGTAAATTGAACCGTAACATTCGAGAGAAGTGCCAGCCGCTGCCAAGCCACACTGTGGGAATTTGGCTGCGTGGCCTCATTCAGCCAAAATCGAGCTGAGTCCAAAACCGGCACAGCACAGCACAGCACAATGCAGCGCAGTATGATATCAGCGAGCACGGTTGGCGCCACTGGAGCAGTCAATCCTTGCCTAGCACGCGCACTTTTGCTTGGCACTCACTCCCTCGTACACATCACCAAACCCTATCTCCGTTCTCATCACCATCTCCACCACCATCATACTATACCTATACTCTCCCACTACCCGGCTACAACACCCTCCGTGTCGCCTCATATCACCATCATTCAGTGACTCATACAGCCGCAGCTCGCCACCGCAGCCGTCATGGCTCGCCCAGGCGCACCCTCTAGCTCTCACTCGCGCAGATCGGACGAACTGTTCGCAGCGTTTAACGGACCAGCAGAGACCGATCCAGGCCTGCCAGATTATACCCAAGCTAGCTCATCTTTGGCAGGTCCATCCGCATCCACCGATGTGTTTTTCGACGCCGGCGATGTGCTGCCCGAGGCTGACTCACACTCCACCACCACCGCTTCTGTCAATGATCCGCTGGGAGCAAATAGAGCCAATGCAAGCGCATCCGGGGCCCCGATTCCCAGTGGTTTCCGCACACCGTCGCGATTGAACCGCAGCAATGGCAACACTCCCGCTTACGACTTTGAACGTCCCGAATACTTCCCCACAGTGACAAGGCGTCCACCACCTTCATCCAATGCGACCAGCCCACGAACCGATGCTGCTGCTGCTGCGACCACAGATGCTACCAACGCCGACCACCGCACAATAGACATGAGCTTCGAAGGTGGCAACGACGCGGACGACTCGCTTCATGCAGCCAGCGGCAGCCAAGTTCACCGCAACGGCTACAGCTCCTTGCCCACTTCCAGCGGCGGCAGCGGCAGCGGCGGCATCAGCACAGACGCCTCGGAGCATCTCTCCAGGAGCGACAGAATGCGCTTTGCTCTCGGGAGATTCGGCCGCTTTGTTGGCATGGGCATTCCAGGCGCAAGATACACATCCCTCTCTACACAGAACGGTGGTCGTGCGGGCGTGCATCGGCCTCGTGTAGTTGGTGGCGGCATCGGCCAAGACGGCGTATTTGCCAACTTAAGTGCCAAGCCTGAGCGCCGTCGACGTGGTCACAATGCCGGAGGCACCGACGACCGTGGTGACGACGATGATCTCGAGGACGACATGCAGCCACCCACCTACGAGATTGCGGCTGCCGACGCAGTGCCTCAGTACTGGGAGACCACCATCCTCGGTGGCAGCGTCCATCCGCTCGCCAACGGACTCGGCTGGACACCTGGAGGTGCTCACGTGGGTGCCATCGAAGATCTCATCGTCGAAGGCTTGGCCGTAGGCAACTTTTTCGGATTTGCCTGGAACCTGCTCGTTTCCATGACGTTCCAATTTGTGGGCTTCTTGCTCACCTACCTGCTCCACACAACACATGCCGCGCGGTGCGGCAGCCGTGCCGGATTGGGCGTCACGCTCATCCAGTACGGCTTCTACCTTCGCACCAGGGCGGCCGAGATTGCCGAGGGCAAGATCATTGGTTCGGGCGATTTCAACGGAGGTGGCGTTGCCGTCTCGCCGGGAGCCGGAGGTGCAGGTTGGTTCGGCGAAGATCTGGATGCTGGCGACGGAGGCGTTCGCAGAAGAAGAGGATGGCTTTCGCGCACAGTGCAGCCTGCACAGCCATCGGTGGATGGCCAGACACTCGCCGATCTGTTTGCAGCACAAGCCGATGGCCAACCAGTCAACGTGGGCGACCAGAGCATCACGGATTCGATGAGTCAATCCACCGAATGGCTTGCCTACGTGCTCATGGTGATCGGGTGGACCATCCTACTCTCGAGCATGCTCAGCTACTGGCGAATCTGGCGATGGGGCAAGTCGCTAGTCGACGCCGCCCACCGCGAACAGGAATCGTCGTCGAGCAACGCCAACAATGAAGCCAACAGCAACGACACGACAACCACAGGTGCAAGCGCATTTGTCAACCGCTTCCGCTCCGTCTTTAGCGCGGGTCGCGGTGCAAGCGCACGAGGTTCGGGCGAGGATTGGATCCTCTTTCCCGGCGTAGGACACCGCCTTGGTCGTACACGCTCGGGTTCAAGACAGCAGGCTCGTTCGGGCACGTCGTTCGATCATCCCACCAGCATCGCCGATCTGGAAGATGAAGATGGACTGGATGCGCAGGACGCCCAGCTGAACCCAGCGGAACGGCGCTTGTTGGATGATATGCGTCGCACCGGTCTTGTATAATACCTGTTGGTTTGTCAAAGATAGCATTGTTTCTGGAGCATTTGTCCCTCGCATTCTATATACACAGTCATTTTTTCCAATGTCACTTGCTTTCATCACTCGCTGTTCGCTTGTCCGAATTGAAGACGCTGCCGAATGCGCCAGCTGTCATGTATGATGAAGATGTGCAGCGGGGTGTGATGGTGACTCGGCCATGCCCGTATATATGATCGGACAAGGGTGTGTGACTGTGCTGGACGCTAGCGAGACGGGTGGTATCTGACTCGACGGTAGGACAGAGACCGAGGTAAGCCGCGGAGCTGAGTTTGGGTGTGGACGAGTCAGGGTCGACGGAAGAGCTTGTTCCGCTGTGAAATTCAATTCTTTGTTCGGCACCTGAGGTTTTTTTTTTGACAGCTCGCCATGTCAAGAGGCACTTTGTCAGTCCAGTTGATTTCGTCCACCGTCGGCACAAACGCACAAATATGCATTACGCCGCACTGCGTCGGCTAAAACGGTCAATAGTAACCTTTCGGCTTGTTTTAGAGCTCGACGTTGAGTGGTTCGGTGCATGATAAGAAGATTCGGTGTTGCGCTTTGGTCGTCAGAGTATTGCTTGGTATCATCGATGCTGGTGGAAGAAGAAGCGGAATAGTTAAAAAGCGTCGATCAAGAGCCGGACGTGGAAAGTGCTCCCTCCTATCCTATCTGTTCTTCCTTCTTGACCTTCTCGTACAAAAACTCAACACAGTCCACCTGTATATCTACAGCACAATAGCTCGCTCGCTCGATCGTCCGACTCCGTATTGCGTCCAGGCTTCCCGGTTCCCACTCAAAAAGATTCATTGAACCACACACAACGCCGTTGCCGAGGGCGGATCAATAGAGCCCATCCTCGACGGCTCATCAGCGAAGAATTCGCGCACAGAAGATTTCCGTCCAAGGCCCGTGTCAGCTGTGCTCAACTTTCTCTCAGGTCGAACGCTGCTCGTTATAACGACGTCCCACATTATTCCACACTGGACAGTCAGAACCATGATTCCATCAATACCACCTTGGCACGAGCTGCATCGTAGCGTAACGGGCAGGCCAGCCTTCGCTACTGCTCTCCCATCGCCCAACATACCTATGCCGCTTTGGGATCAATACACGCTATCAGCTGCAACCCTGGCGTCGAGCATCCTCGTCGTGCTCCTCTACCTCCTCTTTTCGCCGTCCTCTACCTCTTCACAACCTCCCAATCCTGCAGGCTACACACGTCTCAGCAGTGTCGATGATGAATCTCCTGACGCCTCGCTCGACGGCGCAGAGATAGCCGTGAAGCACGAGGTGGACGGGTATCCTTTTGAGCTGCGCAAGGCTCTTGGTACACCGGTCGATGCTGCCAGCTACGAATCAAAACGCTTGGTGGTGCATATTGGTATCGCTGTACTTGCCGTCATCGGGTTGGCGGTGGATGCCACTTCCATCGTGACACAAGTTTTCGTTGATCGAGATGCAGCGCAATCACTACAGACCACCATCTACTTTACCTCGACGTGCGCAGCTTTGCGCACCCTCACAGTGGTGCTCGCCATGCTCGACCTCCATCTGGCCGAATCCACTCGACTCGTCTTCATCTCAACCCTCAGCATGGTCTACCTCCTAGCTCAGCTGCTCGTCTTCCTCATGGACTACAAGCTTTCTCTCCCCGGGTTAGGTGGTGACTCAAATGTCGTATTGCACGCCGTCAATATCGTATCTAGCTTCGTCGTCTTTTTGCTAGCATTCTTCTCCCCCACTGGTCCTGCTATTCGCGTCGAGGCGACAGACAGCTTGTCCGCGAGAACAGTTGTTCGCAATGCCGTCGGTGGTGGTTCGGTGGCTCAGGACGTCTGGGGATTCCTCGCTGCTCCCGTCGTCGGCAAGGCTTACCGGGAAAGTCGTATCGATCAAGACGATATCCCTGCGCTCGATTATACTTTCAGATCGGCGATCCTTGCTGAGGAGATGATTCGCGAGTATCGGCGTTCGCTCGCAAAGTCGCTTGCCAAGGTGCCGAACGGCGCGGAGCGTACGGACAGCGTCAAAGCGCGGGCGCTGCTGAGCGCGTTGGTCAAGTGCAATGCTGCTCAGCTTGTACAGACCGCGATCATGCTGCTGATCGTCACGTTTGCATTCTACGCGCCTAAGCTGGGTCTCAAGCTGTTGCTCGATGGCATAGAGAGTTATGAAGCCTCACTGCGAGCCGGGAAAGGCGACGTACACGATACCGTGGCCAAGAGGGCAAGGTCCACACTCATCTATTCGGCTTCTTTCTACCTCATCCTCTTTTTCGAAAACTTTCTCATCTACTACTACTTCCGCCCACTCACTGTATTCCTCAAGGCCAAAGTGCAGACGCAGCTCACCACCTTGCTAGCGTGGAAGAGGCTGCGTCAGAAGGAAGCTTCCGCCAAAGAAACCGAGGTCAACGCAAAGGACGCCAGCGCCACCGACGAGAGCGAAGAGCAGGAGGGCGGTGGTTCCTTCTCGTCTCCCTCTCAAGTGATCAACCTCGTGACCACGGACGTGACGCGCATCTTTTCTCGCCTCGACATGTATAGCTTCGGCATCATGGGTCCTCTCGAAGTGTTCGTCGGAGGGTACTCGGCCTACTACCTCCTCGGCAACGGTGCGCTCATTGGTCTTGCTGTAGCCGCTATCATGCAACCCATCGCCCTGGTTCTTGGAAAAGTCACCAAGCGCATCGACGAAAGGTTGCAAATGACGCGCGATCGGCGAGTCATGCTGCTCTCCGAAGCCATCCGCGCGATCCGCATGGTCAAATACGAAGCTTGGGAGGACGAGATCGGTGAAAAGATCATGCTGGAGAGGAGGGCCGAGCTCAAGTGCCAAGCCCAGAGTTGGGCCGTGTACACCTTCTTTGGAGGCTTCTTTGCGCTCGTTCCCATGTTGACGATCGTTGTTGCTTTCGGATGGTACACCTTGGTGGATGGGAACACGTTGACTGCGTCCGTGGCTTTCCCGGCGGTGGCGGTGTTGATGGAGTTGAGATTCGCGGTGAGTTATTTGCCGAGCAACTTTTTGAACATCATCCAGGGATGGGTTTCGATGAAGCGTATCGCAGTGTATATGGAGACGGGCGAGGTGGAGATTCACGGCCACGAGTACAGACCGCAGACGTTGAGCGGTGCCAAGGACTTAGCTGCGAGAGCGAGTTCTGGTGTGGGAAGGATCGAGCTCAGGCACGCTGAGATCACCTGGCCGTCGGATGGTGATGATGTTCCCAAAAAGTCCTCGATACCGACGTCGGCACCGACGTTCACACTCTCGATCCCGGAAGCGGCATTCGAAGTGGGTCAAACGAACCTCGTCTGCGGCAAAATCGGATCAGGAAAGACGCTCCTCCTCCTCTCACTCCTCGGCGAGGCCAATCTGCTCTCTGGCAGCATCGATTGTCCACGCTCCCATCCCGCAGCTTCCCTCTACTCCGCTCGCTCAGCCTCCTCACAAGGTCGTTCGTGGTGGATCGACCTCTCCCTCTCCGCTTACGCCCCGCAACGACCCTTCCTCTTCAACGCCACCGTCCGCGAGAACATCCTCTTCGGCCTCGAATACAACGCGCACCGCTACCGCTCCGTCATCTTCGCATGCGGTCTCAAACCCGACCTCAAGATCTTCAAGGACGGCGATCGCACCGAGATCGGCGAGGGAGGTACCAACCTCTCCGGAGGCCAAAAGGCACGCATCTCGCTCGCAAGGGCTGTCTACTCTCACGCTGGCACCGTGTTGATCGACGACTGTTTGTCGGCGTTGGATTCGCATACGACGAAGCACGTGTGCGAGAAGCTGTTCGATGGTGGGAAGGGTGGGTTGCTGGAAGGGAGGACGACGATTTTGGTGACGCACCACGTGAGGTTGATGGCGGGGAGGTGTAAGAAGGTGTTGGTTCTGCAGGAGGGCAGGCAGGCGTTCTTTGGAAGTGCGGGGCAGTTCACGAGCAGCATCTACTATCAAGGACTGGAGAGTGAAGAGAAAGGTGAGGATGCTGGCGGCGAGGAGACGCCAAATTTCGGATCGAACAGTAGCACCGCGGCAAACTCAGCCAACAACAGCGATGAGGAGGAGGCGGATGAGGAGAGTGGATTGTTGGAGAACGGTGGGAACAAGAACGCCGCTGCGTCGGCGTTCTCGCAGAGGACGATTGGAGCTGGAGAGGGAAGGGAGGGATTGAGAAGACCGCCATCGACTTCGGCGTTTAGTCATATTTCAGGTTTACACGACGGTCGGCCCGAGGACGAAGAAGCAGCGGCGGCGGATGAAGCGCACAAGCAGGTGACGGAAGAAGGCAGAGCAGAGGGACGAGTCTCGTCTGCCGTCTACAGCGGATACATTCGTGCTGGCGGTGGTGCCTTGCTCTGGCTTGCGCTGATGGGCAGCTTTGCCGTCAACGCATTCTCCGACCTCGGTGCCAACTGGTGGCTGCGTCTCTGGGCTCAATCCTCCACCACGCAAGAGCACACCACGGAATGGTGGCTCGCTCGCTGGGTCGTCATCCAACTCATCCAGGTCTTTGGCATGACGGCCGGTTACGCATTCATCTGCATCGCCTCCCTCCTCGCAGGCAAACGACTCTTCGACCAATTGCTCCGAACCGTACTCCGCGCACCCCTCCGCTTCCACGACTCGACACCCTCCGGAAGACTCCTCAATCGCTTTGGGCGAGACATGGAAGCCATCGACTCGAACATCGCCGAAGAACTCACCGAGGCGGTCAAATGCCTCATGACGGCTTTCGCCGCTCTCATCGCCACCTGGCTCGGTGGCGGTCCCATCGTCATTGTCATCCTCCTCTTTTTGGCTCCCATATTCTACTACATCGTGGCAACCTTCACCCTCGCTGCGCGAGACCTTAAACGACTCGACTCGAACTCGGCCTCGAAACGTATCACCTGCTTCACCGACCTCATCACCGGCGTCGTCACCGTGCGCGCCTTCGGCTCGTCCGGAGCGTACTTTGCGACGTTGATGGAGAGGCTGGACGAGAACATGACGTTCTACTTTTGGCAGGGGACGGTGAGACAGTGGCAGTCGCTGCTGCTGAGTTTGGCGAGTTCGGGCGTGGTGATCTCGACGGTGTTGGTGGTAACCTTATCGCCGGGTTTCACGGCGGCGAGGGCAGGGTTCACGTTGAGCTTCGTTCAGAGTCTGACAGCGATGTTGACGTATGGCATGAGGTCGCTGTCGAACGTGGAGCAAGGGTTGGTTGCGGTGGAACGTGTGATGGAGTACTTTGGGATCGAAACGGAACCGCTGGATTCGGCTCCCACTGGAACGCAGGAATCATCGGTGTCGACGAGTTGGCCGGAGAAGGGAGCGATCGAGATTCAAGACCTTCACCTGGCGTACGCGGAGAACCTGCCGGATGTGTTGGATGGCATCACGCTGTCGATCCGAGCGGGCGAGAGGGTGGGTATCGTCGGTGCTACCGGAAGCGGCAAATCTACCTTGGTATCTGCGCTGTTCAGGTTCTTCGAGTATCGATCCGGTCACATCCTGATCGATGACGTCGACATCGGCAGGATCGGCCTCAAAACTCTGAGGAGCAGGATGAAGATCGTACCGCAGGACCCTCTCATCCTCTCCGGAACGCTGCGAAGCGCTGTCGATCCTCTTGAAACGCACACCGACACGGACATCACGCGCGTGCTCATCAAAGTCGGCCTCCTCAAAGAAAAGACCAACGGATACGGAACCTTCGATACAACTCTTCGTCAACCAGGTGGAGAAAGTACCAGCTCCTCCACCCTTCTCTCCTCCACCTCCCAGACCGCTGACGACAGTGACGACTCCGGAACGCTCTCATCGCTCGAATCGCGCATCGAAGAGAGCGGAAGCAACCTCTCCTCCGGCCAAAAACAACTCCTCTCGCTCTCGCGCATCCTCCTCTCCTCCTCCACCGACAACCGTGCTGCCAACAAGATCGTCGTGCTGGACGAATCCACTTCGTCGATCGACTACACGACGGACGCCAAGATCCAGTCGCTGCTGGACGCGCACTTCAGCGAACACGGTACGACGGTGTTGGCGATCGCGCACAGGTTGCGCACGATCATCGGGTTCGATACGGTGGTGGTGTTGGACAAGGGCAAAGTGGTGGAGAGGGGTAGTCCGAGGGAGCTGCTTGGGAGGGAGGATGGGTGGTTTACGAGGTTGGCGAAGAGCACGGGGCAGGAGGAGTATGCGGATCTGAAGAGGTTGATGGGATTGTAAGGGGCAGGATGATGCGTGTCGATGTATGCGGAAGAACACGGATCCAAGCTCTACTTTGGTGTCTCATTGTTGGTGAGAAATACAGAACATTGATGCACGAGATATGATCGGGTTGTGTAGGTGATATTATGTTGAGTCAAGCAGATCATACTCTGCTGTCATGGATCGCACTCGTCTCATCTTGTTCAAAGGGTGTGAGGCTGATGCTGCTGCGAACAATTTGAACGCGAGCTTTTCTGATCAGAACATCGTTCAACGAGGTCTGTCTCCCACTTCCTTGGCTCAGTCGAGTCGTTACCCAACCAGAACAGCGTGATATGAAGAGTTGAACGAACCTGCCAAAACACCGACATCGATTGCAAAAGAGATCACACTGATGCATGGGCCGTAACTCGGCCGGCGTTTCTTGCCGCCACTCATTGTCCTACGCATTGACGCCGTCTCATTTCATGTGGGGATGAAGGCCGATCGTCTCGGAATGGTCTGTGTCCACCACTGCGTGCGATGTGTGGTCGACCTCGCGTCTTAATTGCCTGCACGCTGCCTGTGTCGACCCTGTCATTTTGGGTTGACTTATGGAAACATGAGCGTAACGAAGAGCCGGCTATACATGGGGCCACAAGTCCGCACACCAAACGGTCAACAGCACACACACACAGTAGCCGACTGACCGCAAAACCCGACACAGTGGGGAGGAATGCATGGGTCGGAAGCTTTGCTCCGGGAGTCGGATCGAGATGGCAATCACATGGTCGGACCTCTCACAGCTTCCCCGCAATCGGAAGGCTGAACGCGAGACAATCAATGCTATCACTCGAGATTGCGGAATAGCCGGAAGGAGGCTCTGACCTGTAGTTGAGCGTTGTCCGCTGTCAAAGCCCTGCGGTGCAATGGCTGCTTCCGACGTACTCGCACGCTTAAGTGATCGTCGTCGTTGTTCTCGCTTCGGCTGCCGTCTGACATCCTTGCAGAGGTTTTCAGGAACAACCTTGGGTCATCGATTATCGGGCCAGTCAAAGACGTGGATTTCGGAAGGATGATCGCGCCTCCATAGACTATATTCATCAATCCGATGGAAGATTGCGGGCCAACCAGAGCGCACACTCCAACGGAAGCAGCTGCGACGGCGCGTGGGGCAAGAGCAACATCAAACGCACGGCTTTCGGGTATGCCGTTCCTGATCTGCAATTGGTGCGTTTCTCAGACGGCCACGGCAGCGAGCCGAGCGAGCAGCGCTGCAGACAGATAGACTGCATTGCGGGTTCGCATCTAACGGATTTTGCGGTCGCTGATTGGCTGAAAAGGCATGAATGGCTGCAGCTCGTTTGCATCGGATCACAGACCGCCGGCCGTACCGTAATCTTAAATTTTTGTTTTGTATTTTTCGATACTCGGGTCCGCGGAGGGCTCCGAGATTCTTGTTGAACCTTATCTCGCACCCTCTTCCAAGTAGCGCAAGACGTAAGCACATGTCTCATTGACAAAGTTCAGAGATTGACAAATGGTGTACGGTTGCACTGTACATAGAGACAGCTGATAAGGGAGGACTACAGTCCTACGTCACAAGGATGCATGCCGTCTTGAGTGAGATTCGCAGATGCCGACGGTTGAGTTTGAAAAGGGAAAATCCGCCGCGGCAGATTACTGTGGCTCTGCACGAACGATCGCTCTTTGGCCCTCCGACTCACGTAGATGATGCTGTTGTTCTCCTTTCCCTTGATCTGCTTAGCAGTGGAAATTCAGATAGATTGTGGCTGGATGCGCGAGGAGAATCAAACGCTTCCTTTCAACGCGGGGAAGCTTTACTTTTTGGATCAAGTAGCATCGTCTTCCACGGCGGTTAGTTTGGCTGCACTCGAGCACGCCCGTGTGTTTATTCTTGGTCGAGCGAGATGAAGGCGACTATCCGGCACCAAGTGAGGTGCTCATTCTGGAACACACAAAAGTAGAGAAGGTCAAAGCACGCACCGGTGCAGCACGGCACGGTTGTGTTGAGCTGCAAAGTGCTGCTTATCAGCCAACGCCAGGCGCGTTCGTCATGACCTCGATTGCGATTGGCTGGAGCGACGAGTTTTCATGTCTCAGAATACCATCTCGAATCGCATGGCGACAGAGGAAGAAGAATTGGGGATCGCTTTGGATGGAAATGATTGGTTTCCAACGCTGCCGAGCGGATCGGTCACCCTCAGCCCACCAACCACGACGAGAGATTTTTTCAGCGAAATCACGTACACACGACCTCTCGAGGCACATTTGCCATCGGTTATCTACACGACCGTGACCGGCTGACTGACCAATTGACTGATCATCTGCCCATCTGTGGCTGAACGCCCCTGTCAAATGCCCGCTTCTTTGTGGCGGAAATGCCATCGCGTGTTCTTGTGCGCGTTCGTGTGCCTGAAATCCATCTAGAGCTTCCTACAGGAAAAGTGCCGGCATGGCATGTCTGGTCATCTCTAAATTCCGGGTCCGGTCATCCGCAACGGCCCTGCCGCCTCTCGCCGCCGGTTCCGTCTAGTAAATTTCGAGCTCAGCTGACATGCCTGTTTTCCTTTCCTCCGCGATTGGGACTGAATGCAGCGATTGCCCAAGGTCAACCTACGCCCGCCCGTCTGATTGGGTCTTCGTCGGGCCCTCGCCGCACCTATATATCCTGGCGTCCATCTGCCGACACCCCCAGCCAACCTCGCCCTCACACGAATCTGTCCTTGCTTTCGTCTTCATCCCTCCCCCTCGTCATAACCGTCAAAATGGGTGTCAAGGAAGTTTTCGAACGCGCCAAGAGCGTCGAGATCGAGAGGTCCCACCACACCTCGAACAAGGAGGAGACCCACCAGTCTGACCTCCCTGGTCAAGGTGCCCCCGGTCTCGCTCCCGTGCCCGCCCTGTACGAGGCCCCACCTCGCAGCGACATCACGCTCGAGGAGTACATGTTCTACGCTCAGGTGCAGCGTGAGCAGGAGAAGCTCTACGGTGCCGCTGGTGTCGCTGTCGAGGCCAACGCACCTCACGGATCCGGCTACCTCACAGACGCCAAGGAGAAGAAGCCTTCCTCCGAGGACGCCAGCCAGCACAGCCAGGGTGGTGTTCAGGCCGGTGTTGCCAAGCCACAGGTCAACAACACCGACGCTTCGACTTTTGACCAGCTCGATGGTTTGTCCGACACCGAAAAGGAGAGCCGCAATGCCCACCGCGCCATCAAGACTGCCACTTGGGTCGCTATCTTCTACCTCATCACCACCGACATTCTCGGCCCCTACGGTGCTCCCTATGCCATGTCGCAGAACGGTTACGTCACTGGTAACGTCATGTACATTGTCATGGGTTTCTGCGCCTGGTGGTGCGGTATCCTGCTGTGGAAGCTCTTCATGCAGCTCGACTCGGCTCGCTACCCCGTCAAGACCTACGGTGACCTTGGTGAACGTGTCGTCGGCTCCTGGATGCGATGGCTCTTCAATGCTCTTCAGACCCTCCAACTCATCATCAACGTCGGTCTGCTCTGCCTTACAAACGGCCAGGCGCTCAGCCAGGTCATCAGCGGTGCGCCCGGCAACGCCAATCTCTGCTTCTCCGTCTGCGTCGTCATCTTCTCCCTGATTGGTATGGCCTTCGCTCAGGTCCAGACCTTCCGTGGCCTTGGTTTCGCCGCTTCCACCGCCGTCTACCAGAACATTGCCATCGTGATCATCTCCATGGCTGCCATCATCAAATATGGCCCCTACATCGCCGGTGCACAGGCGTCCTATGGCAACGACTACCCCTACAACAACCAGCCCGTCATGACCTCTGCCTTTGTGTCTTACGACATCACACAGAAGGTCAACGGCTTGATGAACATGGTGTTCGCTTATGGTGGTGCCATGATCTTCCCCGAGCTCATGGCTGAGATGAGGCGCCCCATGGACTTCTGGAAGGGCATGATCGGCGCCCAGGCACTGATCTGCACCGTCTACCTCGTCTACGCCAACGTCGTCTACGCTTACCAGGGACAGTACGTGCTCGGACAGTCCTACAACGGTATCGCAAAGTACTCGTTCCAGACCGTCTGCAACATGCTTGCCATCCTCTCGGGAACCATCGCCGCCGCCCTCTACGGAAACGTCGGTCTCAAGGTCGTCTACGTCAACACCGTCCAGGCCGTCTTCAAAGGACCCGCACTCAACACTCCCAGGGGTCGTGTCATCTGGGCAAGCATCAGTGTCGTCTACTGGGCGCTTGCCTTTGTCATCGCATCGTCCATCCCTCAGGTGCAGACCATCTCGGGTCTGATCGCAGCCATCGCCATCATGAACTTCTCCTACTCGTTCCCCTTCATGCTGGCTCTCATCTTCTACATCAAGCGCGACGCCATGCAGGGCGATGTCGCCTATGCACCCGGATATCCTGCCCTGAGGCAAGACACCTGGAGACAGTGGTCGCGATGGCAGCGTGGTCTGTTTGGCGGTCACTACGAGATCGGTGGCATCGTCATCCCTTCGATCCTGATCAAGGTCGTGCTCCTCTTCATGACGCTCGGCTCGTACACGCTCTCCGGTTTGGGAATGTACGGTTCCGGTGAATCCATCAAGGAGGTCTTTGACTCGACCGCCGCTGCCACCTCGTTCGGCTGCGCTGCTCCCGTTTAAAAAAAAAGGGTTTCTCTGTTGAAGAGATCGTCCAGTTGCGCTTCGCTTCTTTCATCTATCTCAGGATACCATTTCTTGTCTTCTTTTGTTCCTTTTTTCTGTAATGACCGGATGTACTTTTTGGCGCTTAGAGCCGACACTTTGCATTGCAATGATGACTTTCGCCCCTGTCACGCTGTCATTCGCTGCGATTCTCTTGTCTGATGTGTGTGATTGACACGGGATCAGGCTTTCACAAGGCGGCACAAATGCGCACATTGATGAAGTGTCAAGCGTCACAGCACGTTCGCGCAGTTGGACATTGGGTGGCATTTTTCATTTGGCGGCGTACGAGAGCGCATTTTTGGCTTGTCAGGAATCATAATCCGAATCCGAGCCCGCTTTTGCATCCTTCCGTCGAGTCGCTCATTACTCCTCCCCACTCCCTTCTCAGCAAAGTACAAAGATCCAGTCAGAACTTGGTTGCTATGCGATGAACACTCACGGTGCACAGACCATCCTACTCGTCATAGAGCCACTGATAGCCAGATCGAGTCGAGGCGGTGAGCGTGTGTGGTGTGCGTCTTGGGCTGATTCACGCGGGTGTGGCTTGTGCATTTCTCTCTCAGCAATCTTGACTCAGCGTGATTCTATACACTGTCCCTCGCCCTTTCGCCTTCCCTTGTGCAGCTTTACTGAACAGGAATGACGGATGCTGAGTCGTTCTAGCTTGCGTCCTCCGTCCCACCCGTGCCAAAGTGGTCGAAGGTCGGAGGTATTTAAAGCCTTTCCCGGGTGCAAGGAGGCAAATCTATCACTTTCTCTACACCTATCACCATCCGACGCGCACAGTTCGGGAAATCAAGCAATGTCGACGGGAGCAAATCATCCTGACGGAGGCCAATCGAGCGTTCCTCCCAAAGTGAGTTTTCGTGGTCTCGAGATCGAGACGTATCAGCTGTAGCGGTAAAAATCGGAAAACTGATGTCTCTTGATTCGCACGCGGAATGGGGATTGGGGGAACGTAGCCACCTGGACACGATCAGCTTCCGCCGTGGAAGAAAGCCGGCGGTACGTTTGGTCGGTTTGTCAAACGTGATCCTCAACTAGCACCGCTTGCTGTCATCGGTACGTCCCTTTCCCTTCTTGTCACCTTTCGAAGGTCACATCACTGCGTCGAGATTATGCTAACACCTGTCGTGCGTTGCGCTCCGAAAGCACTTGGCACAGTCGCACTGTACCTCTACTTTCACCAATCCAAAGTCTCGGAAGTAGCCTCCCCGAACACCGACTCTCGACCGCACAAAGACACCAAAGCCTCCGGCAAAGACGCCTCGTCTTCCCCACCCGTTGTCCCCGGTGATCCGCATGCCAAAGTTAAGGGAAGCTACTACGCCGAATCCGGATCTGCTCCCGGTGGAGTCACTTCGCTGCTCTACCCTCATCTCAACAAAGAGGAGCGGGATAATTTGGAAAACGTCACGGTGCCCGCAAACACGGGTCGTTTCGGAAGGACGATCAAGCAGGCGGCTGTGGCGGATCGGATGAAGAAGAACAAGGCCGCCGAGGAGCATTACTCGAGGGAGCAGGATAGGAGGGACTCGATGAGGAGTTGATGAAGAGCTGACAGCCTGGGTGAGGAAGTCGAAGGGTGTCGGAAAGTAGCCGCTATGCAATGGGGCTGGAGTATCGACTGCGTGTCATTTGACTTTGTGAAAGGGATCAAACAACTCTGGATGCAACCTGAAATCGCGACTGTGGTTCGATGTTTGCAGTCCAAAGTTTGTGACATTGAAGAATGAGGAACATGCTGTACGTGACGGAGCAAGGAGCTGCTCGGGGTATCTGAAACTCTGAGGTGATGAGGTAGGTGAAAAGATCAAGGGATGGTGGGACCGGACTGTGATCGACCTTGACGATGCAAAAAGGCGGCGGAACGAGCGTTGTCGTTGTTGCGATCTGAGGCTTGCAAGACATTTGGCGTTGTGACTCTCTGCTCGGGATTCGATGTAGCGGTCACTCTTGATGGACTTGCCCTGCTGGTAAAGATGCTCCCCGGACTGTCGTCGCTACTCGTCTTGCCGACCTTGTCGAGAGTAACAAACCTCGATCGCCCCTCTGAAGCGGCCTTCACCTCGTGATTCGAGGTCAAGGTAGGAATGGCACCTCTCCAGCTGGTCCTATCGAAGTAATGACTTCCATGCACCCCCAACCCGATCGACACGACCGCAGCCGATAACCCCAACGCCAGCGGATTCCTCCCCAGCTGCCTCGCCGACGGCAACGTCTTGAACAGCAAATACGTCAACGACCAAGCGCTCACCACACCGCTGCCATTCAGCACATCTCCCTGGTCAATCATGTATCCTCCCGTGCCAAACGCAGCTGCAAAGAACGCAAGCTGCCAAAACGGCGGCACGACACGAAACGGTGCGTGGGTCTGCACCTTGGCCGCCTGCTGCGCTTGCACTTTTGCGACGAGACGTGCGACGAAGCCGTTCGAGTGCTGAGATGATGCAGAATTTCGTAGAGATGCGACCTGCTTTTCGTGCTGGACCTTAGCAGCGGCTTCGGCGGCGGCTTGTGCGGGCGAGGCGAAGCCGAAGGGAGTGGAGAGGGCGAACAGGGCGGAGAGGGTGTAGGCGGGCGTGCTGGTTGAGGCGTAAGAGCCGAGTGTGCGGACGGAGGATTGCAGCCATCCTTGCTGGTCTATTGACTGCATCTTTGTGGTCGTTCTTGCTATTGTCTTGACGTCAAAGAGCGCACGAGGAGTAGGAGGTTCATCAGGACGCAGTGTCGAAGAAAGCAACGAGGAGAACAACACAAAAAGTCGCCTCCACCAATTCTTGTTGCCCGGCTTCCGAGCAGCTAGAGAAACAATCTAACAATATAGGATTATCTCGTTGGCGCGCGTCACAGAGAGAGACCAACACTAACAATCCGAGACATTTCACGCAACAAAGACAGAGACCACGGAGCACCGCGTCTGCGACTCTCGACTGCTTGGCTGTCGGCACTTAGGCGGCTCATTCTGCCGTGACCATTCACGGCACTTGCACTTTCGCACGAGCAACGGTGTAGTGCACACTGATGTGTGCGGCAGATATGTCGCCTTCCGCTGTGTCGGACCTGCGGCGTACTTGTGGGGCGGATCTACTGAGATACAATCCCACTACTTTTGTCCAAGGAGCAGCGACACATGCAGTGTCCATTCGACACTGGGGAACGACGAGCAAATGCCGCATCACTGGGACTTGCCGATCCTTGGCATGCTTTCAGCAACGTGTGAAGCGCGAGAATGTCATGGTGAGAATTGTCCATTCCAGAGACCGGGAAGCGTGTGGGCGTACGACAGGCGCCAGCGAGGCTGACTTTGAAATGGTGAAAAACTTGGCTGCCAAGCGGCGTCTCTTGAGGATCGCAGAGAATATCCAATCAAAACCCTGCAGATCTGGTTTCAAAACTGGGACAGTTCAACACCAGGGCAGGGAGATTGGCTGCTTCGTGAAGCATTTCTCGCGTATTTCGCTGCTCGGCTGTGGCATTGGAAAAGGGTGCGCGGTGTTGCGGTTTGGTTTCCGATGCGATATTTTGTGAATCGAAATGCACCGATGGTCAGGCTGAAACCGCCCTGCACGAAATATGCACACACTCGAAATCCAGCCTGTGTGGGAGCACGGAACCCCATCGCCAGTCACAAATCTCATTTTGAAGTGCTGGTGCTGCACCTCTGTGCTGTGCTGTGCTGCAAATTGTGTTCCGCTGGCTTGCTCTCTGTTCGACTGTCGCTCCTCTTTGCCTTCCAACACCAAACCAACCTCTTGTCCCCTCCATCATCTCCTTGGAACAGATCGCGACCAGGTAGGGACTTTTGCTGTTCCTCTTTGCAGAGTCACCACGCTCTGGTAGTCTCGCTCCTCTGGATCCAGCCTTCGACACCAGCGCCTTCTTTCATCTCACAGTCTGTCTCGACTCGGTTGAACGGTTACCAACGGCTCAGGCGCTTTCGGCACTCGTGCACCCTCTGGAACGGACCAAGGAGGGAGACCATCCCCACCGTACCCGTCGTTCGCTTTAGACACTCGCAGCAACCCACGTCAACATTCGAAACGGGCTTGATCGCCTTTGATTCCAGGCGTACGCCATCGTCGCGTCTCGCACCTCCTTCCGACACGACTACCTTGTTCGCTTCCATTTCTCCTCCCCATTCTTACCATCATGTCGGTCAAGAACTCCCACGACCCCTTCAGCACACCGCTCGAGACCATCACACACGACCCTCTTGCAACATCAGAGACTGCCGGCCTCAAGGCCGACTACGACAAGCGAGCCTACGGTGAAGCCAACCCCGCCCTCGTCGGCACGCTCGAGAAGGATGACATCGCAAATCGCCCCATCGATGCCGTCGAAGAGGTACCCACCACCGCCATCCGCAAGTGGTGGGTGCGTCTGACCTGGCTCACCACCTGGTGGATCCCGTCCTTTGTCCTTTCAAAGTGCGGCGGCATGAAGCGTCCCGACGTACAGATGGCCTGGCGCGAAAAGTTCACCATCTGCGCCATCATCTTTTGGTTGTGCGCCATCATTCTTTTCTACATCATCGCCTTCGGTCGCCTCCTCTGTCCCGACTACGACAAGGCCTGGAACATGAGCCAGCTCAGTCAACACGCTGGCGACAACGACTACTACGCCGCTGTTCGTGGTACCGTCTACGATTTTACCAAGTTCTACAAGGGCGACCACTCCGATATCACCAACTTGCAGACCAGCTCCGACCTCATGCTCCAGCTCGCCGGTCAAGACCTCACCGAGTACTTCCCCGTCCCGCTCACCGTCGGATGCCAGTCGCTCGTCTCGGACACCTCGCTCGCCCTCCAGCCCACCGCCAACAACACGCCCGCCATCTCGCAGGCCATCCACACCTCGGGTCCGCTCCAGAGCGATGCTGCTTCCAAGCTGCACGACATCAACTGGTACCCTGACCGCTTCCTTCCCTTTGTCAACAAGCTCCGAAAGGGCTACTACGTCTACTCGAAAAAGGACATCGCCGTTCAAGGCCAGTGGAGGCAGTGGGCCATCGTCAACAGCAAGGTGTACGACATCTCCGACTACCTCAACACCGTCTCCATCTACCAGACCAACCCGGCCTACTCCTTCCTCGACTCGTCCATCGTCTCGCTGTTCAAGGCTCAAGCAGGCAGCGACATTACAGGCGATTTTGAAGATGCCATGAGCAGCTTCAACCAGACCTACCGTGGTGCTATGCAGGCCTGTCTCGATAACGTCTTTTACGTCGGCAAGACCGACTTCCGCAACACGGCCCGATGCGAGGTGCAAAACTACCTCCTGCTCGCCTTCTCGGTGCTCCTCGTCACCACCGTCTTGGCCAAATTCATCGCAGCGCTCCAGCTCGGCACCAAGCGTACCCCAGAGCAGCAGGACAAGTTTGTCATCTGTCAGGTCCCCTGTTACACCGAAAGCGAGGACGAGCTGCGCAAGACCATCGACTCGATCGCCGGCCTTGAGTACGACGACAAGCGAAAGCTCCTCTTCCTCATCTGCGACGGTATGATCGTCGGCAGCGGAAACGACCGTTCGACACCACGCATCGTGCTCGACATTCTCGGCGTCGATCCCAAGATCGATCCAGAGCCGCTCATGTTCAAGTCGGTCGCGGAGGGTTCCAAGCAGCTCAATTACGCCAAAGTGTACTCCGGTCTTTACGAGTTTGAGGGCCACGTCGTTCCTTACATCGTCATCGTCAAAGTCGGTCGTCCCAGCGAACGCTCGCGTCCAGGCAACCGTGGTAAGCGTGACTCGCAGGTGCTGCTCATGCGCTACCTCAACCGTGTCCACTTTGACGCACCCATGTTCCCGCTCGAGCTCGAGATCTACCACCAGATGAAGAACGTCATCGGAATCGATCCTGCCTTCTACGAGTACATCCTCATGGTCGATGCCGACACGCGCGTCGAGGCCGACGGTCTCAACAGGCTGGTGGCCAACTGCGCCGACGACTCGAGCATCATCGCCATCTGTGGAGAGACCACGCTCGACAACGCCGAAGGCTCGTGGTGGACCATGATCCAGGTGTACGAGTACTATATTTCGCACCACCTCGCCAAGGCGTTCGAGTCGCTCTTTGGCAGTGTCACCTGTCTGCCCGGTTGTTTCTCGCTCTACCGCATCCGCAGCTCGGACAAGGGTCGTCCGCTGTTCATCTCGAACCGCATCATCGACGAATACTCGGAGAACCGCGTCGACACGCTGCACAAGAAGAACCTGCTGCACCTCGGTGAGGACCGATACTTGACCACGCTCGTGCTCAAGAATTTCCCCTCGTTCCGAACCAAGTTTGTCGCCGACGCCAAGGCGCTCACGAGCGCGCCCGACCGCTTCGGCGTTCTGCTTTCGCAGCGTCGACGATGGATCAACTCGACCGTGCACAACCTCGCCGAGCTGGTTCTCATGCCCGAGCTGTGTGGATTCTGCCTGTTCTCGATGCGCTTCATCGTCTTCATTGATCTGCTGGGAACCGTGATCCTGCCTGCTACCGCCGTCTACCTGGTCTACCTCATCGTCACCGTCGCGACCAAATCAGCCGCCATCCCTTACATCTCGATCGCCATGATCGCCGCCGTGTACGGCCTGCAGGCGATCCTGTTCCTGCTGAAGCGACAGTGGCAGTACATTGGTTGGTTGATCATCTACATCTTGGCGTACCCGGTGTTCTCGTTCTTCCTGCCCATCTACTCGTTCTGGCACATGGACGACTTTTCGTGGGGCAACACGCGTATCGTGGTGGGCGAAAAGGGCAACAAGAAGATCGTCGCCGGTACGGACGACGAGCCGTACGACGACACGATGATCCCCGTCAAGCGATTCAGCGAGTACCAGCGCGAGGTGTGGGAGGAGGAGGCAGCGGCGCCGTCGATGCGATCGGGCATGACGGGAGCCAGTGGACCGTTTGGCAACTCGCAGGCCATCCTGCACAGCGGACCGCCGAGCCTGTACAAGGCTGGCAGCGCGTATGCTGGCAGCATGGCTGGCTCCGATTACGGAGGTGGGCTGGGCGACTACTACCAGAACACCAACGTGCTGCAGAAGCCGGCGCACTCGCGACAGACGTCGGCGGCTGCTCTGTCGCAGATGGGAGGAGTCTCGCAGGCGCCGTCGATGATCTTTGGAGGCGCTGCTGGCGGCGGCGGCACGCCTTCGATGTACGGCATGCCCGGTATGGGATCGATGTACGGCATGCCAGCGTCGTCGGCATCCATGTACGGCATGCCGGCATCGTCGGCTTCCATGTACGGCATGCCCAACCCGATGATGAACCCGACAGCGTCGATGTACGGCATGCCACCGATGCTAGCCAACACGCTGGGATCGCCTGCCAATTCGGACATTGGTCTGACGATGCCGCTCACGCAGCAGAACACGGGCGGAAGCCACATTTGGGCGCAGCAGGAAGCGGAAGCAGCAGCAGCAGCAGCAGCAGCGAACAACGCCAGCCCGCGTACAAGCGGTATGATGGCGAGACCGTTCTCGACGCAGTCTGCGCTCAACGCGTCGAATCCGTTCGCTGCCGCGCCGGTGGCACGATCCCTGCCGATCAACGATGCATCCGATCCGACGGACGAGGAGATCAAGTCGGCGGTGCAGACCTACCTTGCGAACCAGCCGAGCTTGATGAACGTGACCAAGCGATCGGTGCGCGAGGCGCTGGTGGGAGCGTTCCCGAACGCGGAGCTGTCGTCCAAGAAGCAGATGATCAACAAGGCGATCGACGACACGCTCTCGGGTGGTGCACAGGCTTGATTGCGCGCACGGCTCGCATGGGATGTTCCTTTTCTCCTCCTTCACTCTCAGTTTTCCTCTATTAGCTTGTGTCAAATCTCATGGACAATTGTTTCATTTCTGCAAGATGGTGGATCGGATGCGTATGTGTGCGTGCGATGTGTGCGAGGGAGTTGGGTTAGAAGTGAGATCGCGATCCAAAGGTCGGATGGCATTTTTGGAGGTTGGAGAAGAGGGATCTAGAAGGTTCTATGCGCGATCATGGTCAAGGCCCAAAAAAATAGAGTTTTTGCATGGTGATACACGTGTTAAAGGAGAGTGTGATATGCGTGTTTCGATCCGGAGGGAACGGGTTTGGCCACCCAGAAAAGAGTGTATCGGTGCGGCAGATGGATGATGGCATGTGTGTGTCGTTCGGATCGTTGGTTCCCGAGCTCCACAGATTAAGGTTTTCGCATGGAGACTCAACACTAGACTGGAAGAAGGTCTCGTCATCGTGGAAGCGTTTGCAGGTGGGAGTGACTGATCAAGACTCCTGAGAGAATGGCAGTGGCAGATCTGAGCAAACCTGCACAGACGACCTCGGAGAAGGGCGCTAGAGTGCAGGAGGTGCACGACTCAAGAACCCACATGATCACAACGAACGGGCAAAGGGAGGAGTGGAGTTACACTGTATGCATGCAAGTTCGGATGAGATTTCCGCTCCACTGTGCACGGGCACATGCCAACTTTATTTTTACAGTGTAGGTTATTCGCTTGCTGGTTCTCGGAGATGCCGGCGATTTTTGCCCCTTGTGACACACATTGTCGTGTACCACTGTAACGTACTCGACTCGCACAGCCGCCTTTCACCGAGTTGCGTTAGAGGTCTAGACTCGGATTCCTTTCCTTTCCGAAGTTGTCCCCGACGATCGATCCGTTTCAGAATGGTGGACAGCCGGCTGCAAACACACGATCTGACCATGAATCACCTTTTGCATTAGTCTCGATGCCTCGATCTTGAAAGACTTTGGCTACAGCGTATTGTAGTCGTATCTTGCAGCACATCACAACGCTCGAAGAGAACAGCTCGTCATCGGAAGGCATTGACCATCTCGACAGACACAAGTCATACCATCGCGCCATCGTTGATCGAGTAGCCGGAACATGGTGGCCTTTTTGAGCCTTCTCATTGAGCTGCACCAGTGCACTGGCTCGATCCGATGCCTGCCGGCTCCCATCGTCACTGCTCGCAGTAAACACTGCTTGTGACAGCTTGGCTCTCTGACGATTGTCACCTACGCGTGAAGCCAAGCCAGCTTAGCCGCCAAGTCGCTTAACGGCACCACTGGAGGCGCATAGGATCGGATGCATGTCTTTGCAGCTTGCAGCCACAGAGTGTCGAGATTTCCTTGATTTTCAGCTGCAAAAAGGTTCAAATAGCAGCGTTGGTTCGGCTGCGCTCCCACTCAAATTCTTCATTTCTTCGCGATACGGCGGCTGGTGCCTGTCGAACTGCATTGCGAGACAAGATGACGCCAATTCACATTCTTTGGTTTTGTATTTTTTTGTATTTGTGAACCTGCAGCAGAGCCTGTGTTCGGCTTCCGGAAAAAATTTGGGTGTTTGTGATTTTTGCAGGAGCAGAGTGATTGATGGCTTTTGGTGGTGCAAGCAGATGCAATCCGTTTTTGCTTCCCGCCTATCACCACGTCTCTTTCGAGTCCGATCGATCCCCTAATCGCGCCCTCTCGCCGCCCATCTCCAGCAAGTCGAGTAGCGGCAGCAGCAGCGGTAGCGGTAGTAGCAGCAGCAGCAGCAGCACCGGCACCAACATATATCAAGCGGCTACCTCTGCCGCTTGCCTCGGCAACCGGGACCATGTCTTCTTCGACACTGTCCCACCCCGCAAAGCAATCGGATCCTGCTCCTCCTTCCTCCTCCACGACAGCGACTCCTGTACCATCAACATCGGCTGCATCGACTCCCGCACCTGCAGTGACCGCCTCGACACCATCGTCGTCCGCGCAGCCGTCGGCCTCCGCTTTCAAAGCTGAACCCGCTCCTGCATCCGCTCCGACCACAGCACCATCATCTCCAATCACAAAACACACCACAGCAGCATCCTCTACCTCTTCAACACCATCAGCGTCCTCTACCACACACCCCGCTACCGTATCAGACCCATCTACAGAAGACGTAGACATGGCTGTCCCTACCGTATCGCATCCTCCCCCCAACTTTGGCGCTTCCTTCAAACGAGTCACCCCCGTCGCATCGGCCACTCTGCCGCCCAATCTTCCTCTTCTCGGAGATCTCATACCCCAGCAGGCACAGACTTTCGGTGTCAACACTCCTCCGCCTGCACCCAATGCATCCCTAGCCTCGCCTTTGCAGCCTTTCGCACGGCCTTCCGACTCTCCACAACCTTTTCAGGCCGCTAAGAGCTCGCCCACTACACCCGCACCCGCCGTGAAACCGAGCGACGTGACTTCTTCGGCGCCTGCTCCCGCGAACTCTGCAGTCGCGCCGTCTGCGACACCTACACCTCCCAAGATGGCTCCTGTCGTTGCCGGCATCGGCACCCTGCCGGAGACTGCCTCTGCTGCCGCCTCTGGCTCCGGCGCCGCATCAAGCTTTTCGGCCACAGACAGTCTGCGTGCTATCCCCACCAACAAGAACAACCCGGCTTTCCTCAACAAGCTTCGCAGCATGGTAGACGATCCCAACACCGACGAGCTCATCCGCTGGTCTCCCGATGGCGCCTCCTTCTTTGTTCCCAACCATGTTCGCTTTGGCGACGAGGTGCTCCCTCGCTTCTTCAAGCACAACCGCTTCTCTTCCTTTGTCCGCCAACTCAACATGTACGGTTTCCACAAGGTGCCTCACCTTCAGCAGGGCGCCCTCAAGCACGACTCACCCCAGGAGAGCGAGCTCTGGGAGTTTTCAAATCCGCACTTTCATCGAGATCATCCAGACTGGCTCTCCAAAGTGCAGCGCAAAAAGGGTCCTCGCGACGACAAGGATGCCAATGCCGAACGCGAGCAAAGCGTCAGCACGGGTCAGGAGCTCATGCATGCAGGAGCGCTCATGCGCACCGACTTTGGCGCCAACAGTGTCGGCGTAGACGGCAGTGGCGAAGGCGCTCTTCAGCTTGCCAGCGTGCTCAACGCAATCAATGCCATCAAGAATGCGCAGACCAGCATCAGCGCCGACCTGCGACATTTGCAAAACTCCAACCAGAACCTTTGGCAGGAAGCCGTCGAGTCAAGGCAGCGTGCCAAGCGTCAGCAAGAGACCATCAACAAGATCTTACGCTTCCTCGCAGGTGTGTTCGGCAATCAGGATGATGCAGAGACGCCCGTAGCAGGCAAAAAGGTACCTGGAAAGGGTCGTGGTGGACGCAGGGTGGGCGTGCGACCACAGCAGCAGCAACGAAGCAAGAGCCGCCTCATGATCGAAGATGGCTCCGAGTCTTTTTCCCATTCTGCCGGTCTGCGCGGCATCGAAGCGCTCGACCTGCCGCTCGACCAAGAAGAAATCGAAGAGATGCCTTCGCACCTCCGATTTCAGGACGCCAGCAACGCCGACTCCTCTCCCAGAACTCAGAGCCCTTCTGCCAACACTGGCGGTTCGCGCTTCACACAGATCGGCTCACCGCCCAGCAGTGCAGCCGACTTTGGAAGGCAGCTGTCCGAAGCAGTCTCGACACCCGGTGGATCCAGAAGGCTCTCGTCGCAGGCGAGCAACCAGGTGCTCAATGCGCTTGCGTCGGGCGAGGGCAATGCCTGGCTCGCCAGTCTGTTTGGTGCCAGCTTGGCCAATCAGGGCTCCAAGTCGACGGGGCCTGCCTCGGGCGGCGGCCTCAAGCTGGATCCGCACATGGTCGCTGCTCTTCAGCAGGCGCTTGCGAGTGCTGGAAGTGGTGGCGGCGGCGGCGGAGCTGGCGGAGTCAATGGGGCAAGTGACGGCAACGCAGACTACTTTGGCGGGTCGGGCAATGCGCCGGCGGACGACTTTTCGTCGCGCTTTTCGACGTTCCCTTCGGCTTTGAATGCTTCTAGTAGCAGCAGCGCCTCCACTCAGCCGTCTTCCAGCTCTGGCACGGCCAACGGACTAGGCTTGGATGCCGATGCGCTCGCTCGCATCGCCGGTCTCTCGCAGGCGCTTGTGCAGTCGCCTGCTCGCCAGAATGCAAACGCAGGCAGTTCGATTAACCAGCAGTCCAACTACAGTCTCGCGTCGCCCAGCAGAGGCCAATCGGCCAACCTGTTCGACCTCGGCAACGACGACCTTACCAGCAGCAGCAACAACCAGCTCGCCCTCTCGCTGTCGAGAGCCTCGCGCGATCTGCAAAACACGTCGGGCGACGTCGATCAGGTGCAGAACAGCATCAACTCGCTCATCGAGGGTTTGCAGACCAACCCGGCGTTGTTGCAGAGCATCGCTGGGCAGGGATCGCAGGCGGGCGGGGCTGCTGCAGGTGTGCCGTGGCAGACGACAGGTGCGGACGCTGGTGCGGGCGGTGCGGGTTTTGGTGCGTTTGGCGATGCCACCGGTGCTGCGCCGACGGCCTCGATCGGGCAGAATCAGTTTGGCGGACCCACCGGCACGACCCCGCCCTCCGCGAGCGCAGACGCCAACGCCGCATCCGCCACCAGCGGTACCGCGCCCATCGACACGGACTTTGACGTCGACTCGTTCCTCAGCCAGTTCGTCGACTCGTCGCAGGCACCGGGCGGAGGCGTCTCCTCTCCGTCGAATGCGTACGGCGAGAGCCCGTCGTTTGCGTTTTCGCCCGCGACGACGGCTGCGTTCCTGCATGGGGCGGGTGTCAACGATACGGGGATGTATGGGCAGTTGGCGGAGAACAGCGATAGTAGCGGTAGTCCCGTGGAGACTGGGTCGGGCGGGGCGGGGAAGAAGAGGAAGCCGTCCGGGGCAGGGGTCGGGGTGGAGGTGGATACGATGGGTGGCGCGAGGCCGGCGAAGAAGGCTGGCAGGAAGGGTTGAATGGAGAGAGAAAGAGAGAATGTATTTTTACTCAGCACAGAGCATTTTTGTCTGTTCACACACGCGGTCGGAGGTGGTTTCAATGGGATCGCCTTGCATCGTTTGCTTCTACATAGCATGTTTTTCTTCGTTCTTGGCCTCTTCCACCTCGAACCTCTTGAACCCTCTTGTCCTGAACAGGATCTCATCCATATCCAGTGGACCTTTGAACTCCTTCCTCCCCGTCACGAACCAAGCTACTATGCTAAGCAGCGCAACGACAGCGACTACGACGACGGTGTAGTTCATGCTGCTGCCGGTAACCTCTGCTTCCGGAGGGAAGAGGAAGAAGACATCTGTGAAGAGGACGAAGGCTATGGCGGCGGTGTTGGTGATGGGACCGAGTGTGGGGCCGAGGTTGAATCTGCGCTGGTCCAGTACGGCGTTGTCGAGGATTTTTCTGCCTCTCAGGAGTAAGAGGGCGATGGGGATGATGTACGAGAACTGGAGGAGGACTACGGAGCTCGACAGGATGGCGTTCAGCGCGGAACTGCTGCCCAGGTAGACGCATCCGAAGACGATCACCCAGCACGTGGTCAACACCAACGCCGGGATGGGTACCTCTTCCTTCCTCGAGATTCGAGCGAAGAGGCCGTGGAAAGGTAGACCTTTATCCCTCGCAAACGCCTGGCTCATCCTCGAGCTCGTCGTCAACAACGCCGTCGCGGTAAACGCCATCGACACGACGGGGAACATCAGCAAACACACCGCACCCGCTTTGCTCCTCGTCGCCTGGTAGATGATCTCCAACAGCGCACCCGCCGGGCTCTCCGTCACAGCGGTGAAATCCTGCAGCACAAAGAGGAACACCATCAGCACCACGAACGTCGAACTAGCCCCGATGGCAACAGCCAAGATCATGGCACGTGGGGCATTGATGCTCGGCTGATCGATCTCATCCACCAGATGCGTAGCTCCATCGCTACCGACGAGCGAGAATGCAGCTTGCAGCAGACCGAGGATCCAAGCGACGCCGTTGTTCCAACCGGTAGTGTTGACGAACTTGCCAAAGACGAAGGAAGCGGATTGGTAGTTGGGGGTTGCCCGGGAGAGACAGGTAATGGCGATGACGATGGCGCCTACGAGGGACCAGATCATGGCTACTCGATTCAGATTGTCGAGGATCTTGACGCCGAAAGCGTTGATGAGCCAAGCACCGATGGAGAAGGCAACGTAGACGAGGAAGATGTGCCAGGGTTTCTGTTCGTAGTTCTCGTGGAGAAGGGCGATGATCCCGACGATGAACTGTCCTGCCAGGGAGGACGCGGTTGCCGTGAGCGCCACCCAACCCGCAACCGAGATCCATCCAGTGAAATAGGCGATCGCGTACCGATACTTTGCAGGCGAAAGCAGGAACGACCAATGATACTGACCGCCCGTGGTCGGGTAGACATGACAGATCTCGGCCATGGAGAGCGCACACGCCATGACACCGCAGAACGCCACGACCATCCCCCAGAGCGTCACCGACGGTCCGCCCGAGATGAGCGCGATGGACATGGAGGCGGAGGCGGCGGTCCACGAGTTGAGGATGCAGTAGCAGAGGCCGATGAGCGCGAGCGTGGAAAAGTGCGTCTTGGGAAGCGAGGTGATGGGTTGATCGCCCTCAGCGGCGGCGGCGGCGATGGTGGCAGAAGAAGCATTCTGGGGCGTGCGAGGATGTGCGCGGTAGTCGTGGAGCGACTGGGTTTGTGCTTGAGCGCGTTTCTCAGCTGCCAGGTTGGCGGGAAGCGTCGATGACGCACCGTCGGTCGGTGTCGACATGACGAAGGAGAATGAGGAGGGCGTCTCGTTGGAGACTTGGGTGGAAGGGTGGAGGTCGACGACGATGGTGGTGGTGAGGAGAAGGAAAGGCGAGATATGACAGGGGTCGACATTTATCACTTCTTCTTCAACACCTCTCGGCTTCTATCGTTGCACACACACACACACACACACACACACACATGGGGAAACCAACCTCGACGTCAAAGATAGCATCCCCCCTTCCAATCACATGTCGTTTCGCAAACCTTCCCCGCAAGCAAAGCCGGAAGCCGTAGCCGAAAGGTGACTCTGATAAACGTTATAGCCGAGCTTAATTTTTGACCGCCCGCGCTGTACACCGTTGTGCCAAGCTGGTCTACAACTTTCTGGGCCTTCGGTTCGCAAAGGCGGTCAGTCGCACAAAGGCCAACATTTCCCAGAACAAAAAAGTTGCCGCGGAGTATTTGTCCCTGCAGCTGCAGCCTGCATAGGCACTACTTGCAGCCACGTCAAAAAAAGAAAAAGAATAAATTCTTCTTTATTTCATCAAAAGTGACGTCGCCGTCGACCCATTGTACCCCACCATCTCCAAAGCGCGAGTCGACGTCAAAGCTCGCAAATGTCAACTTTAGCCGCGCGGTGCAGAATGTAGCACAGTGTTAGACTCTGGCCGCATCGCGAATCGGCGATTTTGAGAGGAGGGGTGGAAAGAAATCCCGATCGGCGTCCTGCGAAAGTCAGATTGAGCCAAAGGTGGAGCAGAGCGGTCACAGACCAACACACTCTCCCTTTTCTTCGCTTCCCTCTCGTCCTCACCTCCTCTTCTCCCTTTCCGTCTGCCGCAACAATGTCGAACTACGAGGACGACATCGAGCCTATCGCGGATCCATCCGACGCTCCCTCCGCCACATCCCTCGGCAAACGACCTCGAAACGACGAATCCGCTTCTGCCGTCGACGCTTCCGATGCGTTTTCTCGCCTCTCGCCCGAACCCGACGAAGACATCAACCTAGCTGAAGGCAAGCATCCCGTCTGGTTGGTCAAGATACCTAAATTCTTGCTGCAGGCATGGTCGTCCATCCGTACCGACGATCTGAGGCTGGGGACAGTTCGGGTGTACGATCCGGATCACACGGGACATCAACGTATGGAGTTGCTCTTGCCCGACCCACCTGCACCTGCCATCCCCACGGAACCGGGGAAACCTCGCAATCCTAGATGGGATACTGTTCCGAGAGCTTACGATCTCAAGCTCACGTCGGACTCGGCTTCGACGTTAAAACGAAACATCTATGCTTTCCGCGAAACACTGCAGGATGTCGATCCTTCTTCCTCCTCAAGCGGGTTGAAGAAGGCGGAAGACTCGGACGACTCGTCAGAAGACGAATCTGGTCGATCCAAAAAACGTGGCAAGACACGTCGCATCACCTCCCTCTGCGGAACGGTCACCAACGAAGCCGCTCTCCAACCACAGATCCGTTCCTCCAACAGCGACGTAAAACCTGGTTCCACGTCCATCTCCGGAGGTGCTCCCATCTCGGATTCCTACCGAGAACTCCTCCGACGTCGTCGTCTAGAAGCCTCTACGCCGAAACGATCTATCAAGATGCTAGACTCCACCGATGCCGGTCGTCACAACATGCTCGTCGCCGGCGTCGGGTCCGGTGTCAACTCGCAAAAATCGCGCTTCAACGCTGCCATCGCCTCCAAGCCCAACTCCCGCAACGCGAGCGGTAACGAAAAGTTCGCGAGGATGCCCAAGAACGAATTGCTCGATATGCTCTTCGGCTTGTTCGAGAGATGGCAGTATTGGTCGTTGAAAAAGCTGAGGGAGGAAACGCAGCAGCCGGAGAGCTATCTAAGGGAGACCCTGACGGGTATTGCGGATTTGCACAAGAGAGGCCCTTACGTAGGAAATTGGAGCCTCAAACCTGAATACTCGAATATGCGCAAGGAACAGGAGAAACAACAGCAGCAACAGCAAGAACAGCAGCAAAAAGCAAGAGTGGTGGAGAACAAGGTGGATGATGACGAAGAGGATTTTGGTGAAAATGATAGCAGCGATGATGATGATGACGGCGCGGACTTCGACGATGTGTAGAGGCAGCCAGTCTGATTGGTGCCCGTTTGCAGACGCTCCTGTGCATTGAACAGATGTGTTTCACATGATGCTCAAAGCAAACATTTCACCATGCCGGCACAAATCCATCGTTGCGAGTGATGTTTGGAAAGATGCTTTGTATTGATGCAAAGATCTGCTGCGATTTTGTAGGGCGCGCATGACCCTGTTTTGAGACGTCCTCCTACGACCTGCTCTTACCCGCTGCAGCCAGCACCTCCGACTCGCCGATCGGCTGCGGCCTAAACTGCCTCGCCTCCACCTTACCACCCACCTTCCCCTCAAACTCGCCATCCAACGTACAGCTCGGCAGATCAAACTCTCCCAGCGGCGTCTCTGCCAAATACAACCTCCTCAACGCATCCTCTGCCGCCCTGAACTCCGCCATCCTGATGCTGCTCCCACTGCCCTCGCCCAACTTGGTCTCTCCGCTCCACACACCCACTACGAACACGGGGCTGATGCTCAACCTTCCGCTCTCGGCGATCATCCTCGACTGCGGTGGTTGCTTGCCGTACTTGGCGCAGGTGGAGGAGAGCGCGTGTTTGGGGTCGATGAATTTGAGCAGCGAGGCGAGGTTGAGGCCGCGCGATAGGAAGTGCGACGTGACGAAGGATCGGGCGGAGGAGAGACCCTGTTCTTGGAAGATGACTGCGATGATGGCTCGCATGGCGTCGGCGGAGACGTCGCGCGAGAGGAGCGTACGCATGGTGTTGGACGAGGTGCTGCTGCGCGGCGTGGCTCCGCGACCGCCGCGCTTTTGGGTGAGACCGTTGGTGGGTACGCGAGACTGCTTGTTCCACCGCAAGATGTTTTGCGCTGCGAGACCGAGTTCGGAGGCGACGTCGCTGAGCGTGGAGGGGCCGACATACGCAGAAACGGCAGCTTTGAGAACGCGTGTAGGCAGGTTGGGGTATCGCAGGTGAAGGTGTTCGGTCGCGAGCATGCCCAACAGCGAATTACCCACCGTCGCCAGCGCCGCGTGGTGCTCCACACCCTGTGCCTCCTTCGGCGTTGTCAGGAACTGTGCGGCATCCAAAGCGGTCGCACCCTGCTTCTTGGCCAACCCGGAAACAGCCGCTGCAGGATCGAGCTGCAGATTGGCAGATGCGTTGACCTGGTCCACGAGCGACTGGAAGGATGGATGCGTGCATGCCTGGTGCACCAATCGTATGCGACGATCGCGCGATTCTGCATCGAGCGAGGAGGGGAGCAGACCGAGACGTGCGGTCAACGCAGCGAAGGCCGAGAGAGGTGGTGGTCGTACAGCGGCGTACAGTTCGGGTTCGGTGCGTGCCAAGCGAGGAAGGTGGACGTTGGGCGTGGGATCGTGAACGTAACTCGAGGATGATGCTGACGCCGCAATATCGGCGGTACTGCTGCTGGAGGAAGAAGCGACGGCGGTGGAAGCGGAACGGCTATGCGATGGAAGCTGTCGGCATCGAGTCGAGTGGCATAGCGCCTGTGTGGATGTGGAAGCGTTGGCGTGCGAGAGCGGACGCAATGCGCGCGTGAGGTTCCTATTGGCAGACATGGCTGCTGATCGCGTTGCTGCTCGACGCAAAGGGTGATTAGAAAGAGTGATGGTGATGACGGACCATCCGAACTCGAGCAACGGGTCGTCCGAGTGTCTGTCAAAATTGGCAATTCTTCTTCGGAATCGCTCTAAAAAAAGCGCAGTAGCAAATGGCGGCCTTCTCACACGATGGCTGACCAACAGGCGAAAAGAAGAAAAAAATGCTCCCTCTCGAGAGGCGGATCTTCCGATTCTGAGGCTTTTGGGTCGCTTCACGTGATGCTGCCTCGTTTCTCCAAATCTCATCCGCACGAGAATCAAAGCGCAACTCCACCTTGAACACTGAGAATGCTCAGGCCGCTTCTCAACACTTTGCATCCTGCGCTTCTGTCCCCCTCCTCACCTCAAGTATATACGCAACGTCGGCAACTCTGACGGTAGCCAAGAGGCAGTCGTGTCTCGCCACTCACCTCTGTCTTGTGCAGTAAACACCGTGCACCTCACGTTCGACGAGGGAAGCAGACCCTGCCCAGCAACGCATCTTCCAGCCTAGTCACTTTGAGGCACAACCGGGCCCACATCCCGCTCACCTCACCATGGCGGCACGTAGAGCACCCGCTCGTATGCCAACACAAGGTCGCTCTCCACCCACATCCGCCGCCGAGGTCCACCAACAACATCAAGCCGCCCAATCCGCCCAGCAATCCTCCTCCTCCTCCCAACAAGACGCACTCTCCGTACTCCTCGTCACCGCAGGCTACGACCACACCATCCGCTTCTGGGAAGCGTGGTCCGGCATCTGCTCGCGCACCATCCAACACCCTGACTCCCAGGTAAACCGTCTCTCGATCAGCCCCGACAAGCGCTTCCTCGCGGCCGCTGCCAACACGCACATCCGTCTATACGACTGTTCAATAGCTTCGCCGGCGAGTATCGCTGCTGCCAACGCTGCTGCTGCTGGTGGTACTGCAGGCGGGTCGGGAAACGCCGGTGTCGGAGCACCTGCTCAGCCGATCGCGACGCTCGAAGGGCATACAGGCAATGTGACGGGTATCGCGTGGCACTGCGACATGCAATGGCTGGTTTCCGGAGGCGAAGATGGTTTGCTCAAGATTTGGGATCTGAGGACATCGCGTGCGACCAGGATATACGACCACAGGGGTCCGGTGAACGACGTGGTGGTGCATCCGAACCAGGGCGAGCTGGTGAGTTGCGATCAGAACGGCAGCGTCAAGGTGTGGGATCTCGGGCAGAACGGGTGCAGTCACGAGCTGGTGCCGGAGGAAGGCGTGCCGATCAGATCGGTCACGGTGGCTGCGGATGGGAGCTGCTTGGTGGCGGGAAACAATACGGGCAAAGTGTACGTTTGGCGGTTCATCAATGGCGTGTATGATGCGCAGCAGGCGGGAGGAGGGGGTGCAGCAGGAGCGCCGGTCGCGGCGACGGCGGGTGGGGATTTCACAGAGTTGCAACCTGTGACTACGTTCCAGGCGCACGAAAAGTACCTCACGAGAGTGCTGCTTAGTCCAGACGTAAGGTAAGTTCCTGTCGCCAGTCCAAGTGAACTTCTGCCCAGGTCATCATCACTAACCTCTTTTCGCGCTTCTTCTTCGCGAACAGACACCTCGCGACGTGTTCAGCAGACGCAACGGTCAAAATCTGGTCCACCTCCCGGTACGAGTTCGCGCTCGAAAAGACGCTCGTCGGTCACCAACGCTGGGTGTGGGATGCAGCCTTCAGCGCCGACTCGGCGTACCTGGTCACCGCCTCTTCGGATCACGTGGCGAGGCTGTGGGAGTTGGCGTCGGGCGAAACGGTGAGGCAGTACAACGGTCATCACAGAGCGGCGGTGTGTGTCGCGCTGAACGATGCTTCGCTGGGTGGACCGTAGTGGAGTGTTCGATGCTCAAAAAGATACCTTTTGTTTCAGAGAAGTGGTTGTGAATTGGATGTTTGTGTGTGGGTGGTGGATGGTGTGAGAGCGGTTTTTTTGGGAGCCGAGTTCCGAATGTGGAGATGTGGCAGGCTAGGACCCTGAATTGCGAGTGGGAGCGAAACGTTGACGTTGACGTTGTTCTTCGATACAAAGCAACGACTTTTGCTTGCGAATATGAGCGGCGAAGACCGGTGGAGCAAAGCGTCCTCGTCACGCGCATCGGCCGGATCCTCCAGCTCGATCTCGTCATCGTTCCTAGGTCTCAAAGCCGAACTGGAACGAAGCAAAGCAACTTCCTCCTCGCTCGCCTCTTCGTCCTCGAAACGCAAACCAGACGACCTCGATCGACCGTCTCGACGGAAACTCTCTTCCGCCTTCCTCGCACCACCCTCCTCTGACAAAGACAAAAGGCTCAAAGCTGCCACCGATCACTCCTCCTCTTCCAAGCGCTCTTCTTCTTCTTCTTCGTCATCCAACGAACCTTCGACATCGCAACTCGAACGGATCAAACACAATCTCGAACGAAAAGCGCGTATCTACTCTCAACTCGAATCCGGCAAATTCGGCGGATTCACCAGCGCCGAGCTGAAGGAAGGCAGCATCGACTGGGATCGGAAACGGTCTCAACCGCCGATACGAGCTTTGACACCTTCTCCACCCTTGATAGAGGACAGGGACGAACGCCAGGTCGAGTACGTTGATGAGTTCGGTCGGACGAGGAGGAGCAAACTGAGCGAGGTTCCAAGGGAGCTTCTGCCGAAAGAGTACGGTGGTGATTTGGAAGAAGAGGATGAGGGGCAGGAGGAGGATAATGCGATCTATGGTCCAAGTACGAGTTTCCCAGTGTACAATCCGGAGGTTCATCGAAGAGAGAGATATGCGAAAGAGGAGGAAGCGAGAGGGAAAAGGCACTTCGATCCTGATTTTGATAGGAGACATCGTGGTGCTGCATTCTATCGATTCAGCGACAAGGAGGATGAACGCAAAGTGCAGTTGGATCAGCTGGCAGAGTTGCGCAACGAGACGAGGAGGAACAGGAGCGAGATCGAGTAGCTTCTCAACCAAAATCTCGACCTCACACAACAACACACCCATACACTCGACACCATTCTTTCTTTCATGGTGGGAAGGATTCGAATGTTTACGAGTCGAGCGGCTTCCTAGCCCAGAAAAAGTAGTTGCACTCCTGCGTACCCGGCAAATCCGTCCCCGACTTGGCCAACGTCCAGGTCCCCTTCCAAGGCAGATACGCTGTACCTCTGACCTCAAAGCGCAACCTCTGTGGCAATTCCGTACCCTGTGCGTACCACTTGAGATCATGCTGGAAGAAGTCGACCAACTCGCTCGGGTTGATGTACTGTCGATGGGTATGTGTTCCCGGAGTGACGAGACGAAGCACGTCCTCCGCCATGAAGATCGTCAGAAACCACGAGAGCGGGGTTCTCGCGATGGTGGACATGAACAGGTGTCCACCGGGTTTGACGAGGCTGTCGAGCGAGCGGAGGAAATCGGCGGGACCGTTGACGTGTTCGAGCACCTCCATGGCGCAGACGATGTCGAAGGTGCGATTCTGCGCGACGAGGTCTTCGGCGGTGGTGTGGAGGTAAGTGAGCGAAGGACCGCCGAGAGAGTGCGGGCGGGAGAGAAGCGGATCGCGTGCGGCGTGGGTGGTGGCGATGCCGATGTTGCTAGCGCTTGCGTCGACGCCCGTGGTTCGTGCTCCTAGTCGAGCGAGCGATTCGGAGAGCAGTCCACCGCCACACCCGACGTCGGCTACGTCGAGACCGCGAAGGAACTGCGTCGAGCCTAGGTTTTGCAATGGACTGCGTGCTTGCGACGCTGATGTTGATGCTGAAGGAGTTGCCGCGTCTGATGTGCTGGATCGACGAGCATCGACTTGACGCCGGGCTAGTTCGTAGCCCCATACCTCGTCGAGCTTTTCGCGAAGGAATTGGATGCGCGCCGGATTCATAGCATGAAGCAGACCAAACTCGCCATGCTCATCCCACCATTTGGAAGAAAGTCGACTAAAGTGCTCGATCTCGGAGGCGTGGACCGACGATGGTGCAGGCGTCGATGGCTGACTATGTGAGCTGCTGGCCGAAGCGTTGGGTTGCGAGTCGAGACGCAGCTTTGACGACGAAGCGAAGCATCGTGCTGGTGCGATCGACGGCCTGTGTCATGGGGAAGTGACGTGCAGAAGAGGCAATGGGCAAGACTCAGCTTGTGGGTCACAGATGTGCTCATGCAAGGTGCAAAATCGCGGAGAGACTCACTGGCAAACAAAGGCGGCGCTTGAGCGCGAGAGCTGCCTGGCAGGGGACCTTGTCGTCGCCGAGATCATTATGGGAGGTTTCGAACGAAGAAGGTTTTTGGGACAGCAAAAGGGTTATAGTAGAAGTACAAAAGGGAAAAGAAATGCTACAAGGATGCGATGGAAAGGAAAGCGACTGCAGAGACTATGAGGCGAGGACGAAGAGATACGCAAAGAAGACGCTTGTCAGCTTCGGATCCTACTCGATCTTGTATTGTGTCGATGCGATGTGTACGATGCGCTTGGATCAGATTAAGGGAGGATAATAGCGTAAAGGCCTCCACTGCTATCGGGTTTGTCGGCAATGTAATTGCTTTGTTACGACTGGTGCCAGGCAGAATCCAATCATCATTTGAGAGCGGTCGAGTGCAAAGAGGGGTGACGTTGAGAGGACTATACTTACGTTTGCAGGCGGTGGTGGTGGAAGGAAGAAAGACTAGAAACGAGCGTTTCTGCTTTGGTCAACTCGGTGCACTCCAATCGAGAATCCAATCAGAAGAAACGCGCAAAAGCTGAAAAGCTGCGGTCGCAACTTGGCAAAGACCACGTTTATCGCCCGAGTCGGACACAAGCAGCCTCCACAAGCACTTGTAGCTTTGGACCCTTGCTTGCTTGCCGTTGAGCTCTTGCGTTGCCTACCACCTTGTCGACCTGTGCCGTTCAGCCTTGGACGAGGAGACTTGCAGTCTCTGACATGTCGTCGCTCTTCAGCAATTGCTTCGGACGATCCAGGGAACCGCCTCTCAAGGCGCAAGGCAGCAGCGATTTGATACCACACGCAGGACATCGAGAGGTAGACAACGTCAATCCGGCCAAATGCGTCTTTTGCAACGTCACACCGGACCGCTTCAGAATCGTGCTGCAAGACGACGAGCTGATTTGCTTTTCCGATCGCTCGCCCGGTGCAGCCATCCATCTGCTCGTAATACCACGAACGCACATTGCCAACGTGCAGAGCCTCACGCACAAGGATGTCGAGCTCGTGCGCCAAATGCAAGCGCTCGGCAACAAGGCGCTCGATCTCGTCTCGGATGCCGCCACGACGACGACAACGACGACGACGACGGATGCAGCCGAAAGGAGGTTCGGCTTCCATATACCACCGATTCGAAGCGTCGACCATCTGCACCTCCACTGCCTCCAGTTGCCGTTCCGAAACCGATACAAAGCCATCAAGTACCGCGTGGCAGAGCCGCCAAATCGAGATTACCTCAAAGGCTGGTCTTGGTTCGTCGAATGGAAGCAGACGTGTGCGTTGCTCGAAGCTAGACGCAAGATCAAGATTTACAGCTGTTGAACGATCACCCGCCGCTGATTACCATAGATACCCGTACATTGCAATATCATATAGATTCTGAAGACGGCCGTTGAGACATGACATTCACGAACTACGTTATCAAGGCCAAAAAATGAGGCTTCGAAATTGACGGCTCACAAAAACCAAAAAGGAATGCCTCCTAGCCGACTCGAACGACTGACCTCTTCATTACTAGTGAAGTGCTCTACCGCTGAGCTAAGGAGGCTTTGATGTCAATGATGACTCATATTGCAAATATGAAGGTTGTCTGCAAGCAAGCTTGGGCGGGCACACCCAACACCAAACAGCGATGGTACCGTGCAGCCATAGCATAGCCTGAGTTGGCAAGCTCGAGGTGTGGAACTTATCGCTGTAGGAGTCTCCAGTGACAACCTGCATGTGACGGACGACATGAGCGCCCACTCGGTCGCGACGTTCCGAATGTGACTGAGCGCAGGTCGAGTGACACAGACCAAGCCGAGGTGCGGCATTTTGACTTTGAGTGTGTTGCATGGGTTGAATGCGTTGCCTGCGGGAGATTTTCAGGCACATGCTCACTGACGCATTCAGCCTCAATCCGCCCGGCTCGCTTGCTCCACAATCAGACACTGTGTGGGCCTTCAACCAGGCCAACGCTGCTGGACCCTCGCTCGCTCGCATACCATGGACCCGTAAAGACATTTCGCAACACCTTTTGTCCTACAACCATCATCTTTCCACCCAAAAAATGCCCGCCGACAAGCCACCCACAGTGCCCCCCGAGATCGACATCCCCAACGCGGGCTCGTCGGAGCAGTTCTGGATCGAGACCGACTACTCGGACAAAACACGCTTCTGGGCCAAACGCTTCTACCCCACCGATTCCACTGCCAATACCGAAGTTCAACCCAAAGCCACCACCATCTTCGTCCACGGCTTTGTCGAGTACGTAGATCGCTACCGCAACATCTTCAAGCTGTGGCCTAGCAAGGGACACGAGATCCTCGGCTTCGATCAGCGCGGATGGGGCAACACCTGTCGATCCTCCTCCGATCCCGTCGGCAACTACGGAAATACGACGTGGCCGCAGCAGTTTCAGGATCTGGAGCATGTCATCCGAACCACGCGCAAACGGTTGGATGAGAGGTGGGGGGTGGGCAAAGTGCCGATCTTCCTCCTGGGGCATAGTATGGGCGGAGGGATCGTGACGGCCTTCCACACGCGCGGGGACGAGTGGGTGAAGCAGCACGGTGGGAATGGTCCGTCGCAGGAGGCCAAGGAGATGGTGGCGGGTGTGGTGGCGAGTGCGCCGTGGTTGACGCTGACCAAGCCTCCGGCGTGGTTCATCATCTGGGGTGCGACCAAGCTGCTCGCTCTGATGCCCGAGATCCACTGGAACGTCGATCTGTTGGGCAAGAACATCTCGAGGGATCCCGTCGTCGCCAAGAACTTCGAGAATGATCCGCTCTCCGACAAGAAGGTCTACCTCAAAGCCATCCAAGGTCCACTCCAGGGCGGAATGGATATCGTCGACAAGTCGTACGCCCACTGGCCCGAATCCAAACCGCTGCTGGTCATCCACGGTACCGCGGATCTGATCACTAGTCACAAGGGCTCCGAGAAGTTCGTGGAGCGCGTCAAGGCTTCCGACAAGACACTCAAGCTCTTCGACGGCTATTATCACGACTTGCTCAACGAGCCTGGTCAGGACAAGGTGGTTGTCGGTGAATACGTCATAAAGTAAGTTTTCAAGCAGTATGGTGTGTTTACACGAGCGGATGTTCCGATTGCTGACTTTGCTCAAACTCCTTTGCGATTACACAGCTGGTTGAACAGTCATTTGTAGAACTACTCCACCTCGCCCTCGTCGATCCGGATGAAATACGGAAAACCCGTTCTACACCGGAGTAATGACGTTGACAAGCTGTCGTTCCCACGAGCGCAACCCGTCCTGATCGCGTGCAGACTTGAAGTCCGGCTCGGTCTTTTCTCGCTTCATCTCGGCGATTGCGTCGGCAAACACGCTCCATTCGATGCAATTGCCCTTCACGGTGGAGCCATCTGCAGAACAAGTGTCGATGGACCATTCGCCTTGACGTGTGCGGGTAAGGGTCTGGACGTGGGCGGCGGAACCGACGGCTGTGGCGAGATCGTGTACGATGGACCGCACGTAGGTGCCGGAGGAGACGGTCATCTCGAGCACGAAGGCCGGAGGTCCCGCAGCGTCTGACTGCGTAGCAGTCTCGGTGGAAAGCTTCTTCCAGGTGGACGTCGTTTCGGTGGGTGAAGTGTCGGGTTCGGCAGCGTCCGGGTCCTTGAATGTGTCTGTCTGGCCTTCCTGTCGACCGGCCATGTGGAGCACCCTGCCGACCAATGCTTTTTCCTCTGGTGGCACCTCGCGATCTGGCTCCTTGAATGCATGCTTGCCCGGCTCGAGCCAATCAACCAAGCGCAGTTCGTGAACGGTGACTTTGCGCGGCTCGATCGGTCGTGGCAGCGGCAGGTTCTCCCTTGCGTACTCGAACAACCTCTTGCCGTCGATGCGTACCGCCGAATACAGCGGTGGGATCTGAGACACAATACCCGTGAACCTTGGCAACAGATCCGCAATCGCTTGTGGTGTCACATGATCGTACGGCTTTCTCGTAAGAATCGGATCGCAGCAGTCGTACGAAGTAGTCGCGGACCCAAGCAGCCCGGTACTGCGATACTCTTTGGTACAATCGAGGTACTTTTGAAGATGTTTGGTGCCGCTGCCTACGCCGATGACCAGAACACCATCCGCCAACGGGTCGAGCGTTCCACCCTGACCCAGTTTGGGAGCACCGGCAACGCCACCAGCCCACTTGCCCCTTCCCTTGCCACCGAATTTACCACGCTTACGGTTGTTGTCCTTGGAACGGTTGCCGTCGGCGTCTGCGAATAGCGGAGAGGATGCAAACAGAGGTTTCAGATCGTCTAGCAGTGACATGGAGGTGGGACCGCTTGGCTTGTTGATCCCAAACACGCCGGATAGGGGCCGTGCGGATGTTGATGCTGTAGCAGAGGCGGCGATGGTGCGGACGGCGTTGCGAATGGGACCCACGGCGGACATGGTGTTGGTCTGTGGTGTGTCTTGACTTTTGGGGCTGGTAGATGGGGCGGTGGCAGCTGTTTCGATGTGTGCACTGCTGGATGTGGATTGCTCGTCTTGAACAGACATTTTGAGACGTCACTCGCCGTAAGAAGTGGGATGCTTACGACTGTCGATAGATCGTTGACAAAGATGATGTTGGCACAAGAAGAAAGTGGAGAGACACACAAGCTTCTCAAAAATTCAATCGCCATCGCCCGATTCGATCGATGCGATTGTTCCTCCACGCTGTGCTGTGATGCTGCAACCACAACAAAAAAGTGTGCGAAGAAAACATTTCTCGGAAATGCTCAAAAATCTCAAAATGTGTCACATTCTCATCTTCATCATCAATCTCACCATCCCTCACTTCACCTCGACGCCACTGGCGATGACAGCTTGTTACAGCAGCAGCTCATATTAGTTCGATACAGCTGCCTCGAATCCTAGCCATGCATCCATAGCCGGCTCTCGGAACGAACCTCACCTCGTCGCGATCCCATCGAGGCTGGAGCAAAACGCAGTCTCGACGTTTGGCTGCGCACCACCATCGCTGGCACCATGTCGTCCACCGCCCACTCTCCCCAAAAGATCAAGCTGTGCGAGCATGTCCTGCTACAGCATTTCGGCCCCATCGCTGCCCGCGTTGGCGCACTCCTGCTCAAACGCGGACGACTGACCATCAAAGAGATCGGGCGCTTCCTCAACCAGCAACCCACGCGCACCAACCGCGGTCCCATCGATCCATTCGGCAACTACACCGCCACCAACAGCAAATCCACCCTCGTCTCGGCTCCCATCGCAGGTGCCAGCTCCAGCTACAACACCAGCGACCCAAACGCTCCCGTACCCGTGCCCAAACATCTCGTCGAACAGACCGTCATGACGCTCATCCAGCACGGATGCGCCTGGCACAGCTCCACCGACCCCGACATTGCCGATCCGAACCAGGAGTTCTTCGAGATCAACATCAACGAAGTGCTGCTCAGACTGCGCTTCGGAAGATACATCGGGATCGCCGAGGACGAGCTGGGTGATACAGCTGCTAGGATCGTCAAGCTTGTCTTGCAGCACGGCAAGCTTCAGGCCAGCGATATCATCGACCGCGTCACATCCGAAATGGATGCGCAGCGTAAGGCGGCGTCTCTCGCTTCGGAAGCGCAAGCCGACCCTCCAAACGGCAACACGAACGGCTCCTCCAACAAGCGCAAAGCAGACACAGCAGCGGAGACAGCCGCTTTGCAGTCTCAAGTAGCACGCCAGCTCACCATCCTCCTCTACCGAACCTATCTACGCCCCAGCTCCGTCCACCAGCACGTCTCGCCACGCGACAAAGAGATCAAATACGAAGCCAAAAAGCGTCGCCAGCTACGCGGCATCCCAACTCCAAAGGACCTGCAAAAGATCAAGGAGGAGGTGCGCGCACAGATCGCAGAGGAACGAGATGCAGATTGGGACGCTTCGGCAACCGCCGTGACGCTAGGCGCAGATGGACTCGTCGCCGATCATCGCGAGACACGGCGTGGCCTACTCCGCAAACAGCACAGCGCCATCGCCGTAGCCAGCGCAGCCAGCAAGACCAAACGCGCAAGGACCAGCACCAGGACCAAAGACAAAAAGGACAAGAACGGTGTCAACGGTTCCTCGCACGCCCCATCGGCCACGCCAGACACGTTTGATCCGGCGGACGACTTTGACATCGACCCCACCGCCTGGTTGCGTGTGCACTTGGACCGCTTCGACGTGCACCTTCGCGACGAGATCATGATCGATGCCGTGCGCGAAAAGTACAACAACACGGCCGCGGAGGTGTTCCGTCACCTCATCCATGCGGGAGATGCGTCTACGAGGAGGTCGGTGCGTGATATTCGCAGCGCACCTATATCCATCGCTGCGTTGTCGCACAAGTTGCCGTCGGATCTATCGCTGCAGAAGGGGTTCGATCGTCGGTCTTTCGGGAAAGATAGGGCGTCGCTGCCTAGCAGGCAGGAGTTTCTCGCCGAGTACTGTGCCGTCTTTTCGCACTCCGAGGACATTTCCGGTCGTTCGAAGAGTGTTCGGCTTATGGCACCTGCTTCTGACGGCACCACCAAGTCTGCCGGTGGATCCAAGATCGCTTCTTCCTTCACGATTGAATTCGCCAACCTCGCAGAACGGATGCGCAGGGATCTGCTGCGGAACGTCGTCGAAGAGAAATTCGGTACCGCCGCCATCCGCATCATGAACATCCTCCGCGAGAAGGGCAAGCTCGAAGAGAAACACATCTCCAAACTCGCCCTAGTTTCCATCTCCGAAACGCGCGATCTCTGCTCCCGACTCTTCCACGCTTCGCTCCTCGGTCTACAGGAAGTCCCCAAGACCAAAGATCGCGACCCCGCCAAAACCTTCTTCCTCTGGTTCGTCGACGAATCCAAGTGCAGAGCTTGGTTGCTCGATCACCTGTACCAGAGTCTCGCGAGATTGGGTCAGAGGAGGAATGAGGAGATGAGGAGACAGACGCCGTTGTTGAGGAAAGTAGAGAGGTCGGATGTCAAGATGGATACGGTAGGGTTGTTGACAGAGTGGGAGAGGGAAAGTTGGGCGAGGTTGCAGACGGTGGTGCAGACGCTGACCGTGGCAGAGATGAGGACAGAGATGGATGTTTTCGTCATGAGGGATTTGGCTGCGGGGACGTATGTCAGTGACGAGTAGAAGAATGAATTCAATGAGGGTATCAGCATTGCATCTTGCACTGTCGTGTATTGAGTTTGTGTATGAGCAAGCGCACTTCACAGCTCAAAAAAAGACATTCACACTAATCACACACGCAAACACGTTCACCTCGTCAAATCCTTGCATTCCGCTGAACACTCTACGCCGGAGCCTTCCACAGCCTGAACCCGTGAATGGTCGACCTGACCACCTCATCACCAGGATCCTCCGGAAACATGGGCTCCCTGAACCACTCTCCCAACTTTTCAAACTTCCAACCCTTCACCTCTGCCATATCGAAGAACTGCATATCCTTGTACGCCAAATGCGGTCGATGGTGTGTGAAGAACACCAGCACGCACGGCGTCGTCATATCGCCTTCCGCCTGCTCGCCGTCGGCATCGGCGAGACACAGGTCGCACGTCTCCAGCAACGCAGGGTGGGCTTGATGGTTGAACACCAGATCCGAGAGCAGGATCAGGTCGAACTTCCCGCGTTTGCCATCCTCCGACACCTTTTCCAGCAAAGAACTCGGATCGCGTCCCCAGATGTAGCCTTCGACGAACGATTTACCGGGACCGCGCAACGGCGAAGACTCATCCTGACAGTTGAGCACGACGTTCTTGGTGAGGTTGTCGATGAGAGAGTTGTCCGGATAGTCGGTGGCTACGACGTGAGAGGCCGAGGCCCAGTTGCAGACGATGCTCGGCAATCCTGCTGCCGCACCGAGCTCCAGCACGCGTTTGCCCTTGGTCAACGTAAGAGCGTGCGCGCAGAGGAAATCGGAGAGGATGAAGGAGGCATTCCACGCCAGGTGTCCCCACAAAGGGTGAGCGCCGACGAGGTTGAGCGTCACCTTGGACGATGTGCCGGGGAATTCGTAATACGTCACCGAGGGCGGCGGCGTCTTGGGTCTGAAATCCTCGGGCTCGTCAAACATGTTGAGCGCCCCCTCGCTTTCGGCATCGTCATCCTGCTCGACCGAATCGTCCTGTGTAGCCAGTTCAAGCTCGCTGAGCTGTTTGGACATGTCTACGTCCTCGCTGTTCTGATCGACGGGGATCTCGGGCATCGGTTTGTTGCGGTCTCCAGAGGCGCCCTCTCCGTTAGCGGCTGTGCTGTCTCGCACGGGCTCTGTTGATTTCGCAGCGGATCCCGATAACACGGCAGCACCAACGATGGCGGCTGCAGCACCGGTGGCAGCAGCTGCTCCGACCACCGCTGGCGCCGCAGACGAGGTGGCAGACGTGGTGGGACCAGCTTCTGATTGCTTCCCGGTGGGCGGAGAAGCGGTGAGATGGCCGTTGGCCTCCGTAGAGCTGTTCTCGGTATGTGCTGCATTGGTGGATCCGAGCGAGGCGGCTCGATTACGAGCAGGGCTTTTTGGAGTCAGAGCTGGCGCGGCCAGAGCCGGTGGCGTCGGGGCCAGGTGAGTTGAGCGAGAGGATGCAGCGTGGTTGACGGAGGAAGTGGCACGGTGACGACGAGGAAGGACGCCGGAATGGTCTCCATCCATTGTCTCGACCTCCTCCGACATGTGAGCCGCGGAGCTGTCGTTGACATCGGGGGCATGCCCGTGGCCGATGCTGGAGGCTATGGCGTTGTGGTGCCCCACGCTTGATGGAGGTCCATGCTCGTAGCGGTAGCTTCCGGTGGACGAGGAAGAAGACGGCCGACGGCGACGCTCGAATGTGGCAGATCGACGGCCCTCGAGCTGAGTGAGGGTGGATTCGAGTTGCTGCTGGATCTTGGCGATCTGGTCCGTGACGGCCGTGGTACGCTTCTGGATCTCGGTGTTCATCTGTTCGTCAGGGAAGTGATTCGAGGCGTTTGCGTTGGCGCTGCCGTTGGTGTGACCGTCCGTGTTGGCAATCACGGTTGCTTTGCGGGCCTGTCCGTTGCTCGCAGGTTGGCCCATCGAGATCCGCTGTTCTGCCAGAGCGCGAGCCTTGAGGATGTGCATCTCGGTGTTGTGGCTGGCGTCGCTCGCAGCTGGCGAGTCGACTCGGCCAAAGTTCTGGGTCATGCTCTGGAGGTTGTTGAGCGAGGACATGCCGAACTCGTCAGTGCTCGAGCTGCTGAGCACATTGCGGATCTCGTCCATCATTGCTTCGCGCTCCGACTCGAGGTTGTCCATGGTGGATCGCATGCGAAGCAACTCCGCCTGAGCCTTTTCACGCGCTTGCTCGGTCTCGCGAAGCTGGATCTGCGCCTGCACGTAGTCCATGTCCCTTTGCTGCAGAGTCGAGCTGAGCCTCTTGGATTCTCGACGCTCCTTGTCGAGCTTGACACGCAGATCGCCGGCTTCGCGGGTGAGACGATCGACGAGCTGCTGGATCTTGTCGAATTGCTGTCGCCACATCTCACCTTCGCTCATGAGGAAAGCGAGTCGCTTGTTGAGCCTGCCAATCTTGTTTTCTAGACCGTCGCGCGCATCCACAAAGGTGCTGGCCCTCTTGCGCAGTGCGAGGACAGCAGCTTGCTCTGTCTCAGAGGCAACGAATTGAGACTCGGTGCGCATACGCAGAACCTTTTTGAGGAAACTAGGCTTGGTGCCCTCGTGGAGAACTTGGTCAAACACGCCGACGAGTGCGCTCTGATCCCACCAAGAAGGCGTATCGAGGCGCTCGTAGGGGTTTTCGCGCGAGGAGGACTCGAGCTTGCCGAGGGGACGGAAGCGACCGCTCGGAAAAGCCTCGACGTATTCCCGAGGGATGGTGTAGTCGGCGGAAGAAAAGCCTAGGGCAGCGATGAGCTTTCTGCGCTTCTTGTCGCGTGCCGCTCCCTTGCTGGGAGCCCTGAGTGGCGGGCGAGGGCAGTTGACAAAGTTGATATCGAGATCGACGACGCAAACCTCCTTAGCCGGCTTGATGATGCTGCGCAACTCGGTGTTGATGGCGATGAGCCAGGAGCCGGGATCCTCTAGGTAGATGCGAACATCTCTGGCGTGACAATTCTGATGTGCGACACCCTTCCAGCCGCAGAGCTCGATGAGGTACTTGACGGTTTCGACGGCCATGCCCATGAGGGCGGGATGACGCGACATGAAAAGAACACGACCGGCGGGGGCCAGAGCGATCTCACAGATGGTGAGGACGTTGTCGATAGAGAGCGTCTTGAAGAGGGGCCACATGGAAAAGTCGATGCCGAGCAAGCCCCTGCCCCAGTCGTAGGCACCGGGGAAGGTGCAGACGAACGAGAGATCCTCGTCCGGAGACTTTAGTCGGAAGGTTTCGCCGATGCGTGGGGCGGGATGACGGAGGATGGCGGCCATGAGCTTGTTGTGCATCTCAATGTTGCGGCTGTATTTGAACCAGGCGGCTTTGTTCCAGTCGCCGAGGAGGTTGTAGATGGGGTATCTCGAGACGATGCAAATGGCGTAGGGCATGAAGAAAGCGTTGTTCTCTGGAAGGAGCGAATGGCCCAATGCGCTGGTGGCTTCGAGGTCGTCTTCGATCTCTTCTCCCTGGTTGTTGACGCTCTTGTTGACACCGTTGCGGCCGTTTGCGCGCGATTTTGCCAGACGACCGAGCTCTTTGCGGACGGCTTTGGCTCGCTTCTCGTCAGCGGCGCTCCACACGGTGAGGACGGAGCCGTAAAAGGTGGCGACGCTTGGAGTATCCTCGCCGGTAGATGCAGACCCAGAAGGAAGGCGAGACGACACGCCTTCGAGACCGAAGCCTTCGCCGACGGCGGAAAAGTTGCGCGAGTTGTGCACGTTTGCAGCACCGACAGAGAAGGGAGCGGTGGCCTTGCGCACATCGGTGGAGGGACGTGCAGCGCCTCCGGACGCCGATGATTTGAGCGTGGGGACGCTAAAAGAAAAGGTGTGAGATGTAGAGGAGGGGGGAAAGTGGATGGGTGCGGAAGAGATCTCGATCTCGCGGGTGAAGGAAAGTTTGAGGGCCTTGGAGAGCACACGAGCGGTTTCTGCTCGCTCTACGCCACCGCGACCGTCGGCCATCTCGATGAATTTGGGATTGGAGCCGTTCTTCTTGTCGTTGCCCCACGCAGAAGCTTTGGGTTCCTTGCTGTGGGATGAGGTGGTTGGGGAAAACGGGGTCTTGCTGGTGTCATCGAGAGGATGCAGAGGTGGACAGATGGAGCAGCCGAGCACCTCGGGGCGCCAGAAACGACCGACGGCATTTTCGATGTGGTGAACGCCATTGGTGCAGTCCTCTTCAGCCAAGGTCCATACGGCTGGATCCTTGGGAAGACCAAAGACGGCGTAGAGTTGAGCGATGTTGTTTCCATCTGTAGACTTTGCGGAGGCAGCGTTGGATGCATGGACGTTGCTGGAGGGTGGATTGGGGTTGCTGGGGAACTGTCGATGGCCATTCTTTGGAGTGCGAGCGCCGGATCTAGCGTCGAAGCTCTTTAACGAGAGGTTTGAGAGGGAGAATTTGCCGCTGAGCCCGGCGCGGCTAGCGGGCCTGCTGGGACCTGCAGCGTCACTCGAGCGCGACATGATCGGAAGGCCGGCAGGCTGAGGCGAGGGCGTCGCGAGGAAGAAGAAGCTTGGTGCGCAACTCGAGTGTCGACTCTTGATATTCCTCGGTGTGGTGGTGGTAGTTCCGTGCAGAGAAGCGTGCTCACGCGGACCGCACGAGGTCGTCAAGGCTAACCTGACGATGAGCAAGCGAGCGGCAGGAAAAGCGCAGAGAAAAGCGCTTGTATGCTGCTGCTGCTGCTGCTGCTTGTGACCGGATGAGCCGAGCGGGATCGTGATATGGGAAAAGAAAAGTGGATCGAGCGAGATCCCGAGGAAAAAAGGGTCAGCGAGGAAGTCCTAATTTCCAAGTTAGCATGCTTTTGTCTCGAACCAAAAAGTTTGTCTTTCGCCTGGTTGCATGCATGCATGCATGCAAGCAATCACTCAGAGAAGGACTTGACAGATCTCGGCTCAAAGCACGACGCCGGTGCTCGTGAGCTACCAGACGCCACTGCACACAGATGCTGCCCGCCAAACCATGCTTTTCAGCAGCTAGCAATCATGGCGGCTCCGTTTGTCGAGGCATTGTTACTCCGCCAAGGTAACGTCGTCATCATCTCAATCATTGTCCCATGCTTGGCCACTCGCGATAACTTAGAGTGGATTTTGAATCTCAGCACGAGGCTTCTTAGATTGTCCTTCTAGTCCATTCAGCCCGCACGCGTGTATTTTGTTTCTCGGCTACTAACCGAGAGGTGCGGCCCACTCTGACTCTCTTCTCTCTCTTTCTCTCTCCTTTTCCTACCAGCCTTAGGAGGCCGTTGTCTCGGCGAGTTGTCGCCAACGCAGTCGCGATGTCCGTGTGTCGCTTTACACGGTCTCGTGATGGCCTCTGTCCTGGGGGTCATGCAGCTGAGAAGGCTGTTTTGCCTTCGAAAAAAGAGTTGACATCTGAGGACAAAGGACCTTCCATCCGCCTTGCAAGGTTCGGCCAGTGCCTAGTATGGACATGTCAAAAAGGTGTTATGTTACACTACCATCACTAACACCTCTGTTTAGCTGTGTTCGGATGATTAGTCAGCAATATTTTGTATGCAGTGCGCCTAAAAATGCGGAAAATTTTGGGAACGCCTAAACTGAGCCTCGCAACTGTCAAATAATCTTCTCACCTTCCTTGGAACCCTTGACTCTCCTTCTCCTCTCCACCTTGACCGTCCTCACCAACCCCCTCCATCCAATTTCGACCATTGCAGCCCAATACAAGCCCTTTCATAGACCGTCTTCACCGCCCACGAATCCCACGCAGCCCGTGAATCTGCTCGTTGGCCCTGTTCCGTTCAGCATGACCTCTTCTCCGCGGAAGGGCTCGCAGCCTGCAGCGACGGCGGGCACATCCTTGGCCGGCCTCAACAAGGCGCAGGAGCTCGCAGAGATCATTGCCAGCCAGCCGGAAAGGCTCGCCAACGCTGACGCTTCCTTGAGCGCACTTTCGGTACACGCGCTCAAACAGCTGTTTGACCATTCCATCACCTCGGAAAAGCAATCGGTCCCTTCCATCTGCTCTTTCATCCAGACCATCACTCCAAAGTCCGAATTGCTCGATCAGAGGGCCTCCCGCTCCGCCGGAAAGCGCAAACGCGGCAAATATGCTGCCATTCCTCCCCCTCTCTTCGAGGCAACTCCTCTCGACGAGCTCGTCACAGATGGTATGGACTCGCGCCAGCTTTGGGAGCAGATCGACTTGAAAGCAGCAAAGATGTCGGGCGTTGTTGAGCGCTATTTCGCCCAGGGTCTCCTTCGCGAAGAAGAGGAGGACGACGACGAAGACGAAGAGCAGGCCAACGCAAGAGCAGGGCCATCGCGTTCAAGATCTCGTTCCAGTCGCCAAGACGAGGACGAGGACGACGATGAGGATGATGATGATGATGATGATGGCATGTCGGGCGATTTCGACGACGACGACGACGACGACGACGAAGATGTTGACTTGGAGGAAGAACGCGTTCGTCTGAGCCAACTGAGCGACGCAGATCTACGAGCGCTCGGCGTCGACCCAGCGCTCCGTGATCAGCTCTTAGCCGAAATCGACGAGCAGGGCCAAGACGATGACGATCAAGATTCAGAAGACGAAGGCTCAGCATATGCAGGCGCTTCCGACGTAAGCGATGGCGATCCCACCGAGGTCTTCTACGAGCCACTCAAAACAGAGGCCGAACAGTTGAAGCGTAAAGAGGAGGAAGAGATGGGAATGCTACCACGCCTTCGGTCTCAAGTCGGCGATGACGAAGACGACGAGGATGATGACGAAGACGAGGATGATATGGACGAGGACGAGGATCCAGAGGATCAAGATTCAGAAGACGAAGAATCTAGAGCACGCTCTTACGCAGGTATCCCCAAATCGCTCCTCCAAGATTTGGATCGTCCCGGCAAGGCATCGCAGCGTCCTTCCAAGAGACACCCTACCCTCGACGACGACTTTTTCTCAATAGACGATCTCAACCGCCAGCTCGATGAGCAGGATGCCCAAGAGGACGCTGATCCGGCCGACGACGACAATGATGACGACGATATCGCAGATCAGGTCGATTACTTCAAGCCTCTCAGCGGTGATGACGGCGTCGACGAAGACGAAGCGGACGACGACGAGGATCCAGAAGCAGGTGTCGTCAATGCTGCCGACGCGCACTTTGCTGACTTTTTCCTACCGCCCACAAAAGCATCCAAGTTCAACAAGAAGTTTGGTGGGCGCAAGGCATCCGCTCGCTTTGCGCGTGAGGATGCTGCTGCCGATCAACTCGACGCCGACCCTGAATCCGAATCAGACTCGGAACCGGAACAAGAAGCTGAGCGCGTATACGAAGAGCCCGATCGCAAGCGACGCATTCGATTCAACACTACCATCGAGTATCGTCGCATCAAGCCACGCAAGAAGTCGGCCGACGAGCTCACCCCTGAGATGCTGAGGATGATCGGTGCTTCCTCGGACGATCTCGACGCCGCCCGTCGCTTCGACGAAGAAATGGAAGAGGATCAGGACGGGGATGACGACGACATGGACATGGACGAGGTCGAATCAGAAACCTCTTCTGTCGGGCGTCAGGCTAGCGATGACGAAGACTTGGGCCCGGATTCGGACGAGGAAGAGCAAGACGACGACGGCGATGACGTCGGAGAAAGTGACCAAGAGGAGGAACCAGACTCTGCCGACGACGATCGAGACAAGGGCGCAACCACAGCACGACGCGTCACCGGCGATCTATTCGCTGACAGCGATGACGAGGAAGACGCAAAGGACAAGCTTTCGACCCATGAGAAGCGTGTCGCTGCGCTCAAAGAGGAGATCGCTCGACTCGAAGACGAAAATGTGGGCAAGAAGGACTGGACGCTCATGGGCGAAGCAGGTTCCCGTGCCCGCCCGCAAGACAGTCTTCTGGAACAGGATCTCGAATTTGAGCGTGCCGCAAAAGTGACACCTCAAGTGACCGAAGAGATGACCGAGTCCATCGAGGACCTCATCAAGCGTCGAATCCTCGACCGCAACTTTGACGATGTCATCCGACGCCGCGAAGTGGAAGCCCTCCCTTTCCTCCCCTCGCGTCTCCTCGAGCTTTCCGACAGCAAGAGCGCCAAGAGTCTCGCCGAGCTGTACGAAGAAGAGTACCAAGCTGCGCGGGGTGCCGACGGCGAAGACGGAGCACCCGTCGCGGAAGCCGATGCCAAGCTGGCTAAAGAGCATGAGGAGATCGGACAACTTTACGACGACATCTTCAACAAGCTTGATGCGCTCTCCAACGCGCACTTTACACCCAGGGCGCCCAAAGCTACGATCCAGACGCTCACCAATGCGCCGTCCGTGTCGATGGAATCGGCGCTGCCGGCCACCTCGTCGTCGAGCACCATGCTGGCGCCGGAGGAGGTGTACGAGCGATCGCGTCACTCGACCGCTATGGACGGTGCCAAGTCCGAGATGACGCCCGAGGAGAAGCAGCGCCTGCACAACAAGTTGAGGCAGGAGAAGCGACAGCGCAACGACAAGATCCAGGATACCAGAAAGGCACTGGAGCAGTCTGGATTGGTGAGGAGCAAGAAGGTGAACGAGAAGGAGGAGAAGCAGCAGGCGCTCAAGAAGCTTGTCGGCAACCGGGGTGTGTCGGTTATTGGCAAGGAGGCCAATGCGGTGGGTGCGGGGTCGGGGAAGAATGCGAAGAACAAGGGCAAGGGAAAGAGCAATGGTGTGGCGAAAGGGTCGGAGAAGGGTGTGAGTGGGAACCAGTTCAAGCTTTGATGCAGGACTCATTCTTGTACGCCTGCATGTCCACCGCAATCGACTTGAGTCGCAGACTTTTTACAGAACCATTGCTTGGCGAGACTGCGTGTTGTGAGCAAGTCATTGCCATGTCTGTGTAGATCACGAGTGATAGAGCGATGGATAAGTGGAGCAGTCTTTGAATTGAGATGTGGGTGATGAGATCGTGATTTTGAGCAGTTTTGCCGAAGACCTTCATCGTCTCGGATCCTCACAGGTTGTACAGCCACGAAGCCATCGTGTGTACTGTATGAGGTGATTGAGTCAAGCAACAGAGGCAGGGAAGGTGATCACAGAGTTCAAGACTTTCCTCTTCAACGTGTCCAGGACAGACCATCTTTTGTCCTTCTCGTCAAGACGAACCTCTTTGGGACAGCCACTGAGCAAATTTCGTCTCGCCAACAACCCGCATGAACCACCCGTACCTCACGCAACACAGACCCAAATCCCAAAAGTGTTTTTCAACCCGAAACGCAAACGCTGCAATCGCTCGAGCTAAAGATAGACAGCACTCAAATCGTTCAAGGCATCAAACGGTTCCTCCAACGACTTGACCTGCAAGTCGTAGCTCCTCCCCGTCCGATCTGCGCCATTCAGGACCGAGATGAGCGTCCACCAAGCCTGCCATGCTATCGCCGGAACGATGATATCGCCTTCACGAATCGACGCAAGCCACCGTTTCCAATTGTCAGCATCCCACGCACCTGCTTCGTCCGGGTTCGGGCAGGTTCGAGAACGATCCTGTGCGCCGGGAGCGGGTCGATACGACTGCGAGACAGGTACCACCGCTTCACCGGGTGGCGGGAACCGGTCAGCAACCAAGGGAGACTTGAAGACGCACATCTCCAGGTAATCAAGCTCCCATGCCGATCGATACAGCCACTTGCTTGTACTCAGCTGGCCGAAGTAATGCAGGGCGCTGTCGCAGCTGATGGTCAGAGCCGTGGCGAAATGCTCAACGGAGAGCCTCTTGCGGGACCACGTGTAGTCGATCGTCTCTTCGTTCTCGGGGCCCAGCGGGAGGCCCTCTGGAATGCCAGCTCGACGTCGGAAGCCGTGTGCTCGATTGGTCGCATCTGCTAGCACGCACGGCGAAATGCTAAGCGACGTGCCGAGAACTTTGGACAGCATCGTGACATCCACTTTGTCCCGCGCCACTTTCAGTACCTCGGTGGATGCGGAGGGAGGTGATCCGACCGTCAAAGGCACCTGCGTGTCCGGGCTGGTCGAATCGATGTGGAGAGGAGCTGAGATGGTGATGTTGCCCTCACTTTCGTCCGGACCTTGATTCGAGGCGCCCTGCAGGATGTTTGGATCCAGACCGATCTCGCGAGCGAGACCGCCGCGCACCCTCGCCTTTTCGTACTCGTCAACCCAGCCCTTGATGCTCTTGAACAGAGCTTGCCAATGCTGCCAGGTCCTCGAATGATTGAGTCTGCTGCCAAAGAGCAAGGAACCGGGAGTCCAGCCTGCGCCTGCGTCCGCAGCGCCGTTGCTCGGAATGGCGTCTTCTGTTCCTGCTGTTGGAGGAACGGTGGAAGAGCGCTGCGGCGCTTTGCCGTGCAGATGTTCGAGCGCCGAGGCATTGCTGGGCACGTGGAGCGGATCGGCCGGATCCAAATTAAGCTTCTGCGCCAGCTCACCGGCCAGGCTTGCAGTATCAGGTCCACCCATCTCGAGCAGCGACGGCAAGTTCTCATTCTTCTTGGGCGGCGATGTTCCCGCGCTGGCCACGCCTGTCCTCCATGCCTGCACCGTCCTTTCTTGCATCTTGTTGGCTTGATCGAGAGCAGCAGCCTTACCTAGCGCAGCATAGTTGCCTTCAGCCTCGGCTCGACTGCCTCTGCCGTAGCAGAGATGCATGATGCCCTCCCAGCCCAAAGCCTCGCCGAGCGCACTGGCGAGAGTGATGGGCAAAGGATCGACTTCGCCACATGGCCACCAGGCTTCCTGCTCCTCGGCATTCTTTTGTGCGAGAGATGCCCCCAACTTGAAACTTGCATCGATGGGGTTGCTGTTCGCCGTGTGAGGGTTGGGTGAGCGCTCGAGATCTATCGAGCGAATCGATCTGCCAGGAGTTGTAGGCAAGGAGCTGATCTTGGGACGAATTTGTGGTGTTCGGGTCGAAGGCGTGTTCGTGCTGCCGGTGTCGGTGACGTGAGGGTCTTTGCTCTCCTGACTAGGAGTGGTGACATGGGCGCTGTCCTCGCCGACATCATCGATCGAGTCCTGGATGGAGCTCAGACCAAGGCATGAGGCGGCCCGAAAGAGCGACAAAAAGTCTGCGCCGTCCAGGGCAGTTGGTGGCTGGCGTTTTGAGGCGCTTGCATCAGCTGCCGAAGCATTGCCTGCGAGGGACTCTCGGGGAACGTTGTGCTCAGAGTAGGAAGTGCCGACGCTGGAGCGTGAAGATACCATAGTGAGGTCGAGCAGACCGTCCTCTTGGACAGGTCCGAGTTTGTGTCTCTTGCCAGAGCTTCCACCCGAGCTGGCTCGCCGGGCTTCGGCACTGTTTCTGTCAGTGGCCTGGCGCATCATTTGCGCATGCAAGACACCTTCGTCGTCCTCCTCGTCGAGCTCGAGCGCCTCGTCGTTGCCGAAAGTAGCATGGTCAGGATGGCGATTCAGCGCCGAACGGAATTCGGTGCGAGAGCCGGAAGCATTCGGAGCGGCTTGCGAATCCGATAGATCATCTCGGTGAGACGGTGCTGGAGAAGCCGAGCGAGCGTCGTGTGAATCTGAGGTGAGACGATCGAGGAAAGACTTTTTGCGACCAAAATCGAGCAATTTCGACATCATTGAGGGACGTCGAGTGGGCTTGGCCGATGTCGGAGATGTGAGCTGGTCGGATGTAGGCACAGTGCCTTCCGAGATGCTGGACAGCTGAGAATCTGCATTAGCAGCGTGGGCAGGATTTTCAGATGAAGGGGTGAGCTTGGACTTGTGCATCGCACTGGGCTCAGAGAGGGCACTCGTATCGATGCTAAAGCCTGAATGGGCTGCATGTTGAAAATCGGAATCGCCGTTTGCGATGGCCGAGACGGCACCAAACGAGGCCATACTGTCGGGACTTGCAATCCGTCCCAAAGCAGCGCCTCCGCTGGTCAAGCTGGATTTGCTGGCTCTGCGCCGCCTCCAGTCGGATGAGTTGGCAGATCTTCCGGAGCCGATGCGCTGGAGGGCTGCGCCAGACGACTCTGGTTGACGATTTGAGCGCAACTTTGGAGGCGGCGGTGCAAGACCGACGGTATGCAAGTCGAGTCGGATGGGAAAGGTGACGGTGGTGCTGGAATCGTGATCCGAGTGACGATGTTGAGAAGACGAGGCGGGAGTGCCGGATGGTGAATAAGACTGTGGATGTCTGGAAAGGCGGATGTAGGGAGCAGAGGGAGGAGCCGGACTGGAACTGTGGCCGCCGCTGGAGACTCTAGAGTGGGTGTCGTCATCGTCGGAGGCGTCGTGAGTGTGCGAGTCTGTGTGGGTGTTACGCTTTAGCCAATTGAGCTTGAGAGCGCTTGTTCCTCCGAGGCTGGCGGCGAAGGAAGACTTGCGGGTTTGAGTGGCATGACTCGAGCGTCGGTCTGGTTGCTTTGTGGAAGCGGCGCGCGATAGACTGCGAATGCGCCGGTGAGGATCCTTGTCCTTGTCGGCCCCTATTAGCGAGCCATTTGGATCGTATCGAGAGTCGAAAAAGTCGCGCAGATTACGAAACTCGGGATCGTCGTCGGCTTCTTCGAGGAGGGAGATGAGCTTTGAGAAAGGCTGTACAGCTTCGATGGCACGAGTGTGGTTGAGTAGAAAGGAGAGCGTGTCTACATTGTGCGGAAGATGGCGGGTGTGTATTGGATCCAGCTTTGTGTTGGCACCTACGCGAAGTTTGTCCGTCTCCTGGAGCGAGCCTGTGCTGTGCTCGGTATCTTGAACGTAGGGCACGGTGGCGTAATCGAGCGTGGGCAATGGCTCCAGATGAAGCGCAAAAGCCAAGGTGAAGAACTGGTGCAGTGCCATCGTGCAACAACTGGCTGAACGTGGCCAGACACGCAACAGGGGTGAAGCAGACTTGGGCTGAGCTCCCTACACAACTGGAATGGGTTGCGATCGCCTACGGCAGTGATTCCGTCATGGATGTGAGGAAGAGGCGAGATCTGCTCGAGGAAGCCTTGTGGTGGGATAGCGCAGAGATTAGAAGCAGCCGAAAGCCGTAAGCGTTGAATGCCCGGATGACAGTGTCAAGACAAGTCAGCTGGTGGGTCGGTGCGGGAAGCCGTAGCTTAAACCAGACTAGTGTGACGGGCGTGGCGCAGGGCGCTGACAGCGAACGACCGTTGGACTTTTGTGCGGGCCAAGGTGACTGCGAATGCGAGATGCTGAAGTGTCGGAGAGGGAAGACGATGGGATGATGAAGGCGAGGAAGAGGTGCAAAGTGAATGAGAATCCGGGGTGGAACAAGTGTGCAGCTGCGCTGATTCTCGGCTAAGCCGTGCGGTCATCCTGCGATTTCACGGCGAGAGACAAGGTTGCGCTATGCGACCCTCGAAATTTGGCTCACACCTTGTCGGATGGCCGCGCTCTGCTGTCATGAATTTGCACTCCTCATCGTCACAACAGGTGGAGGTTTGACCGCCATGAATTTTCCTTCCTTTATTTCACTCGACTGCACAGGTGAAACCGCCGTCTGATTGGCAAGGTTCAAGACGCCGACTCTGCTGCTCTCTCTGCCAGTCAGTCAGCCTTGACGAACACGCGTGAAGCTTCCCGTTGCACAACAGACTGACGACGAAGCCCAAAAAACGTGGTGGTATCACATCGGCGTCTTATTTCTTTTTCTCTCTTTCTTCCCCTTCTTTCTCCGGCTTGGATCCACCGACGCATCATGGAACCAGAAGCGAGATTGGCTGCAGACGCAGATCGCGCACACGCCGCCGCCGATCCGGGGTCTAGCAGTATGCACGCGACAACATAGCGGTCGTCTACGAAGGCAACCGCAGGGAGGGAAAAGTTTTGTCTGATGGCATTGGCGTCGATCTGCATCTCCAAAGCGTCGATCCCTCCATTCGTCTGGCAGCCATCCGGCTAGATCGCGATGCAGCGTGGGAAGAACTGTCACCTTCGGCCTTCAATTGCCCGGCGAGCCCGACGACTTGGTCGCACTTTGTTGTTTCAGCACCCAGCTCAATCGCCCAACCGCGCCCTCACAATTGCCAGGCCGCCGGCGAGTCACAGGTGGACAGGTGGACACGTCCAGCAACATGCAAAGTGGCGATTTCGCTTCCCGCCGGCTCCAACCTTTCTTTGTGCGGCACGATGGCCTTCCTTTCGACCTCAGACGAGAACACGCAGAGAACATATAATCGCGTTTGCATTGAATTTTGCAACAGCCTGTCAAGAGAACACGTGCGTGACCAGAGACAACTAACCACATACTGAGACCACCGAATCCACCAAGGTGACCGTACTGGGATGCGAACGAGCAAAGATACAACCTAGACTGCTGAACAGACAACTGAGAATACCAGACCACAACCAAAAGGGACCAAGAGGCATCGTAACCCATCCCTTTCTCCCTGCCTTGGACTGCACAGCGGCAGACACGGCATCGGGCTCAATGGGCATTGAAGTGTCCCATCAGCAATCGCTCACCCATCGGGCTCGGCTTGCGCTTAGTGCTGCCGCTGAAGCTCGCCTGGCGTCCACGCACTGCAGGCTTGCCTTCATCAAAGCAAACGCCAGAGTCACGCATCACCGGAATCGCCTGCGGCGAAGCAGATCGCGGCATCGACGCGCCAGCAGGCGCAGCGTCGAAAGCCGGAGCTACCGGGGCTGCTCCCGCTCCAGAAACTGCGCCGCTGCTTGTACGATACGAGTTGCCGCCCAGACTGAAGCGGCGCAGCAGACCGCCCATCCCGCTGTTGTTGCTTGCATCGCCGCCGCCGCCACTGCCCTCGTCAATGCTGGTTCGGGTGAGCGTGGGCGAAAGCGGACCGGGTCGCATCGTGTTCATCCATCCCATCTTCTGTCCCCAGCTGCCGCTGTGGAACCTCTTCTGAGCCTGCTCGTACGAGGCGCCCAGCGGAAGCGAGGGGACACGGCCCAACGAGTAGCCAGACGACGCAACCGAGCTGCCAGGGCTCGTGGGAGAGCGGGAGAAGGAGAGGTCCGAAGCCGAGATATACGACGAAGTTTGCGAGCCGGCAGCGTCGCTCATAGCTGCAGGAGGCGAGTCGACGCGGTTAGCATCCCAGCTCTCGATGCTCGAGGCGATGGTGCCGGCGCCGATGGCCGTCTGCGAACGAGCGCGTGCGTGACCTTGAGGAGGCGACATTCGGCTGTTGTTGTCCGACCTGGAGTTGACAGGGCTGAAACCCATAGAGAAGCGGTTGTTGGGACTCGGCGGGCCCATGGTAGAGGTCATACCGCTAGGGATGCGAAGGCCGCTTGTATGGGCCGATGCTCGCGAATAGAAGGAGCCAGGAGGGGAGAAGGAGAGCCTCTGGCCTTCGCTGGTGCGAATTTCGCTAGAGAGATCGGTCGGGACGATGGAATGCGATCGAGGACGGTGATGAGCAGACTTTTCGGGGTTAGGAATCGCCGTGGGTGAAGCCATGAGAAGGGACAGGGTTATTGGTGGCCAAAAGGGTTTGCAGGATCACGGCAGGTACCGACTGCCTTTGTACGGAGTTGATTATCAGCCTAGACCGACTAGGCGAGATGGAAGCCTCAAAATGATAGTGACAGAGAGCAGAGCTCGCTCTGAATTGTGACAGCTACAAGAGTGACTGTAAGAGCGCGTGTGCGAGGGCGAGCAATCCGGGGCGCAGGGCCCCTGGGTGCTCGAAGGTTGATGGTGGATGGAAGCGGTTGAAGCAGGCGGTGCTGCAGCGAATGGCACTTGATAGAGAGAAGGACGGGAGATCACGGTGTAACCACCCTTTGTGGAAAGTGATCGCGAAAGGCAGTTGGCGACGAAGCTCTTGGAAGTTGACCGTAGTTTCTTGTATCTTGAAGCGTGCGATGGTCTTGGATCCAAAGGCTATGATAGGGGAGCGTGACGTAACAAGCGGTCAGAGCACTTTTAGTTTTGTGTCAATATAGAAAGACAGGGACCGAAGTGAGGTGGTGGTGGTGGTTGCGACGAAAGTCAGAGACGTCAGCGATGCTCAGATCCAACCGAACGACGATGGGCTTGGGCGAGCAGAGATGTGCTCAGTCGTTGAGCCGCGCAGGCGTCCGAGGAGGGTGGGGCGAAAGGCGACTGTCGAAACGATACGAACCGATTGCTGCAGAGAAGGTGGGCCACATGCAGGTGCAGGCGAGTGTGGGGAAAGAACCTTTTTTTCGCTGAATTCGACTTAGTAGTCTAGGCCAGTCAGCAGGCTCGACAGCGAAGGGGAAATTTTGGGCCGGCTCGAGTGGGCCAAAGCGTAAGGGTCTTTTCTCGCCTCCATCCGCTGCACCTCGCAGCCGACCAAGTGCGTGACGGCTCAAGTGCCCGCTACAAAGTTCGGACGGTTGCACAACTGCATTGCCTAGATGACGATTGGGCTGAGTTGCAATTCCACAGGTCGATACGAGCCTCGGCAACAGTCTGCACCAGTGAAAGAGCGAAGACTGCAAACACCCTTATCGATGCCAGACTTGTCGTATCGCAGCACCCAGCGACAAAATGAGGTACACAGTAGTAGATTGCCTTTGCGTATCTCACGCGCGAAAGCCAATCTTTGCGTTTCGGAGAGCTCGACCTTTCACCGAGTGCTGACCTACACTGGACCGTCGGCAAATCGAAATGACTGCGTGTCCACCAACACCTTGCGAGCCGAGGCCGAGCTAGGGTGAGTTGAGCCCACCAAACCAAGACCCACTCGCAGTCGGACACAGCCGAATAGATGAGCGTCGTCAGCGATGTGGCGCCGACCTCATAGTCTGCTACTTCCACTGCAGAGACGTACACAAAAGTCTCGCTGGTGACGGGCCTGTGCTGCTGGGCGAGCATTGTCTTAGTGGCACCCTCTCTCTCTGTGTGTGCCACGCCATCCTCGACGACCTGCAGGCAACCCCACATTTTTCAAAATCAAGATTGTGGCACTAACCCAGTCATGAGTGTTTGTCTCTCACGGAAAACGGCGAAAACAAAAGAAAGTCAATGGACCATGCACGGCAGCACTTGAGCAATGACAGACGTCGCCGTGGATCGATGGCCCAGCGGACTTGACCTTCCCCGCGGCGATTTTGGCCCGGAGTGACCGTGTGACAGCAGGACGGAACGACAATGCCGCGAACTCGTCTTGCCTCGATGCGCCTGGCCAACTTCGCCTCGCCTCAGGAAGCATGTGCACTCAGACACCAAACAACGGGACAAACAAAAGGGCGGGATCCCCACCATACAGGTGAAGTCAACGGCAACTAAAACCACAGCCGAACGGCAGTCTGTTATGTCTGTCAGAATCCAGCGCGAAATTTCGACTGAGCACGAAACGAAGCCAAATGAAAATCTCACGATCCCATCAATCGGGGTCCACGCTCCGATCGATCTGGAAGCTCGGTGACTTTCCGGTGTGGCACGCGTGTGCCATTTGGTGTGCAAAGATGCGCTGCATGGATTTGCAGCGTAGTTGACAACAAAGGTCTTGCTCTTGCCCAATCGCACATCCTCGACAGATCTGTCGACCACAGCTGCATCACTGGCTCAATCAAGAGGCAAAGTTTCGGTGCGGTCAGCACTCTACCTCTGACAGGATGAACAGCAAAGCAGCTCAAGAACGGCAGCAGCGCATCCTGCTCGATCTGGTCCGCCAGCCAGGCAACGATGTTTGCGCAGACTGCAAAGGCCGCGCTCCAAGATGGGCTTCGTGGAATCTCGGCATCTTCATCTGCGTACAGTGTGCCGGCGTGCACCGCAAAATGGGCGTACACATCAGTAAGGTCAAATCCGTCACGCTCGATACATGGACCCGCGAGCAGGTCGACCGGATGAAGGAGGTCGGCAACGTCAGGAGCAACCGCAAATACAACCCAGACGAGATGCGCAACCGGCCACCGACCAACATGGAAGAGAGCGAAAGGGATAGCGAATTGGAAAAGTACATACGCAGGAAGTACGAGTTTCGCAGATTCATCGAAGGCCGCCCACCGCCGGTCCCGACAAAAGACGCCACCTTCGTCGCTTCCCCACCTGCAACTCTTGGACGTTCCGGATTCCCAAGATCACCAGTAGAGCCGGCGTCATCTTCATCGTCACGCTCCGACTTCGCAGAGGCCAGCAGCATAGCGCGGTCTCGCACCGCACCCATACCATCCACCTGGAGCGAGGCTCAGCAACGAGTCAAAGCGAACGCACCTCCACTGCCCAGCCCATCAGCAACCGCCTTTCGCGCGGCGAGTGGATCTCATATCGACGGTGCCGGAGGTACGGCGGCGAAATCAGCAACAGTCGTGCAATCGACTCTGCATCTCCCCGGCACTGTAGTTCCTCTGCGCACTTCGAGTGCGCTCAATTCAAGAAACGCCAACACGGAAGTATCGGCGACCAAGCCGACCAATTCGACAGCACAGTCAAGCATGTTTGACGATCTCATCTCACTCTCGGAACCAGCGCATCAAACGTCGGCACAACCGCCTCTCCAGATGAATCCATGGGCGTCCTTGCAGGCACAGCAGCAAGCTGTACTCAGTGCTCCCGCCATACAAGAGCCCGCAGGCAATTTCTGGGCAGGGCAGTCGGGCGCCAACGGTGCAGCATCACCAATGTCGCCGTTCGGAATCAGTCCCTCTAATAACGCCCACGCCTTTGACCAGATGCGCAACACACCTCAACACGCAAACACAGCTCCATCACTAGGCCTCTCTTCGGCTCAGGGTCACATGAATCCGCAGGCAACAGGCATGCTCAGCCCAAGCAACGGCATGATGTACCCCCAATACCAGCAGCAGAGGAGCGCAAGTTTGGGTACCATGGATTTCTCCACATCTCCATTACCCTCGCCGGGCTTTCCTCCAAGCAATCCTTTCAACGCACCACAGTCCAACCTTGCGACATCGTTTCCGCAGACCGCTGGCTACATGGACAGTAACGCTCACTTTCAGCAACAGCCACAGCAGCTCGGGCAAGCCGCTTTTCAGAGTCAAGCGGGCGCATTCGGCTCCAATCATGCTTTCTACAGTCAGCAGCAGCAGCAGCATCAGCAGCCGTCTATGCAACTTCAAAATGCTAGCAACGGTGTCGGTCACTTTCAGTCTTCCATGATGCCCAACGGCTCTGGACAAGTCAACAACTTTGCCAGCAGTCCATTCATGCAGCAGCAGCAGCAGCAGCAACATACCCAGCAAGGATCGCCGTTCGGCCAAATGTGGTAGCAACGTCACTGGCCGGCCTCGTTAAATGCAAAACATTCTTGCACAACGATATTACGATTGTGGTTCTTTAGCGTGTGTCGAACGCTGCTCCCTCACTGTCTGAAATTTAAGATTAGCGAACTTGACAGTTGCAGCTGCGTATCATTCGTCAATGTTTGCTCCTCGTTCTGGCTTGAGCTGCCTTTGCCATTGTCCCAACAGTGTAATGCACCTGCAGATTAGGTCTGTGACATGGGCAATCGGCTGCTTCGATTGTTTTTGTCTTGCCGGCTTTGTCCCTTTGTTGTCATTGGGTCCGACGAATGTGCATGCAGAGATCGGTTTTCTGTTGCCGCGTATGTGCTTGTCTGGTCCTGCATGTGTTTTCAAGGATGAGCCTTTTGATCGTTCGATATGCAATTGAAAGCTAATACAGAAGCAGGACATGGTCCCGTTGCATGCCGGAATCGCTTGTACAGGTTCACACGCGTGACGACACTCGGCGAGGTCTTAGCCGGTGCAGTGACTGTTAGTCGGCCATCTTGCGTGGGATCTACAAGAGAGGTCACGGTAAAGCTGGACCCGTTGCAGACAAGACGCCTCTCCATGTCCAGCTGGATTCCAAGTAGACCGCTGTCGTCGATATAAAGCTTGAGATCATGGTGCTCTGAGGTTGCCTCCCTTCTCCATCCTCGTCCTTGATCCCTCCCTTCCCCGTCGTCTTTTCTCGCCTTCTCTTCCCCTCGTCCTTTGTCCCTCGCTTCTCATCGTCCTTTCTCCCCTTCCTTCATCGTCCTTTCTCCCTTCCTCCATCTTCCGTTCCCCCCTTCATCCATCGTCCTTGCTACCGTTCCCTCATCGCCCCCCTTTCCTCCATTTCCTCCCTCCTGATCGTCGACCTCGATCAAGATCTACCAGTCACTCACGGCGCTTCAACTGGCACCACACGTCACAGCGATCGGTCCCGAAATCCTACACCGTCGCGCGGCGCTGTCTCTGCTGGTCATGTGCCATGCTTCTTCTTCGCCATCCTGAATGAATGGCGCGGTCATGCGTTCGTGCTCTGTCACGCTCGCTCGACACGCTCGCCTTCACACGGGTTGGCTCGGCAATTCCCTATTCCCGGCTAGGAGGTATGAGCTACCCCTAGTCTCGGAGCTTGTGCTCACAGTGGCCGCAACGTCACAGGTCAGCCTTGCCAGCTCGACTCCCGGCTTTGTGCCCCCCTCTTAGAACCAGCCAAAGCCCAAAACTTCCCCGCTCCCCTTCCTCCTGCCTTTCGACTCGAGTTTGCCTTTTCTTTTTGCATACAGGAATCGCTCCCATGTCGTCAACACACCAGCGGCTGGCACGATCGGTCGCGATCATACACAGCGGTAAAGATGGTAGGTAATGCCTGCTGACTTTTTGCACGGAAGCGTTCGCCACATCTTCTTCTGTTCGAGCATGGGAGTCTCAAAAGAGCAGCGAAGCGTCATCGACTCGTCTCAAGCATACAGAAGTCAAGATTAAGGTCGTCAAGCCTGTTCGCACAACGCTTTCATGGAAGTGGCCAAGCCGAAGGACGATCATCGCCTTGGCCTGCTCAAGCGACACATTGTCTGAGGCACAACCTTGGGAGGCGCGTCAGGTCGCGACTTTCCCTGCTGCCGAACTTGCATCCGCGCTATGTTGGCTTGGCAGAAGGCAAAGTCGCGGCCTGGCACGTCGCAACTCAAAATTCGTCGTCAGTAACAAGATTCAGGTTCCTTTCGACCGCGATGCAAGGAGTGTTTGTAAGGGGAAAGTAGCAGTCTGTATAGTAGTCGCACTCGGATTGTTCATAGCACACTTAGGACGGTTAATAGAGCACTTAGCTTCTTGGTAGATACTCAGAATTCATGACTCGCAACGATATACATTTGCTTTCCATAGTCTGACGCGAGCGTCTGTGACGAGAACACGAGCTTGGCATTCGTCACATTGTCGAACGGCACAATTCGAGCAATTCGACTCGGTGTCAATTTGGTAGTGACGGACATAGTCGGTGAGT